ACCGTGAACATCTTGACCTTGGGCAATATGACACTCATTTTTCTGCCGTGGTCCTCCATATCCAGCCTGTTCATATCCAAATTATCTTGGCGATTCCACCGGTCTCCTCGGAGTCGTAACTGGCGTATGGGGCGACCCATCCAAGCTATCCATATGAATCCTGTTCCCTTTTCAATGGTTGATGCAAACAAACTTGAATTAATGGCCGGAGTCATGAGTGTATCCATATTTCTTCCACGCCCATCATTTCTTCCACTATCTTCTCCTGCGACGTCTCGAGCCTATCCAGAAGCCCAGTCATCCCTCTCATGAAGACCAGAAGCTCTGACACATTATCATTCCTGTTGTTGGTAACGCCCACCGCATGGACGTTTCCGGGATTGCTATTCTCCTTTAGATCTTCGGCTCTACCGGTCCCTCCGAAACCGGTGGCGGGATCTGCTTGCGCATGCACACCTTCGCGTGTAGTGCCTCCGTGTGATGCCTCCATTGGGCTCATAACCTTTTAGAAGTTGAACAAAAAGGACAACAATAGCACACACATTTTAGATGCAAAAGAGAGAGCGATATTTGGTTCGTTATTTTTCTAGCTAGCTTAGCTTGAAGTCTATATAATAAAATAAATCATATAATGAAACCCCACACAGTTGTTCGGCGTAAACATGATTATACACAATCAGTCTGTACCAGATTAATGGATCTTCATCTTGAAGCTTGCCTTCCAACATGCCACTCGTGCCCCGTCATCGCACAGCGCTCCTCTAGCTTCTCGTGCACCGCGCTTCTCCAGTTGCAGTAGATCTTACGCCATGCTCATCAAGCCGCGTTGCGTACCGAGCTTGACAGCGTCCATCGCTTTCGCCGTCAGATCCGCGAGCATAAGCTCGGAGCGGACTACAAACTTGTGGCGTACGTCGATGTGCATTCGACTTGCTCTTCGACGCTTCACCCTTATATTTGTCTAATGGCAGCCTGGTTCTCGACATGCGGGAGCATGGTAACCACCAGCGCCATGCCAATATCCATCAAATTCTGCCGCAGGCCAATGATCTCGCGCGCGACCTCGCTTGAAGCCACGACCTCCACCTCCATGGTAGATAGCGATACGCCGCTTTGCATTTTGGGCGCACCATAATACTACCATGCCATTCAAAGGCACCACTCCTTTGGTGTGCGACTTGCGGTCGGCCTTGTCGGCCGCGAAGTCGGCGGCGCTGTACGTCTCCAAAGGTAGCACGGAACGGCTCACTTGAGAAGGCGCCATCGTGAGCTTGAGCGTCGCGGTGCCCGTAAGGTACCTGACGATCCGCTTCGAAAGCTTTCAGTTGTGGAGGCGCGGTTCGTGCGTATGTGGTGTCGCCTTAGGAAAGGCAAATGCCACGTCTGGACGTGTGCATCGCGCCACATACAAAAAGCTACCCACGAGTGCCTGGAATGCCTTGATCCTCGAACCGCCGCTCGCGCTCGTTGTCTCTAGCAGCACAGCATCATCGATCAGCACCTCGTAGCACTCACCACCAATTGGCGCCTTCATCGTGTTGGCATAGGTGATGTCATGCGCACGCAGTAGTTCGCTGATCGCTTCTTCTTGATCAATGCGGTAGCTGCCTTCGTCGCCAAGCTCGACGCGCATGCCAAAATGTTTGTGCACGCGGCCCAAGTCCTCTATCTTCAGCGTCGACAGACCCTTTAATAGCTTTTCCACTACCGCGGCGCTCGTGCCCGTATCAAATTTATTAATCATAGACGTACAACAAGTCCTTCGTCGTCACGTCGAAAGTATAAGCACATGTCGGTAACACACCAAACAAACCCAGCGTCCGTAAGCCGCGCAATGGATCAGCTGGCTCTAAAGGCGTTCCACTTGCTTCAAGACATACAGGTTATAGCAAAGCTCGAGGACGACCTCACCAGAGCTCGCGGAGCATAGCTCGCGCAGTGTGTCGTCGGACACGTTCAACCCGCGCGGCACTTACAAGCAAATTTCGAGGTGGGCTTCCTTGCCCGCCTTTACGTACGCGTTGGAATGTCGACATGTTTGTCCAGCACACCTTAAAATGCCGCGAGCGCTAGCACCACCTTGACATTGCTGATGTCTATCACCGCCGCGAACGTAAGACTGTAATCTACGCCTAGCACTTGCTCGTTGCCCCACGCAACAAGTCGTGCTTTGTATCGTTTCAGCATGCCTTCGGCTCCTGTATTGGTGTTATAGACCCATTTAGAGTGCAGCGGGCTCGATCCTACACTTTTCTTTGTCACGAGCCAGACTCCATTGTCTTGGAGCGCGCTAATCTCCTCGCGCATTGCGACCTCTCACTCTGCGCGCTTCAAACTAAGCATTGCTTCTGCATAGTTAGTCGGGTCCTTCTCATACGCGAGGTTGACGACGTCGGGTATCGCCATCGGATCCTCCAGCTTTTCCGCTACTCCTGCGCGCTTGGCAGCACCACGTGTCGCGTGCGGCTGTCGCTGCCACTGTTTTTTCTTCGACTTTGTCTGCGCAGTTCCGCTTCTGCTTTCGATGCTCGACTGCGTCGCTTCCGTTGCTTCTTCGTTGTGACGGGTTCGGGTTTGTCGCACTTACGGCGTCTCTGCGCACGACAGGGTCACTGCTTTTGCACAGCAGTCGTTCGTTTTGTCTACTGACAGCGTTGCGATGTTCTTCACGTGCGCCATCTTGGTGATGATGTTTCTATTCGGAAAGTACACTCGGTACCATTTTAACTCATCGTTGCGGTCGATGATCTGCTCTTTATCCGATTGCGGCGCCAGCAAATCTTCCCCGGGTCTCGTCGTACGTCGCACATCAAACCCGAAAACGACGATGTCACGCAGATATGGCGCGGTCTTCGTCAGCACTTCGTACGGAGATGCACATCGCTCGTTCGCGCTTGTAGCTTTGCGATCCAAAAAGGTAAGTCGCAAAGTTGACAGTGTCACCCTAGAAGCAGAGCGGCATGTTGCACGCAAGAATCATCGCCCTCGCCATGTTCAGCACAGTTCTGTGCATTCGTTCTGCCTTGCCGTTGCTTGTCTGATTACGCGCTTCGCTGATTTAACGTGCGACACCGGTCGTCTGGCAGAATAGATCGACGTTTCTATATTCACCTCCTCTATCGGTACGCGAATTCGCCAATTGAGCGCATCGGGGAAGCTATTTGCTCGGACCTAAGGGTCCTCTGATGCCGAAGGACCGCTTGGACAACCGCTACTTGGTCGACTTTGTTGACAAAAGCAACTCCTGTCGTGTATTCTTGGCCAAGAGCAAGGACCAAGCAGCCAAAATATTCGAACATTTTTTGGCGTTCATTGAACGACGCTTCGTATGCAATAACGGGGTCGGTGTAAACGGGTGCGACATAAAGAAAGTGGTTTAGGGATCTTGGGAAATGGTGTGAACTTAAGATAAAAGGATGTGAATATTGTTCGATGTAGGAGGCAAATTGGATTCTGTCATTCATTACACAGGTCTCTCTCGCTCGCTAGCTCTTCACTAACCTTCTCACTGCGCTCGCACCATACGATCCAACAGGCACGCGATCCTTCCACTCGTCGCGACTTCTCACACCACGCCATCGTGACTGCTCACGGCGTCGCACACACCATCGCGACTGCTGCCGTACGTCGTCCGCTTCTCTCCTTTCGCTGCATACTGAAACTCAGTGTGCCCGATACTGACCTTTCGCATCTTCAATGCAACTCTTGCGATCATGCATCACACAGAGCGACTCCTTTTAATAAATATAGCAATATCCATAAACTATCCTCTATGACATCGTTATCAAGCATGTTCTTATTGTTTCTAAGTATCACCATACGAAACCCACATCAACACTTGCGTAAATGTAAACAAATTATAAAAACGAAAATTATTTTGTCTTTTTCTGCTAACTACAATATAGCATTTGTCATTTATTGTCCTTTGCTGTCAACATTATGCATTTGAGTCGTCAGAAATCTGGATAAGAATACGCAATATCTATGAAAACAAAAGTGCTGCTTGTTTGTCAAGTACGAACGTACTTGATACGCATCCAAGAGCGCCTGTATCATTTTTACACTGCGACAACCAATGCAGGAAGTAGACTGGGTCATAAAAGCTTGCAGCAATCTGCCAGATAGTCTCACTTAGCAATATTGAAGCAAAAGTGCCCATTCTCTTCGAGATCTGTTATTGTATGCACATTACGATTGTCTTGATCTTCACAAATATACTCCACGAAGTAGATTCTCTAGCATTCTGTCGCTAAAGACTCTTGCATTGAGTTAGAATTATTGTCCGGCGACGCAAAAGTTGGAGCAGATTAGTAAGCACTTTTGTTCATTATAACTAGGGTGAATACACTACAGAAATCCGGCTGCTAACGAAACCGTGATGACCAGCGGACGACCGGATGGACAGTCTGGAGCAGATTGCTGGTCATCATGCTTCTAGCGACAAGCATACGCTACTTTTCACTCGCACCGTCCGTTTCTAGAGCTCTTTAATTTAGCATCGACAATGCATTGGCAAGAAGAAAAACCACGTAATTAGAGTACAAGTGTAGACGCTAATGTCGAGTGCTGCAACAAGTGGATACTGTCCATTTCATTGAATCAGCTGCTGCTGCGCGATGATAGACAAGCAAATATATAAATATACGTATGGTCCATGGACAATACTTCAAGTTTAAATGCATCAATGAATAAACATGGCTCCATGCACTAGGGACACAGCTCTCTTGTGGGCATGTGCTGCTGCTGCAGCCATACAGCTGGCATTTTTGTACAGTGATTGCAGAGATTTGTCAGTGAACATACTTGCAACTGGTAAACCTCTGTAATCACTGTACACAACGTCCAAACCTACGAGTCGCGGACGGTATGGTGCGACTTTTAAAAACTACGGGTCGCAACATACCGTCCGTTATTTGGTAGGTAACCGCGCCAGCCGTTGGTGACTCCAGTTGTAAAAGCGCCGTAAGAGTTAGTGAAGGTTATCATACTATCCTGCCTCAATGGCTCCGGTCACCGTAGCCTCGTCGAAGTTGCGGTCGCGGATTCAAGGAAGTCTCGGCTGTGTTCAATGTGTGGATCTGGTAGAATGTCCTACTTCAGGTCGACTTTTCATCGACAAGCATACGCTTATGACCTCGTATACGTCTGACGGTCGCAATGCAAGTGCCGCAGCACTAAAGGAATTGGATCTTCACCTTTCGCTTCGGGATGTCGAGCATATCGTGCAATTGGAACGACATTCGTTTCAAGGAGAGAGACTTCACCTACTATACGAACACTGTGCTCGCGGAGATTTGCTTGACATCATGCAACAGGAACTTCGACTGCTAACGGCAGGTGTCTCGCCTCATAGCTCTTTTATAATGACTTGCACCGATGCAGGTAGACGTGGTGTTTTCACCGCCATGCTTCGGGGAGTACAAGCCCTACACAACGCCGGAATTGCACACTTGGACTTGTCGCCGGAAAATGTTTTTGTCACGGCATCTGGTATCGTCAAGGTGGGAGATCTAGGTCATGCTCAGCGATTCAAGCACGACCGACCAAGTGTTCAGGTTATTCAAGTTGCCAAAGAGGCCTATGCGGCACCAGAACTGTTTGCTCGAACGGAAGTAGACGATGCGCGTCAAGCCGATGTCTGGTCGCTTGGTGTCATCCTTTGGACATTGTGTACCAAGCGTGCTTTAATACGACGTCCGTCAACTGACAGCGACAAGCTTTTCGCTCGGATGATTGAATGCGGTACAGCCTTCGCTCTTAAGGAGACTGGTGTCTTATCGCAAGTACCAGCCGCGTGTGTCGACCTACTTGTTGGTCTTCTTGAGGTGAACCCCAAATCGAGACTGTCGGTGACGGCAGCGTTGCAGCACCCGTGGGTAACACAGGAAACTCCCAGCAGATCCCAGTATCAACGGCAGTCCATCGGCAATTTGATCGTGAAGAAGGGCAAGCACCAGCATCCAGGCGAAAAAAAGACTCAAAGTTGCACTGACAGCGCGGAAATATGCACTCGAATCTACGCGTGTCACCTAAGCGTCGCGAAGTCTAGCTCAATACCCTTTCGTCTATTCGCTAGACACTCGGAAGAAACGTGCAGCATCCACAAATGTAGATGAAATGGAAGCAATCTCGTTGCTTAATCAATACATATGTAGTAGTGTTGCTCGTCCAGGTTAGTTTGCTTTGACAATTTTCGAATGATGTGGACTGTAGATGCGTCAGAATGTAGCGTGATGAAAGACCGCCCACCACTACTGCGTCAAATTGGAATAGATAGAAAATGACAAGGTTGTCAGCGGAGGCAAAGCAAACAAGTTGTAGCACGAAACTGCCGCTCTAGGAAGCCTGTAAGAAATAACTCGGATTTTCATCAGAGCTGCTAGAGTACTTATTCTCTCGCTGTTCAGCAGTCAGCGTGGCCGGGACTATGATTCGGTAGTATCGATAAACACTACGCTAAGTCACCCTAGTCTGTGCTACAAGGTTTTGTCGACCGGAACATCCTGTAAGGGCAAGACGCACGAGCTTTGCCAGTGATTGTTGGCTAGGAGATATGCTGAAATTCTCATTTACATCAGCGAATCCATAGCGTTGTGGCAAAGAATAGCCGTCGTCGACGCTTTCCTGACAGCGTCTATTAACAAGCAACAATCGCGACTTCATCCTTATATTGCGGTAACAAACGAGTGAGTGATGAAGCTGGTAGCACTTTGTTTGAATGGTTCGACTACATCAAGCTTATAAGTATCACTAGGTAGTAGTGTAACACATTCTAGAGAACCGAGAAGCAGTCTTTACAAAGCTACAATCACGAGCGAGATGGACTGCCAAAATTTTCATTCTGTTTGATGTTTACATTTCTGTAGCTGACCACAGGACCGTTGAGTTGCCTCCAGCACTAGCTAGAAGGTGACGCTTTGGGTTCCATTGCAAGTCCACAACTGGACCATTGTGTCCTTGAGGAAGCGCGTGCACGAACTGTCCGGTAGAGCTCTTGTAGAAATACACTCGGCCATCCTCCACCCCGGTGACTACATATGCACCATCAGCTGAGTAGCAGCCTCCAAGCCGAAGGTCGTTAGGCTGATTCTGGGTGAGTTCATGCTCTTTGAAGAGATGCAGCAGTTTGCCCTCAAACGCATCTAGGTGAATAAACACGCCGCGATTTGTCGTAACAAGCAACTGGTTTCCATCAGGACTAAACTTGAGGTCGAGTGCATGAAGCTTTTTTGCGTTCAAGTTCGGAGCCTGCATTTGAGCGAGGTATGGCTCAACAGCCTCAAGAATTGACGCATCATATAGAGAAAACTTGGCGAACGGTCCTTCCTGATAGTTTCTTGCATCGTACATGCGGATCAAGTGATCGTCCGTGTACACACCAAATACAACACCCTCTCGGTCATAGGCAGCGCAGATGTGCGAGACTGGCAAGTGGTCGGTTCGAACGATAGCCTACATACATACAACGAAACTTGCCACCCAGTTATTTCAATACCATTTCTGTTTTCAGGTGCAGACCTTGACGCACCGAGGTGTCCGAATTGCGAATATCCCATAAACGAATCGTGCCGTCCAATCCAGCAGAGATGAATTGGTCCGCAGTGGGGTGCATCATAAGCGACGTGACTCTATCATCATGCAAGCACAAGCTTAGTGTTCTATTCACTACAATCTTGCATCGAATACAATAAACTTACTTGTCCGTGTGACCAGTGTAGTATCGAAGAAACTTGTTGTCGAAGAACGAATGATACCGAATGCGGTCTGTCCACAAACACCAGCAACAACAAAACGTCATCCATCAATCTCCTTTCAGTGCAAGACAACTTTAGTATACGTACTATCATTGGCACTATTAGATGAGGAAAAGATCACGCAATCTAAATGATGGGTGAACCGGACAATGCCGACACCGTATCGCTTGGTCAAGATCGTCTTGGCGACTCTAACCAGAGCAAATAATCACATATCAGCGTGTTGTTCTTCAAATATGACACCTTTTCAAAGACCATACGACATACGTGCCACTCAGACAATTAATCATAGTCATAACGCCATCAGTGCGACTTGTAACACATCGCTCTCCATTGCGATGAAAATCCAGCGACGTGATCTGCAGATTTGAGACTGCTTCATCTTCCTGTGCAATAGACAAAGTAGCAAGTTCAGACGACCTTATAGAAAGAAAAAAACATGGAGTAGCACAGAATGTGTCGGTGTTTATACAATAAATTTGTCATTTACCTGAGGCGCAAAATTACGCGCAACACTGTAGGAACGCACTACGGAATCCGAGAGCTCTACGCCTTCTACCATAATTTGCAATATGCCAGTCAATAGTCATCAATATGATGTAGGATAGGTTACAAGTACTTAACAGTAAAAATAAAAAACGCTTTTTTTGCGTTAAAAAACTGTTTTTTCCGATAGGGGAGCCCACCATATCCACGTCATCTAATAAGGTGATACCATGTCGGGCGGACATTTGTCCAAGGAGTTCTTTGAGCTTGTCAAGTCGATCGGTGAGAGCAAATCAAAGCAGGAAGAAGATCGCATTATTCTTCATGAGGTCGCGCAACTGAAGCGAAAATTGAGCGACGTGACGGCCTCGTCCAGCACGTCTAGTAACCTCGTAAATAAACGCAAACGGGAGTTCCTTATTCGTCTCATGTACGTGGAAATGCTGGGCCATGACGCTTCCTTTGGCTATATCAAGGCTGTCGAGATGACAGCTAGTACAAACCTTATGCAAAAACGAGTGGGTTATCTCACGTGTAGTTTGTGTCTGTCTCCGACGCACGAGTTCCGATTTATGATCATTAATCAATTACAAAGAGATTTACAAAGTTCCAACCACCTGGAAGTTTGTTCTGCTCTAATGGCAGTTTGTAAGCTAGTGACAGTGGAAATGATACCAGCAGTGCAGCCCATGATCCTTGATCTCCTACGTCATGATGCTGAGCTTGTCCGGAAGAAAGCAGTGATGGCTATTCACCGCTTTCATCAGCTCAATCCAGACTCAGTCACTGAGGTCGGAGGTGCTCTGCGTCGTACATTGTGTGATCGTGACCCTAGTGTCATGGGAACGACGCTCTGTATTCTCCATGATCTTGCCGAGGCTACTCCTACGAACTACAAGGACCTCGTGCCCAGTTTCGTTAGTATCCTCAAGCAGATTACAGAGCATCGTTTGCCTCGTGAGTTTGACTACCACCGCATTCCAGCACCATGGATTCAGATCCGTCTTTTAAAGATCTTGGCACTGCTAGGCCAGGCTGATCAACAGACCAGTGAGGGCATGTACGAGGTGCTGCACGATGTGATGCGTCGCGCGGATACCGGCATCAATGTGGGATACGCTATCATCTACGAATGTGTGCAAACTGTGACAACTATCTACCCGAACAGTACGCTGCTGGATGCTGCAGCAGCTAGCATTTCCCGTTTCATTTCAAGTGACAACCATAACTTGAAATACTTAGGTGTTACGGGACTTGCTGCCATCGTAAAGGACCACCCACGGTACGCTGCAGCACACCAAATGGCTGTTATTGATTGCCTTGAGGATCCAGATGAAACACTGAAGCGAAAGACGCTGGATTTGCTGTATCGTATGACGAACCCGGTGAACGTTGAGTTCATTTCGGATAAGCTCACCCAGTTCCTTCGTGAAGCTTCAGATGTTTTTCTCCGGACGGAACTGGTCTCGCGTATTACGCAATGTGCTGAACGCTATGCACCAAGCAATGCTTGGTACATCCAAACCATGACAAATGTATTCGAGTTGGGCGGCGACCTTGTTCGCCCTGAGGTGGCGCACAATTTGCTGCGTTTAATTGCTGAGGGAAGCGGTGAAGACGAGGATCAGGACATGGAGCTGCGTCGCGATGCAGTAAACATTTATCTTGAACTGCTGGAACGTCCAGTACTGCCCGATATTCTGGTCTGCACCATGGCTTGGGTCCTTGGTGAATACGGCTATCTGTCTGATGCTATGGAACTGGAGGAGATTTGCGAGCGCCTTGTGGAGCTTGTCGATCGCCCATTCGACCAGGAAGACACTACGCGTGGTTACGTACTTTCGGCTGTCACGAAGATTACCGCTCAAATGGGACATACTCTTGATGTGGCTGATGCAATGATGAACAAGTACAAGACTAGCCGCAGTACGGACCTTCAGCAGCGCTGCTTTGAGTACCTCGCACTAACTAAAAACTTCTCTTTAATGAACGAGGTCTTCCCGGAAGACGCAAGCTGCGAAGACATCGAGGTAGATCCCAATCTCTCTTTCCTCAAGAGCTTCGTTGAAAAAGCCGTTGCTCAAGGAGCACCCCCTTATGATCCGCCAGAGGACTCGGATGATGAAGATGAGGGGTACGGCCGCCGTCACAACGACAGCGACTCGAACCGCCTAAATTTTGAGGCCTACAAGAAACCTGAAATCCCATACCCAACTAAGCTTCCTCTTGCAGACCAGCAGAACTCCTTCGGGGTTAACAAGTGGGGTGGCAATATTGGTCATGCCGGTATGCCTGGATTGGGCAGTTCTGGTGGCCCAGATTCCATTGCGGGCATTGGTGTTGCCAAACGCGGAGTGGCCAAGAACGTATGGGGTCCAACGGGTCTTAGCACGCCCGACAACACCACACCAGTCGCACCTGCAGTTGGTGCCCCTGGAGTTGGCTATCCGCCCGACCCGTACAACCAGGGCGGCCAGGGTCCCTATGGTGGACAAGCTGGACAACCTAGCTATGGTGCTCAGCCTACCTATAGCGGCCAGGGATCATATGGAGCTCAGCCTCCCCAGCAAGCGCTGCAGCAAGAGTACGGCAGCTCTAACAACTACAATAGCGGCGAGGTCTCGAGTGAAGACGAAGCCACAGGCAACGTTGACGAGCGACAGATTTTGGCTTCCGCCATCTTTGGTGGTATCCCCGGTGCTCCCGCCCTGATGCCCGGAGGCCGACGTGGTGGAACAAACGTCCGCTCAACTCTTACTTCTGGCCGCCGTACTGGCCGACCTTCAACGCGTCGCACAACGAGCCGAAGCGACCAACAGCAGCCTCCTGCAGCCCAAGCGCCTATGGAGCAAGCTCCGCCTCCGCAACAGCAGCAACCAAAAGTTGAAATGGACCTGCTCGATATTTCATTTGATACGCCTGCAGCCCCACAGAACCCTGGTATGTTTCAGCAGCCACCGCCACAGCAGCAGCAGCCGATGGTGCACGCAGATCCCTTTGGAATGGGCCCATCGCTGGGGCCAGCAACTTTTCCTGAAGCTAGTCCCCCAGCTCCTTCTATAGATCCCTTCGACATGTCGGGTCTCGGCTCCAGCATGAATGGTAAGTGTATTTGGCGTCACGGCGTTTGGTAAGAATAGGTATTGATGGTTTGGTTTGTTCTGCTTGCACATGAAGTTGCTGCTGAGCTTGGAAAAAGCCCTGCGAATAGTTTGAATATGCTGGGCGGTAGCAGCAGCAGCAGCAACACGGGGGTTTTCCAGTACAATGGTCGGCAGCTCGAGCCGTGGCAGATCACTACACAGGACTTTGGTAGTCGTTGGGGCACCTGTCCATGCGAGAAGAAGACAAAGGTGAACCCGAGCGGTATTCGCACGCTCGAGGATTTCATGGGTCGAATGCACTTGTTTAATGTGCACACCGTCGAAGCCATCCCAACGAGTACGTGCTGTGATTTGGATGTATGTGTACTGCTACAGAGCTCTACTAACGCCTTGGTTGTTGTTACGTGTTCGCTCATCCAGCCAACGAAGCGATTGCAGCTTGCCGTCTAATAAACTCGGAGCATGTAGGATTGATCCACGTGAAGGTCCGCAGTGGCGGCTTCGTGGACCTAACGGTTCGCACGGCTGACATGAATTTTACCGACCAGCTCCTTGATGCAACGGCCCTGCGACTTAAATAAGGAGAGCCAATACCAAAAAAAATGCATGTGTTTCATGTGAACATGATAATGGTACAACGCCACTTCCTCGCTTGACCTGAATTGCGAGTGCTGGCACTATTGCTGTGTTTTTGTAGACCATAGCAAAGAAACAGCTTGTAGGCAACATGCGGCAGCAATGGAAAATTCATAAGGTTAGTGTTCAGCAATTGCCAATCAGCTCGACACCATGCGATGACTATCATCTCCAGCAATGACAAATGGTAAGAGTTGCAACCTCGTGTCAAAGGATGCAAGTGCTAGTGTTACTCATCTTTTTCAGCACCGCAAGTCTTACATCTCATTGACACGCTGACTTTCACGTTGAAGCAAAAGCCAGTTCGGCTTCAAGCTTATCAAACGTGTTCAAGATGGCTTGTGCTTTCCCCAACGTCAGTATCAATCTGCAAGAAACAGGACAGTGTACAGGAGAGCCATCATCTAAGCAGCAGCATAGTGTGACGTGCCTGCAGCTTCAAATAGACTGTCCAAGACGCCAGCAGTCTTTCATTTTCCCTGTTCGTCTCCTCTAACGCTAACGTTCGAGCTCTGAACGTCTTTGTGAAAGCCATTGCAAAGACTTGGAAGGTCTGCATGCAGTCTACCACCACAGACACAATGAAAACCCGAGCACGGGCCGTGAGCTCGGACAATTCCAAGCCAACCATTGTGGTGAATCTACCGGGCGTTCGCTTGGCCGTTTTGACAAGCTCCTATGATTCGCTGCTACATCTGGACGTCACCCTCAGCTCAGCTGCATCGCTGTTGCTCGCCACTTACGTCGCTTTTGTGCTGGCATGGAACATCCTGTCGTTTCTTCTCGCTCGGCTTGCACAGACGACAGCGTTCTTACTCATCACCTTTTACACGTTTAGGGGTCTTGCCATGCTGAGCATGACAATTACGACGTCTAGTACTGCTAGAACCTATCACGATATCCCGAACAAGAAGGGGTTTTCGGTCATTCCGACGCTCCCGTTGCTTTACGTTGACAGCACCATCAGTTCGTTCAAGTCCACCCATGTCAGCAAGAACAAGATCGACGATACGACTGTTTCCAAGATTCAAGCTTCAGCTCGACGTCGTGTGTTGGCACAATTGAACAGGAATCGCCTTTTGGTCAACGTCGTGCCGGGCGATATGCGTCGACGCGTGGATATGAACCTGGGCGAGGCGAACATCCGTGTTGGCAAAGCGTTTATTCAGACGGTGCTTGGCAAGCGCAAGCCGCGCGATATATACGTCGTGCGTGTGGATTGCGGTGCCGAATCAACTACCCAGGAAAAGCACATGAACCCCGTCATCATGTGGGACGTTACGGCTACGTTTGATGAATTCAAGCAACTCGAACGTGACCTGAATAAGGAAGTCCAGGCCAAGAAACAGTTGCGTGCAATTAAGGTGCCTCATTTGTCAAGTGGTGCGGTGCTTTTCGTGCAGCCCGAGCTCACAAACCACGTGCTGAACGCCCGTCGAGCGCGTTTGCAGACGTTCATCGATACCGTGCGTTCCGACCCAGTGTTGTCCACTACGAGGTCGTTGCGTAAATTCTGCCAAGCCTACTAGGCGTTCATTTTTTGCATGCACTCTCCGACCGAAGGAGGGATGCCAACCGGGAATGAAGTACGAGAATTTCCCGCACGTGAAGAAATGAACTGGTCGACGTCGAGACGGACAAAGAGAAGAAAAAACTGCAGCTTCAATTGTATGTAGGTGAGTGGAAGCACAGGGACACCCTCGGTCGTTGCTGAGCCGCCAAAGTGAAAGACGGCCTAATCTAAACGACCGAGCGTCCATCCGTTCTTTATATAAACGTGTCTCAACCAGGCATCTCTGTTGTAAAAGGCGTTGTATTATTGCAGTCGCAGGTAATGCCGCTGCAATGTCCAGGTCTCGCCTAGGTAAAGGCATTTTCGTTTCTACCTTTTGTGTCTATTTACGGTCTTCATCTGAATGCCTCCAGTCGACTCCGTAACATTCCTTCTCCTCGAGCTGCACTTCGGCTCAATTGCGGCCAGCACACTCTCTAACGCTTCTTTCATCTCGTAAGCTTATACTCACAGAGTATCAAAAAGATGATAGCGTCCGGTAGACCTGTGTGCAGAGCTTGCTCGTCTTGAACTCATCTGGCCATCATTGAGCACTCCTGCAGCGACTGCTTCATCCCCTTGACCATACTTGTCCGTTGATACCCCAAGTTTGCTCCCGTCTCAATAGCTACGCACGTCAAACTACTGCCTTTTGAAACGCGTGTGCTTCTCCATCGCATCATTAGCCGCACAGGCATGGAAGGACTTCCACTTGAGAACTGGACAACTGGTCTACATCTGCAACAGGAAGTCGATGTCGCGTCAGAAGTTTTCCAGTTCTTCCAGATATGTCTTACAGCTTGTGCTCTTGAATGATAAGATTGTTGCAATGATCTTTAGTCGTTTCTTGTGGTATATGCTCCACGCCTAAAAAAACAGTTGAATTGAGCCAGGTGACGGTACTCGCGCGTAGTCACTTGTACGATATCTCGATCCTTGTGCCGCTTCAGATGCTTGTGTTTACGTATCCAGGGCGAGTAATCCTTCCTTTCTGCGCTTTCCACCCGACGTCGACCGCTCTTTGATCGTCTTTGTCGTTTGTCGACAGTTTGTATTAGTTTCGCACTCGTAAGCACTCCGTTCTGCGTTGTGTCTTCTGATTTACATGTTTTCGGTACGGCTCGTCGTTTTACGTGACCAACTCGGAGATCTTTTCTTCCCTGCCACTGCTTAGCCATTGGCAAACGTTTCCACAGCTTACTTGCATTACAAGGTACAACAAACAAGCACATCTTGCATAAAGACGAAACTTTCCTTTCATCACGCACCGCTTTCAGATCGACTACCATAACACCTCCGCACATGATTCAACCTAAACACTGCTATTGCAGTAGTTCCGGATTCTATAGGCCTTCAAACTTCATCTCTATACTCCCTCACAATCACATTTGGGACGAAACTGACTGCGTTTTATAGTAGCTGCCGTTCGGTAGCTGCGCTACCTTGATGAACTTCATAGACACCTTGTATAGATCAAAAGCCCTCCAGCCGTCTGCATAAGCCAGAGCGTCTCAACCTCCTCACTCGAGCCAGGTATCCGATTCCACCTTAAATTGAGCGGTAAAGTGCAGCTTGCATGGCGCCAACTTTGTGAGGAGATTTCGGTCTGAACAAGATTGCAAACTCCAGAAGTGAGCCCGCCTGTGGATGTTTCTGGTGATGTTTGAGTCAAAAACCCGCCAAAGTGTCGAGTCGAACGCACACGTTGCTCATTGCAATGCCACGCACCAAATTGCAAGTTGGCTGCAACAAACAAGTATTATCCATGACGAGATGTCCAGGTGTTGCGTCACTTTATTTCTCAGCAGACTATGGACCAAGCCTGCCAAGCTGTTGTCAGTTCCTGGCGTATTATCGCGTTTTTCAATCTTGAGAACGACATGTTGTATCATTCCGCCTATCCTTTTCAGCTCTAGTCGTGTAATCGTCTTTGGACACATCCCCTCGCATCAGTAATGTATTCGTTTACCTTGTCATGGGTAGTACGTGTGTCTTGCCGTTTCGTGCGCCTTGTGAAGTAGAAAAGGTGAATACAATGTGTAGCTCCATCCTATTCGGTACCATTTTGCTTCAAGCTTTAGCTGATAAGCAGAACGAGTCGATCCGTCAATACCAGGAGAAAATCTAGTGAACCAAGCTGGATCATGCTAATCAGAAAGTAGAGAACATCACTTCCCAATTTGGGACAATTGCCAAGCGACGAAGGCCTCCAAAAAGCCGGCATACCAGTCCCCTTGCCTTCCCCCATCATGGGGTCAAGTGTAAAGGGGAAAAGTCTTCTCTCCGCTGCGTGCGCCATGGGAATCTGCGCAGCTTGTGGACCTGACGGGGAGCAATAAGCACAAAGTCCCAAGGTGTGGGGCACGTCGATAAAGCAGCGAACACCCTGCACCCAGACTCAAATAAGTTTCTGCTCTTCTCCATTCCGCTTCCTGAGCGCAACTTCCGGTTCCACGAAGCGAACTCCTCTTGAACGTGATTCCATCCGTTCCGATTCCGATCGGAGCTGCATATCAGGGATCAGCAAGACTGGAATATCCAGTGTGTTCGTTTAGTTAGAGCCTGGGCAAAAAATCGTGTCGTGCTGAGACGCAGACAAGAAGATTCGGTTTGGAATAATATTCGAAGATGGGCATGGACTGACGAATTTGTGCGGTGGGTGGCTCTCCGTCTATCGCTTCCTCAACCTCATTTGCGATTCCGCCGAGAATTGATAAGCATTGAATCTGATGCTTACTACTATTCCATCACTCGCAATTCCAGCCGTAGCTTGGGCGTTTCTGGCGACCCTGCCCTCACAAGTCGTCGCCGACTACACGGTGAAAGCTGATGCTGGGACAACGATCCTTGACAATTGGGAAGGATGGGGCACGTCTCTTTGCTGGTGGGCCAACGCTTTTGGAGACCGCAAAGACATTGCCGACGTATTTTTCACGCTGCAAGACAGTGTGACGCTGGAAGGAGGACCGTCCGGACTTCCAGGGCTGGGGCTCAACGTCGTTCGCTACAACATTGGTGGGTCGAGCAAGAACGTCATCGATGACGGTGGCACCAAGGTCGCAATGAAGCTTTCTCCAAGCATGCCGGCGTTCAAGTTTATCGAATCGTTTTGGATAAATTGGTTGAGTAACGACTCGGATAGTAAGAGTTGGGACTGGAATGCCGACCTCAACCAGCGCACGATGCTCAACTTGGCGATCAAACGCGGTGTCGATGTTACCGAAGCGTTTTCAAACTCTCCTCCATGGTGGATGACACACAACCATGCTACTGCTGGTGGAGACGATGGTAGGAAGGATAACTTGCAAAGCTGGAACCACAACGCGTTTGCGTTTTACTTGGCGTACGTGGTGAAGCATGCAAAGCACAAGTGGGGCGTCAGCTTCGATTACGTGGAAGCTTTTAATGAGCCGATGAGTATATGGTGGAAGTTTCCAAAAGGACAGGAGGGCTGTCGCTTTAACGTAGATTCGCAAATCAGTGTCTTGTTGAAACTTCGTCGCCACCTGGACGATCTCGGAATGAACAATGTTGTTATCGCAACATCCGACGAAAACACGCCTTCGCTAGCGTTATCGACTCTTCGATCCATGTCGGCAAAGCCAGATGTGCTGGCTACTTTTGGAAAGGTAAACACACACGGCTACGAAGGCTTGAGTCCATACCGCGGTCCAGATCGAAAACCTTTGAAGGATCTCGTTACAAAGTTGGACAAAAAACTATGGGACTCTGAATATGGTGAAAAGGATGGCACTGGACTCAGCATGGCCGAATCTATTCCACTTGACATAAATGTAATGGGCATTTCGGCATTTGTGTATTGGCAAGTACTTGATGGTGGTGGTTGGGGGTTAATTCAGGCTAGCCCAGCCGACAAAACGCTTGGAGTGGTGAACACTAAGTTCTATGTGCTGGCACAGTACACACGCCATATTCGTCCCGGCATGACCATCCTCTCGACGAGTGATCTACAACATACTGTCGTAGCTCACGATGCGAAATCAAACCTGCTGGTATTGGTAACAGTAAACTCGGGTAAAACAGCTTCGACGGTCACCTTCGATCTGTCGAGCTTTCAATCGGTAAAGGGTCCGATCAGTACTTGGATGACGGAGACGAGCGGATCAGGTGCACTTTACAAGCCATCGACAATCGAGCTGTCTGGTACGTCATTCAGCGCATCGATTCCGGCGGCATCGGTGATGACATTTGAGATTCAAGAGTGTAGCTAGCTTGGACGTTACATAATCATCACCTTGATTGATACAACCACATTCTCAATCTTAGAGCGTGTAACAGTACCGGTACTTTGCAGATCTTAGGACGATACAGCATCAAAGATGTCGAGAGTTAGCATAAGATGAAGCAAGTTAACAGTTACATCAAGCTTTTATGCAATACATAATCAACTAAAAATGATCGTCGGAAGCACCTGTCAATTCGAAAAACGTCGCCTAAATCCGACCATGGCCGATACCTTGGAGATCCCTATACGGCCTGGCCTGCTGACAACCGATTTTTTGCAGCAAATTTTGCGTCCTGCATTTCCATCGCATCGTGTAATTACCTTTGAGTGGAAACCCATGAATCTTGGAGTGATTGCAGAGGTGGTGATCATTGCAGTCGAGTTGGAATCTGACGACGGTTGCAACGATGCAAAGAGGATGCAACGACGCTTTGTAGGGAAGTTTCTGCGGCCTGAATTGTCATTTGAATCCATGTTTACGGTAGAGTCCAAGTTCTATAGTGAGTTTGCCACAAAAGCAGGCAACGCAGCAATGAAGAACTCGGCGGCCGTCGTGGGATTCCCGTTTGCAATTCCAGCTGCAATCTTTACGTCAAATGTGCTGATTGTGTTGGAGTGTGTGGAGTCAGTGAAGACATTTACGTGTGTAGAGGGAAGTCCACCGCACCTTATCCCAATGCTGATGACGAAACTAGCTCAGATGCACACTCGTTACTGGGGTTACAACTGTGATGGGCTCGCAACGCCAGCGGGAATAGGCAGCCAGCTGACAGGTAAAGAAAAACGTTTGCAGTTTCCAAGTTGCTGGAAAGATTACGTGGATGAGGTTCTGCTAAAAAGTAGCGAGAAAGCTCAACTGACAGCACTGTGCCAACATTTGAGTAACAAACCTGACCTGCTCCAAGTGGTGCACAAAATGGTCGACTATGGACCTTCTTCATTGATCCACGGTGACTTTCACATTGCTAATATACTTTTACCAACGGATGATGACTCGAAGGAGGTCACGTGGCTCGTGGATTGGGCGACGTGCGGTCAGGGAAATCCTCTACGTGATCTCGCTTTTTTCTTCATCGTCAGTGTCCGCGCAAGTCATCGCCAAGAACAGGAAGACCAGTGCTTAAAGGTATATCATAAGGCACTGGTAACAGAAGCGGGTGTTGCGCGGCTGTCATTTGATGAGCTGCTTCGGCAGTATAAAATGTGCGTGCTCAATCAGTTTTTAATCTTGGTCGTCTACGACAGCCTTAGCAAAAGTTTTGCAGCAAATGCAAAGACCGAGAATCTTCAAGTGGAGCTGAGCGCTCATTTTAAAGAGGTAAATCACCGTGCGTGCTTGAGTGTCTTGGACAACGTTGGCGACAAAGAGATCGAGTTTCTATCTACCCATGCTGACTACCCTACAGGTTTCCTATAATTTGGTTCCCCCGACATTTTTTGGTACGAAGAATGTCATCTTTTTTATACTATACCTGTCAAATCTGTTGGGGGCATACCCATATCTGTGTCATAACAAATCTGCACAAGTATCCCTTCGACGAAGAAGAGCGAATATGGCGCGTTCTATTCCAAAGCCTAATCCATTTCTGGACAGCCTTTTAGTGGGTCTACTCGTGTGTGAACTAGGAGTCATCACGCATACACTGTGGGATGATAAGCAAATGCTCTGTATCCTCGTAGCCATGATTGTTGTGGTTGCACTGACTGTTAAATTGACCAAGACTTCGTTCGCTATTGGAGGCGGATGGTTCTCGCGCACTTTCTTGCAGCACCTTGGAGACCCGCTAAAGAAGGCGGTGACCATGAAAAAATGGTGTGATCAGTCATGGCAACTCGCTATTCACGTGTCCATGACGATCTTTGAATTGTATGTACTGCGTGATGAGACGTGGTGGCAAGATACAACGACATGTAATACTTTATCTGGCATGATAAAGCTGTTTATAGATGACTGATGGACCCTTTGACTCCTTTGTGTTTTCAGTGTGGAACCAAGGAACCGATACGGGCGTGTTCCTGACGCAAAAGTTTAGTACCAAACTGCTTTACATCACGCAACTGGTGAGACCCGTCGCGTGTAATCGTTTTGCTGGCTAATAAAGTTCCAATAAGATGACTAAAGTGATGGTTTATGTGGCTGACTTACCTTGTCATAGGCCATTTGGATCTTCACTGCATTCTCCTGCAAGTTCCTGGAAGAAATCCGTAAGGATTATTTGGTCATGATGACGCATCATGTTGTCACAATTGCACTGGTCACCTGGTCATATGCAGTGGGATTTTTGCCCGTGGGTGTGATCGTCTTGCTACTTCATGACATGACTGACATCCCTCTCGACATGCTGAAGATGGCCAACTACCTCAAAATGGAAGGCGTCCCTGGTCTGTTCGCGAGCGAGATCCTATTTGTTGTGACGATCGTGTTGTGGTTTTACTATCGCATCTACCAGTATCCGACCAAGTTGCTTTACGCGACTATTGTGGAAAATCGCGAGGCCAGCATGACAATGGCTGATGCACATGACTTCACGCAACTTTTTCCTCACCCGGGACCTCCATCGTGGCTGCTCTTTAATGTACTACTCACGACGCTGTACTGCTTGCACATTTGGTGGGGCATGCTGTTGGTGCGGGTTTTAATTGGCGTGGTAACCAAGGGCACCCATGATGCGGCCAAGGACGAATACGAAGGCACGTCGTCTGACTCGGATAACGAGAGCAAGGACGACTAGAAGGTAAACGTGCTAATGCGAGAAGGTTGAGAGACTACAACTTGATTCGAAGAGCAAGGGCTTAATGGAACGTAGCTCGTAGCTGTAAAAAGTTGTTACTGTAACACCGCTGTGGAAGGAAGGAGTGCAATAATACATACTACTGCTACTGATATGAAAAAGGTATCTTATATGTCCAATTGTTGTCAAATTTTGTATTTTGACCCTTTTGGTCTATACAAAATGATTCATCTTTGTAACGTTGAATTAAACTATTTTGTTGGCAAATACCGTTTATACAATCTGGTTTTATGAGCCCGTTTAAACGCAATTGCTTTTATCATCCGTTTTCGCAATTTGACAAGTGCGTGGCCTGGAAACAACATGATGGAGGCGTTGGGCGAGGCACCGCCAGCATCAGTGGAATCGCTCATCACGGAGGACTCCATTGTGAAGGCGCTGCACGATATCCTCCCATCTATGAATGCAGACACAGCGACTCTACTGGTAGTGATGCAGAAGCTTGCGGATCGTGTTGGGATGGAATTTGTGGACTTGAAAGCAAAGTGGAGACCTCGCATCAAGGAGTTGCTGCCGGACATGCTGGGGCTACTTGCGGGTGGGAATGTATCTGAAAGTGAGAGCAAGAAGAATGATGCTGACGTCCATGAAGAGGAGGAGGAGGAGGAAGAAGTGGTTGATTTACGACCGCGCAGGAAGCGCACCTCTAGAAAACGCAATACAGATGTGGATTCGAGCGATAAAGAAGGTCATCGATCGAGAATTGTCGATAACAGTGAGTCAAGTGAAGACGATGCAGCTACGTTTGAAGTGGGTGATGAAGAGGATGATTCTGACGATGACGGCAATGTTGCTCCTGTTAAAGAGAGACGAAAAGTCGTGCCAGTAAGTTCTATGTATTGCAGTATTGTCGACGTATATTGCTCGTGCTAAACACTATTCTCTGCTGTGTGCCTCTGCTTGTGCTTGTAGCCCGATCACAGCCATAAGAAAAAGCGAAAGAGCAAGGGGGTCATGCCGCCGCTCAAAAAGTCCAAGACAACAACGCAGCCAGAGTCCGCAGGTCTGACTTCGTTGAAAGAACTTGGTCGTGCAGCGGGTATTCTCAAGTACGTGATGGACGCGAATCATATTGCACTGTGTGCTAACTCCTTCGTTGCTGGAACTTTTTAGCCCACAATTGTACAAACTGCTTAATCGTGCTACGTCAACTGCGGACGCAGAGGAGATTCTGCGTGATCGATTACATGATACCGGTATTTCGTTTGCCGGTGCGTATCCTTCATCTCGCGAGATCAGCGCAGCAAAGAGAAAGCGTGAGAAGGAAAAAGAGCTGGAGGGTATTGACACAAGTCTGATAATCTCGAGTGGACGATCACGTCGTGCAGCGTCGCGGCGCAATTCTTACAAAGAAAAGCGTTTGAGTGGCGAAGAAGACAATGCTGAAGAGGACGAGGAAGAAGCGGATGACGACGACAAGGACGACGCCGGCGTTGAGGGCTCTGCTGTTAGCGACTCTGACTCTTCAGAGGCATCATTTTGATGAGTACAAACGCAGAAGAAGGTTACCAAATAGATGAATGCAAAATGGCTCAAATTCACTTTTTGCTGCGAAGTTGTGCATGAGGGACATACTAAAACCACAATTCACGCTGAACCAACCATCGATATACCCATTTCAAATACCTATTTGAATGACCCAAATCGCCAAGAGTGCTTCACCACCACCAATCACTGGGCTTTGTCTATCACCCCCTTTGGTCTTTGGCATTTACTGCTCACCAGTTTCCAGAACCCGAACGTGAAGCAAGAATCATGCCGTCCTACAGCCAGGAACCTGAAGACGCTCAGCGCGCCGCCAAGGCTCGTGGCTCGCACCTTCGCGTGCACTTTAAGCACTGCCGTGAGGTCAGCCATGCCATTAAGGGCATGCCTTTCAACAAGGCTAAGAGCTTTTTGCAAGCTGTGCTCGAGTACAAGCAGGCTGTGCCCTTCACCAAGTTCACGGGCGGTTGCGGCCGTCACGCTCAGGGTAAGCTTCGTGGTGCCGCTGGTGACAAGTGCAAGTGGCCACAAAAGGCTACCAAGATCATTCTGGACCTGTTGAAGAATGCTGAAGCCAATGCCGAGGTCAAGGGTCTGGACACGGACTTGCTGTACATCTCGCACGCTCAAGCCAATGCCGCCATTAAGCAGCGCCGCCGCACGTACCGTGCCCACGGTCGCATTGGCCCTTACATGTCCAACCCGGCCCACATTGAGCTGATCCTGACGGAGAAGCGCGCTAACGTTGCCAAGGCCGTCGAGGAAGTGAAACCTACCAAGGTGTCCCGCAAGCGTCAGGCCCAGCTACGTCTTAAATCAGGCGGCGGTGTCCCGGCTAACTAAGTTGCTTTATACACACGGAGTATCTCTTGTCTGAAACACGAACGGTCAGTCGGGAACGAGCGATTGTAGATGGAAGGGGTGGCGAAAAGTTTGGTAAACTTTTTAATACAGCCTTGCCGAGAAATGGGTTCTACTGATGTAGTGTTTTGCCAACAGAGCAAGCGCGTTTACCAGTTCGTCTTCAATGGGGTTGCCCTTGGTGACGTCATTGGTGTTTATCGAGCTGCGTACAGGTACAGACAGGTTTGACGAACAGTGAGTCGCGTCGTACTACGGTGAGCGGGTGGTCTAGCTAGGAAGATGATGACATCAGGACATACGACACGATCGCGTACGAATTACGCGCGCAGCATGCATGTGTCTAAAAGTGCCATCGAGTTTTTGGGCACACCACATGCATCAGTCTCCCCCCCTCGTGCTTCATTTCGTTGTCGTGCTGTATCGGTCGAGGTGGTTCTTCTTTGAAAAGATACTCGCAGGTTTTTGTCAATTTGTTCTCTGTGGTAGCATGTTTTGTCACTCTTGGTGCTGTCTTCCTTGTAGGTGTTTGATGTCAAGCATTGCAAGCTGTTGCTGCTATTCGTTACTTAAATATGCCTAATACACTCCCTATTTTGGGTAATGAATGACATTATCTTGTTGATTCTAAAAGATTACGCCATCTACGAGAAATTAGATTCTTTTTCTTTTGCTAGTTGGTATGAACTACGTATGATAGTGTCTGGTATAGTAATGTGCGTCAATAAGCAACGCCAGAGATCGACAAAAAAACAAGTCGTAATATAAGATTTGACCGGTTTTATTGACGCCAATGAACGAACATTAAAATATTGTCCAATAGAATTGTTATAACGCTTTAAATTTTGGCGGGAGTTGAAAACGCGGGAGTTGAAAACAATTTGCCAAGATGAAGCACAAGACGCAGAGTTCTCTGCTGCATTTCTTCAGCCCTCCATCGTCAGAAACTGCATCGGACACGAAGAAAAAGCACACGTCTACTGGATCCAGCAAAAACGGCAGCTCCAAGACAAAAATAGCCGATACGCAGACAAAGCGCGAATCGCTAGGCACTACACGCAAGAAGATCGAGTTTTCACCTAAAGTGAAGCAAAAGACGGTGAACAAGGGCAAAGAAAATGGCAGTAATAATATGGAGAGGAAGTACATGGAAGAGGCATCGGCTGGAGGTGTTAAGCGCAAGGCCTATGAGGATTTTCTTGGCACAAGCTCAGAGGAGGAGGAAGAAGAGGAGGATCTTGTGAAGAGGAGCAACGAGAAGGACAGAGAGCCGATTAAGAACTACAATAGGAAAATTGTGATTCGAGATGATGATGACTCTGACGAGGAGGAGGCTGTGGTTCCACCTTCACGTCGTCGGAAGGGGAAGAAAACCACGCATAATGTTGTGAGCAGTGATGAGGAGCAGGACAGTCCGGAGGAAGGAGATGATGGAGACGAGTCGGAATTTAGTGGTGCAGAGAATGAACCTTCCGATGATGACGTTATGGATGATTTTGTAGACGAAGAGTCAGAGGAAGACGCCCCACCACTAAAGAAACGACGAAGGAGTGCTCCTGCATCAAGCAACTTGAAAAAAGTGGCGGTCAAGTCCTTTTTGTCTCCTTCACCTTCTGTTAAGAAAAAATGGGATGAGACTGTTGTGTCAAGCAGCAAGAAAGCTGCTGATGGCCCTGTGTTGCCTAGTGCCGTGGCAGGTACTGGCAATCATATCCATGATTCCCTTCCTTGGTTGCACGAGAAACGACGTGACATTAATGGCAACACACCCGACTCTCTGGACTATGATCCTCGCACTTTAATGGTGCCACCAGAGTTTTTGAAGAAGGAAACTCCGGCCATGGTGCAATGGTGGGAAGTGAAAGCGCACAATATGGATACAGTGCTATTTTTCAAGGTTGGCAAGTTCTACGAGTTGTTCCACATGGATGCAGATGTTGGCTTTAAGGAGCTGAATCTTATCTACATGAAAGGTGATAAGGCACACTCTGGTTTCCCAGAGATCGCCTATTCGAAAATGTCGTCCCAATTGGTTGCAAAGGGCTATCGCGTTGCTCGAGTTGAACAAACCGAAACCCCTGACATGATGAAGGTCCGTAACAGCACTTCCGCGACGAAGGCAAAGGTTGTTCGCCGTGAAGTGTGCTCTCTATTGTCCATTGGTACCAATACTGTCAGCTTCTTGGACGCCCCAATTTCATCTCAGGACGAGGTATCGAAGCACCTTCTTGCGCTCAAAGAATCTTTCGACCTTGCGCGAAAAACTGTGCGCTTCGGTGTTTGCATGATAGATTGCTCTACCGGCGCCTTTCAGCTATCCGAGTTTGACGATACGGAGCAGCGCGACCGTCTCAAGACCCTTTTCGCCCAATTTCATATCGTAGAAATCGTGACCGAGCGATTTAACGTCTCGGAAGATACTAGGATGGTCCTAAAGCACGCCGCACCTGCTGCAATTCGGTCATCATTGCGAGTGGGAAAGGAGTTCTGGGATGCATCGAAAACAATCGACGAAATCGAACGCGCAGGGTATTTTAAGGAACATGGGTGGCCAGAAGATGTTCTGTGCTTTCTTGAAATGGACAAAGTAGTAAAGCCAGACGGTCAACTTGCAATCAGTGCTCTGGGTGGCTGCATCTGGCATCTGCGACGAAGCATCATTGACCAAGAGCTACTCTCACTTTGCAATTTTAAGAGGTACAAGCCGTCAGACGAGGAAGCACGGGATGCGCGCGCAAACAGCTCAGCTATATCCGCTGCTAAGGGTGAGCTGAACCAGCAATATGTCGTACTGGATTCGCAAACTATTCATAATTTGGAGGTGCTGTCCAATAGCTACAACGGTTCGCGCTCGGGATCACTTATCGACATCATGGACAAGACCGTGACAAGCTTTGGTCGTCGTATGTTCCAGGAGTGGGTACTAAAACCATTGTGCAAGACACGCGATATTCAAGAGCGACTTGATGCTGTTGAAGAACTGGGTAACAATGGTGACTTGATGATGGAGATCCGCGAATTTCTTCGTAGACTGCCCGATCTGGAACGTATGCTGTCTCGCATACACGCACTTGGATCCGCGCATCGCTCGGAGGAACACCCAGACAGCCGAGCAATTATGTACGAGTCGCAACAATACAACGTTCGCAAAATTAAGGATTTCCTGTCCGTGCTAAACGGATTCGACACGGCAATGAATCTTACTCTCGAGTTGGGTCCACGGCTTTCGCAATCCATCTCGCCTATTCTCCAGGTACTATTGAAGAGGCACTCTATCGAAGATGGTGGTCACTCGGGCGCTACACATGGGCACTTTCCCGACCTCACAAAGAAGCTAGAGTATCTCAAGCGTAGCTTTGACCAAGCTGCGGCAAGAAAGAGCGGTGTGATTGTACCTCAAACTGGTGTCGACTTGGAGTTCGATGCAGCTTGTGTTGAAATTGCACAGGTTGAAGCTGAGCTGGCAGAGTATCTATGCGAGCAGCGCATCGCGCTGCGGTGTCGAGAGATTTCTTTCTGGGGCAAGAAAAAAGAGGATCGCTATCAGTTGGAGGTTCCTGAAAGTGCACTTTCAAAGCAGCCGAAAGAATATGAGCTCAAGTCTCGCAAGAAAGGATACAAGCGCTTCCACACGCCCACGATTCGCAATTTACTCAAACGGCTATCTACGGCAGAAGGCCAGAAGGAGGAGGCACTGAAGGATCAGACACGTCGTATTTTTCACAAGTTTGATGTGGATTACAAGTACTGGATGAAGGCGGTGCAATGTCTGGCTGTGCTCGACTGCCTAGTAAGTCTCGGATTACTCAGCAGCCAGAGCGAAGGGTACACGAAGCCCGAAGTAGTTGCGGCTAGCTCTGCAAATGGAGGAACTCCTTTCATTGATATCAAAGACGGTGTACACCCGTGCGTTGCTGTAACCTATGAAAATGGCAATTTCATCCCAAACGATGCACGCCTTGGCATCGATGGAAAGGGTCAAATGGTTCTCCTTAGTGGACCAAACATGGGCGGCAAGTCGACATTGCTGCGCCAAACCTGTGTCCTGACCCTCATGGCTCAAATCGGTAGCTTCGTTCCCGCTGCAAAATGTCGTCTTAGTCCTGTGGATCGTATTTTCACTCGAATCGGTGCGTTCGATCGCATCCTTGCTGGTCAGAGTACTCTTTACATGGAGCTAGCTGAGACTGCGACGATTCTGAACCACGCAACCAGTCACTCGCTTGTTATTCTGGACGAGTTGGGACGTGGTACGTCTACGTTTGACGGCACTGCTATCGCATACGCCGTTGTTGAGCACTTGCTGAGCGACATTCAGTGTCGGACAATGTTTGCGACGCACTATCACACATTAGTCGAAGAATACGCGAGCAACGGAAAAGTATCGCTAGGTCACATGGGCTGCATTGTCGACCCCGAGAATGATCGCAAGGTTACGTTCTTGTACAAGCTAAAGGATGGCATGTGTCCAAAGAGCTACGGCATCAACGTCGCCATGCTGGCCAAGCTTCCAGACGAAGTGATCCAGTGTGCAGCGAAGAAATCGGAGCAGTTTGAGCATTCCCTACAGGCAAACTCACACTCGAAGCAAGTGAGTAGCCGAATCGTGCAACAGGTTCAGGAAGCGCTAGCTCAAGGTGAAGCAGGTATAGATAAACTTCGTCAGCTGTGGGAACACGTGCGTAGCACCTGATCCATAATCCGAAAAATGTAGCCATGTGACGTCGCAGCTCTGACGTCGCCCGGATACCCAAAATTAAAATCCGAAAATAAGACTTTTGGATCAATTAGTCGAATGGATGCAGTCGCTGGTGGAGCTTGCAGTGGTGACTGTGGCACTTTTTACACCTGTGCAGGACCTTCTCGATCATGTGGAGTATCTGCCCACAGCCATTCGTTGCCGTCTCTTTCGTGAGTTGTCCAATCTTCGTCTGCGAGAAATGGAGGTGGCGTGGGAAGCAGCTGCAAAACTTGAAGCACCGGAACCACGCGACGGCTTTGATCCGGCGGCAGGCGACAAGTTCCTGTTTGATCGTGAGACGCAGCGCGTGTGGGAGCTCCGTATGAATGCGGCACGATTGGGTTGTGAGCCTATTTCCATTGAGAACACGGTGGCAGCACAGGGACGTAGACGGAACCACCGACATGAATTTTGGGAACACCAGTTTCGCACGTTACTAAAGCTGCGGACACCAGTGAATCGTGCAGGACTTACGGATGTTTTGGTCGAATGCCAAAAGCTCTTTGTGGATGTTGTGGAGGTACTCAAAGTGCACGGTCGAGAGGTCTGTGAACACAACGTGGAGCTCATTTTAGCCCTCCGACAGCTTCGAAGACTTGAAGTGCACCATCCAGAGCAGCAAAATACTTGCTGGAAAACTATAAGACGCTTGATACAGGAACATGCGCATCTGAAAGAGCTAGGATTCTTTCACGGCAAGCTGAGTGATGATCAAGTTGCTCAGATTCGCACCATGCTCGTGAAACCAATCCCAACGTTGGATAAGTGTCTGGACACGAGCAGAATCATGACACTAGAGCTAGTATCGGTGAAAATTCGATTGGAAGGGTATCGGCAGTTGGTGGGTCTGGTGACGGAGATGCCACAACTGATGCAGTTAAGACTAAGCAACTCTATCGCGGATTTCGACAAGAAGCTGCTCATCGATGCAGCATTTCGTGCTGCAAAGCTGCAGCGCCTCTTCTTGGAGCACAATGAGCTAGAAGATGACGCATTCGTTGGACTAACCGAGATACGTGAACCACTGGCATTGCGACACCTCCGCCTTAGCGACAACGAGGTGTCGTGTACAACAGTGGGGGCGATCTGTAGCGCAAGTATGGATGGCGTGCTGAATCTGGAACGTCTCGAGTTGACAAACAACGTGCAGATTGGCGACCCGGGTATACACGCTCTGACACCAATGCTAGCTTCTCCAGGTGCTGGACCGGCTGCGGTGCTCACTCACCTGGACATTCGATGCTGCAATTTTGGCCTTGACGGTGTCACCAATCTGCTGCTAGCGCTGGGTCATAACAAAACTGTCAAGCATCTGAATATCGCTCAGAACTTTTTTGACGTTGGCTTTGGCGATGTTCTTGCAGATTTCCTGTTTACTAACAACGCTGTCACACACCTACAAGCGAACGGCGTTGGGCTCGGCCTAGCAGGTGTGTCTGCTCGTCTGTTGACAGCACTAGAGAGCAACACCACTCTCATATCTCTTTCGATGGGGGCAAATCGGCTACGGAATGAGGGTGCATCCGCACTCCTGCGTGCACTTGTAAAACGGGCGCAGATGAAGCCATTCATGCTTGTCGACCTGAGTGGCAACTTACTCACATTGAGCGGGCTTGCGATGATAGCGGACATCTTGGAAAACCCTCATGACGCTAATACTACACACTCCGGTAGATCCCGAACGGATAGCATCAACGAACAAGATGAAGCGGCCCTGTTGGATTGGAAGCGCCGACGAATTGTTAGCTCTGGCAAGTGTCACAACTCATCAAGTCTGCACAATAACAGTGGCATACCTATCGAAGAGTTGTGTCTGCTGAATAACGATTTCAACGGGAACGACGAGCAAAGGGATGATAGTTCAACGCTAATCGAGTCCATCCGACGTCGCGTAGGCCATCTCAAGAGCAACGAGTGGGCAATACAACACCAAGTGTATGATGATGAAGTGTAGAATAGATGTTCTGATACTCAATATGTACCTTGGACGTCTGGAACTCGTTCCCATTACCACCTCACTTCCCAATGGGACAAAATGTCCAACGCACGATTTATTCCACGACAGTAAGGCGAATAGCCCCTTACTGTCGTGCTGTCGGCTGCCACCTGTCAGAAGTAATGGTGGCGTATCTACGGTCGACATACATGTAGTTCCGTTGACGCCACTCACGATCTTCTTTTCGCTCAACGAGCACACGCTGCTTTTCTTGGAGTTCAGTGCTTTGCGACTCCAAATTGTTGAGTATACTCTGTAGTGGGTGAAAAGTTTCCTCATGTTCGCCATCCGAACTAAGACTGTCAACTTCGGCGAATGGCTCATCTTCGACGTCTTCACCCTCGTAAGCATCATACTCGACTTCATCGTAGCTTTCGTTTTCTTTGTCGTCCTCATCATCTTCGTCATCATCTTTGATCGCCGCGGAGTTTGTTTCATTCCGTCGGCGCTTTTTGACAAAACTTTTTCCGTATTGTTCGTCTTTGCCTCGTTTGGACGGTCTTTTTGAGCTATCATCAGGTGCATACTGCCCCAACGGCGAGTACAAATTGTCCAAAGATAAATTGTCCTTTGCATTGTGATTGCTACCCTTTGGATCAGAGAGATTGCTTGAGCCGGACCCTGCAAAACACAGAAAACAGGTCTCATGAGTCTCACGCATATATGTACAACAACAGCCATGAGCCTACGCACATGCATTTTCCGACGAGTTGACCGATTGATTATCCAACTCAACATCAGCATCGACTCCTTCGTCCCAAGTATCCTCTGCAAACCAACAGTGTACATTTTTGATGGTGAACCGATGATAAAGAATGCATCGCAGCCAAAGAGCCAACATACCTGGACTAGATTGCTTTCCTACAGTGCTCGAAGTGTGCTCCTCAGCGGTATCCTCAACACCTGTTCGAGATGTCTGACTGAGGGACGCGAGAAGACTCAGTCCCTCTTTCCCACGTTCATGCTCGTCTTCTTTGACAACTGTATCCTTGTTTTCGATCTGGGCAGTCTGCTGAACATGATATGGACGTGGAAAGCGATCATGGTCACGTTCAGCTCCGTCATCGACCAAGCGACGCAATTCGATTGCTTTTTCTTTAGCCACATTGCTTTGCGTACATACTGTGGTCGATCTATCACAGTCAAGCTTGTCCTCTCGACCGTTCGCTTCTTGTTCGGTTGTCCTGGAAAAGTTTATGTCCAGTAACCTTTGAACGAAATTCTCAAAGTTATCTAATGAGCCGAAACCTACGGAGCACAGAATGAACGTTGAAATTAGAATACGTAGCGTAATGGGCTTGTCAAAGAGATTACATACGCCGCTCAAACTGTGTTAGAATCAACTGAACATCTGGAAAAAGATCTTGAAACGTGACGCCTAATACAATCCGATGCCAAACATTACAGACAATACGTTCCAATCAATTCTGCAATTCGAGCCTCAATCACGACGATCCTCTCATGCCGTACCTGATGTCAAGCTTGCAACCCTGTAGAAAAATGTAACCAATCTGTTGGACCTATACAAGTCAATAGACTGCTGCATGCACCGAAGCACATTGTGCACCGCCTTCTCTGTCCATTGGCACTGCTCAGCAATATCCTGGACAAATGCCGCATAGTCGTTCACAGGTAAAGCGTTTACTGGTGTTATTTCAACAGGTAGTGATCCCATCACGGCAGCTCTCTCCTTCGTGTGAGGCTCGCCTGCACGAGGAGTGCTTGCTGTACGCTGGACCTTTCCGACAGGCCTGCCTTTTTTCAAAGGGGCAACATCTAGCGCTAAAGGACTCATTGGATTTGCTTTCGAGCTCGACTTGCCACGAGCTGCCAGCGTTGATGATCGAAGCTTAGGTCGTGGCGACCAAACATCGATGACCCGTCGTTTTTTATATTTATTGCGCGCAGCCGTCATGCTAAGGCCTGTTTAAGCATCACAAAGGCGCGTCTCAATTTAGCGTCATACATCAAATCAAAGGGCGCACATACGTACTCCGTGACTTCATCGCTAAATAGCCAAGAGCATACGGATCGTTGCTGTTGCTCCAGTCTTAATAGACATAATGTGAGGTTAGTACGTGAAAGATTTGAAGCCAAGTAGGCTCAGTACTTTTACCTGCACTGAAGATCTTGTTCGCATCTGAGGTTGGATCAAAAATGATGTCCGGCAAATCTAAAAAAATCAAACAAATCGTCCAAATGTAATTTACATCGCGACGAGAGTAGCACACCTTTAGAAAAGCACGTACTCGCTGCCCGAACCGTCGGCATCTTTTTCAAAAACTTTTCTCGCATGTCGATCAGCTTAGTCACACATGATCCATCTGTTCTGTCTAAGTCATATGCATGATCAAAGCATTAGGTCAGCAACAAAAAACAATGCCATCACATTGGTAATCACATACGGAGCGCTTCGGCGACATGATTGACAAGGTCTGAGCTTCCAGTCCTCTGAATCTGAGCAGTAATTTGTACGACAAAGTCAACGAGCTTTTCCATTTCTTCGGATGACCAGAGCTTGAGAGTCTTGGTCGACACTGCTGTTTTGTTCGTTCGATGCGCAGGAGGTACATTGCTAAAAATCTTCTTCAACAGCTCTAGACGCGCAAGTTCTACTCCCTGTCGCTCTTATAGCAATACACACACACATGAAGAAGTACATGGTTAGCCACGTATCACAATGAAGCTCAAATTGCACGCACACTCACGACATAAGCGACGCTTCGATTCTCTTACGTAGATATCACGCAACGCGTAAAATTTGCTCTTTGTTTCTGCAACTGATTTACCTGTTCCAATACATGGTAAGCTCTTCATCCTTTCATCCTTTCATCACTCTCCGAGGCAAGAGAATACTCACTCCACACTTGAATCCGTTTAAAGTACATTTCTTGATTTTCTACAAATAAACCACGATATTGTCGTGCTTTTTGAAGGAACCGATTGAGTTCATTTGGTAACCAGATGCCACCAGTTTTATTTTCTGCCAGTTGACTGATTGATTCGTAAAGATGTTCGTAAACATACACGTTTTGTCCATTTGCCATGATAACTGCTCGCACATGGCACAGAAAAAAAACAATTGCATTAAAAAGTTATCCATAATAATAATCATCATGTCTTTTTAAGTAAAAAAAATGAACCAAAACGTACCGTCTGTACGAAAGTTTTTAGTACTGAGTCCAAGTGCAAATTGTAACATTAGCGACCGGACCATTTCTTGAATTTCGGATACCGGTTTATCTATCACATGATCAAAGTATCGAATACCCAAATACCAGTACAAAAAAGGTAAAATTACTTGTCTTTTGATCCAATAAGTTCTAATTTATCGCAATACTTTATTATTAACGTACCTCGTAATTCTGCATGCATTTCAGTTACAAACGTATTATCACAAGTGTATACATAATACAACAGATGTTTACGAAGAAGTGAGAGCAATGCCAAGACGTCCGCATCGCTCCATTTTTGCACCCGCACGAGCATTTTTTTGTGGTATTTTTTAGTCAACCCTTTTTTTTGGTGAATGGGAGCTAAAGTAGCTGAAGTACCTTAGGGGTAGGGATGATGGTGTATACTCAAGACGTCGACTGCGTATAGGTGTAGAAGGGACGGATGTTGCGAGAAGGTTGTCTGTAGGCTGCGCAACCGTTCGCGACAAAAAATAAGGGGGAATTCGCATTAATCATGTCGGACGTCGAGGATACCAGCAATCAGCGTGCACTGCTGATTCCCGTCAAGAACTCGGAGCAAGCAGTACAAGTCTATGTAGATGAGCTGCCCGATGATGTGAATGATATTATTGATATACTCCGTGCTGAAGTAGCCCCTCTCGATATCTGGTTACAATTTGCCGTATGTTGTAACACTATTTGACAAAAGTTAAGGTCATTATTGACAATTGTTATTGTATTTATTTCAATCAGGTGGAATATTATAATCAAGGGCATGTTGGTCAATTTCAAGAGATTTTAGCAGTGGCATCGGAGCCAGGAATTGAAGAGATTTACAAGGATAATGCATCCAGAATGTGTCGGATCAAGTTCTTTATTGCTTTAGCCAGTCATTCAGTCAATGCCATGTGGAATGAAGAAGATGAGAAGAAAAAAGAGACGATTTCGCAACGGGCTGTGGGTTATTTTCAACGTGCTGACCGTTTGGATCATCAACATCCCATGACATTAGTGGGCAAGGCACTCATGTTTATGGCCAAGAATGAAGATGATCGTGCTGATCGCTTTATTAAGAGCGTCTTGATCTCGAACAAAAGTAATTTACCAGCGATTCTGGGCAAGGCACTGCTTTTGTACCGTAAAAAACAGTACAAGGACGCCAAAAAACTTTATCTAGAAGCCATCAAGCTGCATCCACGCAGCCCACAAGCTGCTAATATGCGTATGTGCTTTGCTTATTGTTGCTATCATCTGGGAGCTGTGGAAAAGGCTCGTGGAGTGATGCGCTACACGGCGTCGCTTGATGAGACGAATGTGGACGCTGTAATTGCGAATGCGCTATGGCAACTGGCAAGTCAGAGCCGTGAAGAACGTGCGGCGAGCATCCGTGACGAAAGCTCGCGGTTTATGATGATGATTCATCACGCACACGCTATTGATAAGACGAATCCTACGGTGCTCAACCATCTGGCAAATCACTATTTCTCACAGTGGATCCCACTTCCGTGCACAGTGAGTGTAGTACGTGGATCTGATATTGTCGCCACATCCAAGGATATTTCTAGCGAAGTATCTCCGGGTCAGATCATTTGCATCAGTGACAAGTACGTTGCCTACATTAGCCGCAATGAAGATGCCGTGTCATCGTCTGGACTCAAGCTCGATGGCCCGTATCGCGATGATTCGGTGATAGCCACGAACATTGCACGAAAGGACTACGACAAGATGTTTACGCTTGCAGGAAATGCTTTTCACAGCACAAAAATACCTGAGATCCGCTCGGAGAGTTGTTACCTCATGGGACGTGGTTGCCACGCACAGGGCAAGTACAAGGATGCGTACAGCTATTACTTTAACGCCGGACGACTTTGGCCCAAATTTGTTCTCCCGTGGTTTGGGCTGGCTCAGATGTACTACGAGCGCAAGGAATTCACAAAGGCGGTATCTTATTTGGAAAAGGCTAACAAAGCGTATCCTGAGAATGTGGAAATCTTGTCGCTTCTCGGCGATGTCTATGGCAAGCTTGGCAAAAAGGATGAGGCGGTCGTTCTGCTTCGTCGTGTCGTTGAGCTGGAACCAGGCAATGTGGAGGCTCTGATCGGCACAGCTGAACTACTTCATGCGTCTTTGGAACGTAAAGACCAGATTATTGCAATTTCTTCCTATATTGCAGCGGAAAAGGTTATGAACAATGCTTCGGAGCGTGTACCTATGGAAGTGTACGTGAATTTAGGCGTGCTTCAACAACGTGTGGGCAAGACAGCTGACGCCATCAAGTGCTTTCAAAAGGCACTCAAGCAATTGGGAGATGATGGCAATGCCAATGAAGAAAGCAAGTCCGACGAGGCTCATGCGCTAATTAAGGAGACCTCCATCCCAAAACCGTCGGAGGCGAATATTACCATTCTGTACAATATGGGACGGGTATACGAGGAAATGGGTGAACGTGATCATGCCAAGAAGCTGTATGATGCTATCCTTGACGTTTTTCCTCGATACACTGACTGTTTGCTGCGTCTGGGCTGTATGCTGCGCGATCGCGGCCAGGAGGCTGAGGCGATCAAAATGTTTGACAAAGTATTGGAGGTAGACCCGACTTGCGCCGAGGCCTCCTTACTACAGGGCAACATTTATCTAAAGAAGCGCGAATGGGTGTTTGCTCAGAAAAAGTATGAAAAGATCATGGGAATGCCTGGTCTGAAGAACGATCCATACGCCTTTTTGTCGATGGGCAATATTTTCATGAGCAACCTTGGAGAGAAGAATCGGTACACCAAGAACATGTCGTTGAGCGAAGTGTACTACAAGAAGACATTGACATCATACCCACACAATATCTACGCAGCCAACGGCTTGGGTATAATGATTGCCGAAAAGGGCAATTTTGAACTTGCGAAACAGATTTTCTCACAGGTGCGTGAGGCTAGTCCAGACATGCCAGATGCCTGGATCAATCTCGCGCATATTTTTGTCGCCGAAGAGCGTTACCAGGAGGCTATCCAGCTCTACACTGTGTGTCTTACGAAATGCTATCAGGGCCAGGATCTTGAGGTGCTTTTGTACCTTGCGAAAGCTTACTACGAGTGGAAGGATTTTTCGAGCTGCATTGCCACGCTGTCTCGTGGACTACACATGTACCCAAACGATCTTCGTCTCTGGTATAACACTGGCCTCGCCCAGGAAGATTATGCTGTGACAACGTTAGGTCAGGAAACAACTACCACACGATCCGGTAGTGGCAATGCGGTACCTCAACATCGTACTATGGCCGATGTTCAGCGCGCCATCCTAGATCTGAAGCGAGCTCAGCGTATTTTCCGTTTTCTACTTCAGCAAGCAGAAGCAACTAGCAGTTCGGGTGCTAGCGAGAAGAAGAAACACCACAACAGTCTGCCGTTCGATAAGGAGAAGGTATCAGACCACGAGAAGTTCTGTGGCGACACGTTGACAAAAGCAAGCTATCACTTGGAGTTTGAGCGTCAAAAGGAGGAAAAGCGTCGGCTGGAGATTGAAGCTCAGCGGAAGCTGCTGCGTGAGTACGAGGAACGCGTGGCGCGTGAAGAGGAAGAGACGCGTGTGAAGGAAGAAGATATGCGTAAGCGTCACGATGACATTCGACTCAAGCAGGACGAGCGTCTAAAGAAATTGCACGAAGGCTGGAGTGTTCGTGAGCGTGAGGAAGAAGAGAAGAAGGTGGTCAAGAAGAAAGGAGGCAAGAAACGCAAGAAAGCTGGTGAGGAGGATGGTGGTTTTATTGATGATAGGGAAGAAGAGCTGGAAGAGGACGGTGGTAACAGCATGTCGATCGAGGATATGAAGAACCGCAACGCGACCATGAAGAAATTGGTGGAGAAACGCAGCAAGCGTGCGCGTACGAACTCTGGCTCAGAAAATGAAAAGGATGATCCAACTGGTCTTTTCGGCTCTGACTCGAGCGACGAGGAGCAGGAAGAGGCCAAGTCAAGTGAAGGAATCAAGGATGAGACGAAGTCTACGACTGAAAATGCTGAAGTTCTGGAAAGCCGTGAAGCAGAAAAGAACGAGCTCTTTGGATCGTCTTCGGATGAAGAATAAATCACATGTAGACGTGAAGTAGGTATATGCTGCAAGTACTCATCGTACGCATCTCGACGCAATTCCTAACATTGTTTCATAAAGCTATTCTGAATATTGTTGCAATTATTGCAATAGTTGCCGTTTTAAATTTAAGTTTTCACTGAATGTTCGATTTCAAAATGGCGCGACATCCAATCGAAGTGCTTATTTCTAATTGGTCAATAATAAAATACGAGGAAAAAAGCGCGGGGAATCCAAGCGCCCGCCATTTTTCGTGAGCTCTTTTCCTTGTCACTTTGGATTTGTTGCGTGACGAAACAAGCGACAACTCGATCAAAGACTTTATCTCTCAATAACTAGCACCATTCCTATCCATTCGTTGTCAAATGGTTGCAATCTCTTCCGAACGTGTCATTGCAAACAAGTCGATGAAGCAACCAGAGCAGGAAATGAGCCCCCATTCCGTCGCAGGATTTGCCAAGATTGCTACCGTTAATCAGGAAGAGTCCATGCTGGAGATGTCCGAGTACAAACGCAAGGAAATGAGTGGTGAACTATCACCTGAACCGTTTCTTGTTGTGAATCCGAATCGTTTTGTGCTTTTTCCTATTCAGGAGAACGACGTGTGGCAAATGTACAAGAAAGCCGAGGCTTCGTTCTGGACAGCCGAGGAACTCGACTTGGTGCATGATCTCAAGGATTGGAAAAAACTTACGGACAATGAACGTCATTTTATTAAGCATGTGCTTGCCTTTTTTGCAGCCAGTGATGGCATTGTGAATGAGAATCTCGCCATGAACTTTAGCAATGAAGTGCAAGTACCTGAAGCTCGCTGCTTTTACGGTTTTCAAATTGCTATCGAGAATATTCACTCGGAGGTCTATTCACTGCTTATTGATACATATATTAAGAATGCTGTAGAGAAAGATCATCTCCTGCGTGCTATTGATACGATCCCATGTGTCAAGAAGAAAGCCAATTGGGCACTCAAATGGTGTGACCCCCGTGTGTCGTCGTACGCGGAACGTCTATTGGCGTTTGCTTCGGTAGAAGGCATTTTCTTCTCTGGCTCCTTCTGCTCTATCTTTTGGCTCAAGAAACGTGGTCTGATGCCTGGTCTTAGCTTCTCGAACGAGCTAATTAGTCGTGATGAAGGTATGCACACGGACTTTGCTTGTCTCATGTACTCGAAACTGGTTAACAAATTGCCAGCGAGTCGTGTGCACGAGATTATTCGTGATGCTGTGACAATTGAGCACGAGTTTGTGCGTGACTCGCTCCCTGTCGAGCTCATTGGCATGAACTCGGCACTCATGTGTCAGTACATTGAGTTCGTGGCTGACCGTCTGCTATACTCACTGGGTGTTGCCAAGATTTATCATGCCAAGAATCCATTCGACTGGATGGATATGATCTCGCTACAAGGCAAGACCAACTTTTTCGAGAAACGTGTGGGCGAGTATTCCAAGGCTGGTGTGGGTGTCGCGGCTGAGGATCAAGTGTTTACTCTGGATGCTGACTTTTAAGTCGGTGTCTAGATTGACAAAGAACGTCGTCCGCAGCGTACAATGCAGCTCCACACTTCGCGGATCAAAGTCTTAACGTCGCAGCGGTAGTGTTCATAACCAATTCGTTGCATATTTAAAAAAAATTAGCACGTGACTTGCTTTTTTATCTGCTTCTATCCAGGAAGTTGTTCGTGCCATTAAGGATCGTATATGCGACTGGAAAGCTACATAGGCAACGCTGCATTGCCCGTCGTTTGGATTGCAATTTGTACCGATATAGCGCCTGAGACTGGCTGTGCAATATCTGCCAAGTGCTTGCAACTCCAGGTCATAGGGCACCTGCTCTTTATGATGTTCCTACTTGGCGGAGTTTGATGCCACTCTCACTGAGCTCATAAAATCCATGTTCAGACCTTCTTCGTCCACATCGTCGTCGCTACCGTCAATCTCAATCAAGCTACTCTCGCGTGATTTAACACCCACTCGTTCGCTGTCAGTTCCAATCGAGCTACGTGCAAACTTAAAGTGCTGCGTTTTCGCCGACTCCTGACCACCAATCGAATCGTCCTCGATAGCCAAAGGTTCACAAGCGGGCTGGTCCACATGTTTTCGGTTCCCTGACGCAGTCGAAGAAGCACCAGAGGAAGCCACGAAAGACTCAAATTCTTGCTCATCATCCTCTCCTTCAATGTCATTTTCCTTCCTCGCAGATCCTGGTGTCGGTATCACCGAAGGGGGAGACAGCGAGTCGTTGACGGAATCAATCGACGAACCACTGTCGCTGTATGTGTTACGCCCTTGAGGCTGCAATGGGTCTTCCTTGGGCGTCAGTTGTTTTGCCTGGAAACGTGGAGGACTTCGAATCTCTCGCTTGTATTCTCTTTCCGTCGTCGTACTAGCAACAGAAGATGCATACTGCAGTGACGTACTGCCGACAAAGCGTCCTTCCTGATCAACTGACATCGAATTCGTTACTGGATGATACTTGGTAAAGTCCTTGACGTTCATCGTATCCCGAATCGACTCGTTACTGGGTGATTCACCAGGAACACTGCTTGCCACACCAGCTCCTGCAACCATATCCGTTGTCAACCAATCACGGACACCCGTAAACGGAAAGCCACAGCATGTTGGACACTTGGGTGTCGTGGTAAAAGTGTGAGAGGCTAACAAGGCAACAAAACTACGCAGTGCTTTCTTTCGATAGTTAATAACCACCGGTGTGACGCTCGTAAAGACGTGTTTGCGTGGAAATTCAAACAACTTGAGCACTTTTTCATAGTTACGGCATCCCGGACATTTCTTGTCCGTATTGGCAAAGAATTCAATCAATTCGTTCCGTAGCTTGAGAAACTCGGAAAAGCGACGTGCGACTTCCCAGACTAAGCCAGAACGGACATTCGTCACACGCACGTGGTAACGTACTTTGCCATCAATGGACGAGTCAACGGTCGGGACCTGTACGCGAACAAGACACTTTTCATCCACGCGGCCTTGATCACCATTGCGAGAATAAGCGTAGCGTTCCGTGGGTTTCATTATCGATTCTTTTTACGGTGTGGCTTGGACAGTGCGGGATGGCAAATGGTCCATGGTATGATCATTCTATCCCAACGATCAGACGTCGAGGATTTATTTTTGTATGGAGCTCTTCATCGTGTACGAAGGGGTGCTTAGGTTCGCACGACTGTCAGCGATCGCTGATTGGGTTTCTTTTGGTCCCACCCATTTGACCGTTGCAAGAGTTTGACTGGGGGTTTGTATGGATGATAACGAGAAAAGCCGGTTCATTTTCCATAGAACTTCTGGCTCATAGGCAGACCAGGTTTACGGTGATGCAGAGGAAAAGCCATTGACGTGCGTCGGTCGATAGGCCTAATATAGGAAGCATCATGTAATTCAGAAACTTATTAATCGAGTGGTTTCGAAGATCACCGTGTTCTGTGCTTGACAATGTTGTTTAACATCTTGAGATGGACACGAAATAGGATCGCAACGTCATGTCTTGCATTCGTGTCGTATGGTAAGACAGCAGCTGTCGAACAGCAGTCAAAGAGGCTTGTCTATTGTGGTGTAAGCAAGGCGAAAAAAGTCATATCATCTCCCGTATCTGGTTTACATCGATATGGTTCTGAGCTGCATATACAATTTAGGTATCCACAAGGCTAAGCTTAACTGTGAAGTTTTCCTGGAGTACTCTGCACGTTGCCAAACCCAGCACTTTGTAACGACTTTTTACATAGTAATCATTGTCAACATTGTCGCGCGATCGCACTTGATGGACTGATGTGTAGAACAATAAACAAAGTTTATCATGACACCTCATCGTTCTGTACAAATGAAGCGGTCTCTCTTCGCACATCGAAAGCTTAATGAGTTAGTGTGCAAACATCCCCTTTACCCAATCAAAAGTACCATGAATCTTTTCAAGCCATTACATCCATTATGCCTGTGGTACGACGATTACACCGTGCCCTATGTTGTCTCTTCTGTAGCATCCATCGTTTCATCAGCTTCCGCCCACACTAGAATCAACAAAAAACAGAACGTCCGCACTTAGCGAGACCTCGTATATTGCATACTTATAGTCAGTAGTACGTACCTGGTTTATTAGAGCCAAGTTTCGGTCGATCAGGCTTGGCAATAGAGACCCGTAATGTTTTTCCAAATAGCTCCGACTCTAATCATCAACATAATCGAGCAAACATCTTTAGCTCTATCAAATCAATACCACCAACAATAGCCCGTCTCAACGTCAATCGTAGTCATAACGCACCATCCATATTGTCAATAGCAGCTTTGGCATCGGTTTCGTCCACAAACTCTACAAAGCCAAAGCCTTTGCCTCTCTCTATACAAAAAATCATCGACCATTTTAGTTCCCTATTCTCAGTTAAATAATGTAGCAAAGCAACTGATGTACGCGTAGAGTAGTCGGTGGGTATCTGCACAGATTTGATCGGCCCAAAAGAAATGAATGCTGTGTACAGTGCCTGCTCTGTCACCTGTTTGTCTAAGCCGCCTACATACAGCGCACGCTTGTCCGCTTTCTTTATCTGCGCCATATGTAGCAACTACTCTAATTGAAAGTGTAAATAGAGCACTCTAAACTACACTAAGTACGAAATGATCTTTTCGTCTTCGATAACGTGTTTCCAATAAACAGATAATAAGGAACGCAACACGAAAGGAGAGAGTGAGCAAGATATCACGATATCAGCATGAGTACAGCAACGGACGAGTTGTTTAACCAAGGTATATAAGAGAGAAGAGTCACGTTGATCTCTATAGGAGCAAGGACGATCTCGTATTCTGCTGTAGTTTTAGAGAAAACACGGTAAAGATACTGCACATTTTTTTCTGGTACTAATTTAGTCTCTTGTTGCTACAGGTTGGGGCAATGTGCTGAGTAATATCTCTCCATATGCATGGGGAAATATGGGCGTAGCTTTTGGCTTGGCTTTCTCTATTGTTGGTGCTGCTTGGTGTGTTTGAAAGTAGCGTTTGAATGATGCAAGAAGAAGAGAAAGAGAGACTGATTTTACTTGATGACAGGGGTATCTTCATTACAGGCTCAAGTTTGTTGGGTGCTGCTGTAAAGGCCCCACGTGTGCGGTCCAAGAACCTTGTGAGCATCATTTTCTGTGAAGCGACGGCAATCTACGGTGTCATTATTGCAATTATTTTGCAGAGCAAGGTGTGATGCTGACGATGGTGATGATGAAGGAAGTTGTTGGAGAGTACTGATAGTCGGTCATTTATTATAATAATGGAGCAGATGAACCAGCCGGGACTGCGTAATGAAGGAGACGACCCGATCAACGAGCAGGCACTGTACTTTGCAGGCTACGCTGTCTTTGGCTCGGGTATTGCAGTGGGTTTGACTAACCTTGCCAGCGGGTACGAGCGGTTCTGCCACGGATGGATCAAATTAAGAATAGGACTGGATCGCACTAACTTGTGGATGATTACTCGATACAGGGTATCTGTCGGTATTGCAGGTAGCAGCTGTGTGCTCGCTGATGCTCAAAACGCCGCGCTATACGTGACGATTTTGATTGTGGAGATTTTCGCTAGTGCACTCGGTATCTTTGGCGTCATTGTGGGCATTATTCTCTCCAATAATGCGGAATTTCCCAAGTAAGTGCAGACGGAAAGACCGACACGGTGTCAACGTTAGACGCACGAGGTCGGGTCAGGTAGAGGAAGCATTTGTAGTGTGAAATCGCCATTGAAGCACATCAACGCATTCCTTTTCTTGTGAGGTGTTGGCAAAATCTTAGCTGAACTATTTCCACATAGCGCGATCACTATCGGCGTCTATGGATGTGTACCACTTGGGAAGTAGACGATCTGGGTTGTATCTGGGGGCGACAGCATGAACATTTAGCCCTGAAAAAGATTGATGAGTGACCACACTAGAAATACACACCGATAGTTGAGGAATAACTCTTCTTCGTCTGCAATGTCTGCCACAGCGATAAAGGCAAGCCCCTGCAATGCGTGGTGAGAAAGAGGATTCAGCATGACACAAGTCGAGGATAGCAACATTCCGTCAGCTGAAACGTACATGCACGATAGCGCGCTTGCCAAACATGGACAGGCGTGAAGGTTCTTGAACAAAGCTATTCGGAATAAGCTCGTCAAATTCCTTAGTCGCAAAGGGTCCTGGTATTGACAGACGGAGGCAGCTTTTAGTTCGTACAAAATCATGTCAGACCCAAACACATTCAGTATCAAACCTTCCGGCGGAAATTCAAAAGCGAAGCCAATGACGTTGGGGGACGTTCCACTGGGAGGGTGATTAATCTTGTGAGCGACAGCAAGTGGATTACGCGGACTCGAAGCTAGTATAACACAAAAGATTAGCAAATGGGTTGTTGTTTTGCTGACAAGAATAGTGGCAAAACATGACCCTTACACTCGTTCTTGGCATCAATGATTACACTGTCGAAGCGAGCTCGAGCGTAGGGGTTGTTTGATAATTTGCTTATGTGATGTTCCTAGAAGTAGCACAAATAATACTAAGCGAACAATCACAAAAAAACACCACTTCCCCACAACAAATCACCTTCTTGTAATGCTCCGGCAAGTAGACGATGCCGGGGTATAGTGCCTGCGTAAGTATGACGTACAGCGCGTATAGTATCATGTAAGCAATTAGAAATTCGTAGCCACTACAAGGCGTGAACATACCACCAGTGATCCAATCAAAGCTGACCCATAGAGTTTTACACCTTCGCCTGCGTCTGGAACACTAGACTTTTCTACATTCAAGGTAAATCCGAAAAGCTTCTGGAAATTGTCACTAATTCCAAGCTACACAAAATAGCGCACAGCGCAATTGACACGATATTCAGCTCCGCTTCGAGAACAGATCTGCTAACAGCTATCGTACCTTTTCCTCCACTTCAGTGGTGCGTTCAAAGCCAGACAGCGACATCTTGGGCGCATTCTTCTCCGAATCCTTGGGCATCTTCAATACAGCTTCAAAACAGCTCTGAACCTATTGACAACCACAATAACACATCTTTTAGGTAAAAGCAAAGCATCACTTATACCACCTTCTTGACGCACCTGCTTCGCGACTTCGTCTTGTACGTACTGCTTTTGCTGCTCAAACTTCTTGGCCCCAACGATTTCCACTGCCTGATCAAACATCTCCTCATGTTTCCTACAGCATCGAATCCAACAGCATCACACAAATCCATTTACAGACTAAATACAACTCCATAGTACCATCTCTGTATACAAAAAAGTACACTTTACTTGTTAGCGTTTTGTGGGTCTAGCTTTAAGCTTCGAAAACAGCTCAGCACTGCAGCGACACCCACGTCAGCTTCCTCCTACAGCTCAATTAAAACCCATTATTATTACATATACTCCATAGCCACACGCATATTGCAGCAACAGCACCTGGAAGCGCCGTGCGGGTGTGGTCCCAGCGATCCGAAGCTGCAGTCGACGCCACACACTTGTCATTAAAACACTGCCACTTTAATGACATGTCAGCTTTCTTCGCTTTAGTGACATACCCTTTTTTTTCACGAACCCAGAGCAATGGCGAGCAGCAGCAGTGACGCGACCGAGCCGCCGCATCCGTGGGGCCCGCACATGCGCATTGGAAAGGTCTATATCAAAGGAAACAACCGGACAAAGTGTGTAGTATCTGCTCTTACGATGGCTGCTAGTGGGTTGGGTCCTGGACTTTGATCTAACTATGAACATTGCCATGTGGATACAGACCTCAAGTGTTTGAGAATGAGCTCCAGGTACGGATCACAACGTATTGAATGCATTGACGTGTCTTGTTATACGTGTATCTGACGGAGAGATGGGGTTACAGGGTGCATACGCTGCCGAGCGTATCGGTTTATTGGTGCACAGACTAGAGGAAGCTACGGAAGAATTAAAGTCTCTTGATATTTTCGAATCCATTAATATTGAACTGGACAAGGGTATGCTTAGGTTCTTGAGCTATAATAATGGCAGGGTATATTGACGAGGATATGACATTTTTGCGGGATCTAGCAAGCTCTGGTCAACAGGATGAGACGGACGTGACTATTACAGTAAAGGAGAAAAGTTGGCGGTCTCTTCATGTGGGCGCTACCACTGATGGCACTGATGAAGCAGGAGTACGGTGTGAACATTGTCTGTAGGGTGAAGAAATAATAGGCAGGGGATACTGACGATGTTTGGTTGACGTTCGTAGGAATCTTCGCTCACGCTGTCGAATGCGCTCGGTGAAGCAGAAAAAGTCACGTTAAGTGCTACGTATGCACGCTCGGGAAGTAACACGCAGCGTGCGACATTCAAAAAGCCGCGCTTTTTGGGTTTGCCACTATACTTGAATGCGGTGGGCGTCAACGAGCTGCATGTACGTAATTATGGGGTTCCAGATTGACAATTGCTCCAGACCTATCGAACTTTTCTAATCATTGTTTATTTGCACAGAATCAAGAGTGGTTGAGCTCTTACAGCGAGACGATTCGTGCTGGCAGCATTTCCATCAGCGACTATGAGGGTGTGCACGACCTATCGTTGAACGTTGGTTGGCGTGACCTACTTCCACGTCGTGACTCGAAGATCCCCACGGCGTACCGTGCGTCGCCCAGTATTTTGGCAGAAGCGATCCCGTCCACCAAAACCAGTGTGAAATATGTTTTTACGGATGACAACCGGAACAATGTAGTGTATCCAACGGATGGAGGGCTGTTCAAGTATACGTGAGTCCATCTCTACTGCTATGCGAAAAGAATATGTCGATCTTACAAGTTTGGTCGTTCAATTGGTTAGGACGGAGATTGCAGGGCTTGTGGGTGATGTAAAGTTTGTAAAGGCGGAAGTGGAAGGTCAGAAGCATGTATCCATGGGCCCCCTTCTTTTCGGGTTCCCGGCTCTAAACTTTAGCCTTTCGTACCACTTGAGAACGGTCAAGTCGTATGGCAGTGAGCAGAACCGTCCAGCACGCATTAGCGATCGCTTTTTCTTGGGTGGACCTATGAACGTGCGAGGCTTTAATTACAAAGGTATCGGGCCTCGCGCTTCTCCTCTTGATGGAGGAGTTCCACAAGGAGACGCCCTTGGTGGTGACATCAGCTACAATGGAACAGCAAGTATGGGGTTTCCCGTCCCGCTACCGCTGCTTGCAGTACGTATAAAGCTGCATTGAGCTCCGTGCAAGGCAATGAAAGGATTTGAACTGATTGTTTTCTCATTTGGTTGTGTGTTTTAGGCACTGGGTCTTCGTGGACAAGTTTTTGCCAATGCTGGTAATTTGACCACGTGGGACCGTCTGTTAGACGAGAAAAAATGGATGAAGAATCTTGCGGATGATATGCGTGTGTCTGTTGGTATGGGGCTTGTGTGGGGAACCCGCATTGGCCGCCTCGAGGCCAACTATTCGTGGATTCTCAAGGCGCATGATCACGTAAGAAGACCTTCTAGCAAATTGGTCATTTTTTGTTATTTTACTAACTTGTTCTGATTCTTGACAGGATAACATTAAGCGCGCTCAATTTGGTCTCGGTATGACGTTTTGTTAGATACGGATACATAGAGAGAAAGCAGTTGGGAAGTAAGATGCCCAAATTGAAGCCCCTTTACACGTCCCCTTTTTTGAAAATATTACTAAATAGGGGTCACTCCTAATTGCTACCTTGATTTATAAAAGGTAGGACTGTAAGAAAACCACATTGAGACCTGTCGAGAAAAAGGTCTTGCCCAATACGCTAAAATGTACTCGGGCAACGTGACGCGTATCTACAATCTAGAGCCAGACCCGCTCGAACATGGTCCACCAAAACGAGTCGTTCGTGAGGAGCAGCACATTGGTGAGATCGTAGCGGCTACAAAGAAACGGGTATCGTGGCGCTTCACTCTGGGCGACTCGGACCGCACACATGAAGTCGTGCTGGTCCACTCGATTATGAGTTATAAAAAGGTCTGAATCGGAGACATGTCGTATTGAAGTTGAAGTTGATGTTCCTAATATGAACTTGTGATGACGTAGTTGGTGCAGTTTAACGGCCGCCAGATACATTTCTCCACGACGGTAAGTTGATTACGTAATCCACTTTGAAAAAGCGTTTCAGAGAAGTGGCTAAGTGTCCAATCTGTGATAATTCTTGTATTGTTATAGGCAAGATTGGGAGACTGGAATTGTACTATGATTCTTGATGAACTTAATCTGGTTATGGAAGTACGCATTAACGATATGGAGTCCGCTGAAGTTCCAAAATATGGTACTTACGCAGAGATTATATCCCATTTCTATGAAAGAAAAGAGACGGATTGCTAAACAAGATGTGGTTATTTCTTTGTCAAGATTTTGTTATCGACAAGGTTCCATTCCGTCGTTGGGATGTGTTTCGTCGCAAGAAATACACTAATACGACAGCTACTTGTGCTCAATTGAATGTTTCTTCTGGAAGTACGTGGTGTTTTCTATATATTGTCAACAACAAGTATCTAACGTCTATTGTGTTTCGAGTTAGATGCCTATGGAACGCACCGTTGGGGGCCTAGTGGTCCTACACCTTCGTCTGAGTCTCAGCTGCAACGTGGCTCATTTGCAGGTTGTCTGGAGCCGGTTTCTGGTAGCACACGAGGCTCTTTCACGGGCGGTTCTTCTACGACAGATCATACGCAGAGCTTTGGACTTCAAAGTGCTCGGTTTAGAACGTCTTTGGAGCAAAGTGATGGACACGTCCGTAGCTTTTTTGGACAGCAAAATGAACAACTTGGTTCCAGCGGTGTACAGCAATATGGTGGAAAACGATCGTCATTGCAAGACCAGCAGCAATTACATCCGGCTACAACTGCTCCAAAGCCCAAGAAACAGCCCGAAATTAACCTGATTGACGACTTTGGCCCCACTATAAGTGTGTCGGCGCAGTCTTTGATCTTTGATCCTCTTGCAAGTGTAAGTTTGGCACCATTTGTACCTTTTTTCCAGGTACACTGGTGGCATATCTCATTGTATGAATGGTGTGACTCTTAGGCAAAGATATTATCAACAGGAGATACAGCAGCTACAAACGTGCCTCAGCAGGAACAACCGAAACAAGATCAGCACCAATACCAAGTGCCTCCAATTGGTGCCGTCTCCCAGCCAGCGACTTATGCTGACCCCTTCGCTTCCGTTGCGACGCCTGTTATGGCTAAACCTGCTGGACACATCAATTTGGACCCTTTTGCGAATCCGAATGCTAGCAAAACCTACCAGCAAATCCAACAACCAACTCGTCAAATGCCTAGATATCAGCAGCCGATGATGGGGATGCCAAGCGGTGCAGCAATGAGAGGGATTGCATTACAGCAACAGTCTGAGGTACAAAGTTCTGTTACGGGGCAGCAGCCTGCGTTCAGTGGTATGAGCAATGTCAATTACAGCATCTCACAGCTCATGGATCCAGCAAGTCTCATGGACCGCGCGAGTCTCCAAAAAGACCAGAATCAACAGGGCAAGTCCATCAACATTGACGCATTTGCTGGATTAGGCCACTAGCCCGTCAGCAGACACGACAAGTAATATGTCGCTCGTAGACATCAATGTTAAGATGGAACATAGGGAGTTGCATGTTGTTCTGGTGGTGCTGATACTTGATCGTGTGCATCTACAAGGTATATCACCGTCCATTTGTAGCTTAGGCTGTCCTGTTGTGAGGATTTGTAGGAAGTACCTGCAAGTGATCGTGTCTGCTTGTAATTTTTGTCATTCCCGTAGCTTGAGTATAAGCTTGACCACGGCTGCATGGGACGTCTACAGGCACTTTATGCAAACTGTCCGAGCACGCCTGGAATTCTACTTGTAGTTGCTCAGCCAGCAAGCAAGGTTGTATCCTACTGTGCCCTGCAAAGTTGTTGTATACATCTTTCAATTGCCCAGTCTTGTAAAGCACACGCGTAGTGGCATATGTATATATAACCATCCATATAAGCCTCACTACGTGTGTCTACAAGCACTTCTCATGCCGCTAACATCAGCACGAGTGCAACACTTCCATACGGTACAATATACCAAGAAAGCAAAGTATCAGGGGTTGTTAACAGAAATTGGCATGCATATGCCTCTATTGGAATAATTTACAGTGTAGCTCGTGCTACAACTCGGAGCGCAGTAGTCGCGCACCTTCTATTTTACTGAACGCCACATCCATTGCCACTAGTGCTCCAATTGATCATGGACGTGTATTTAAGCGTGGCTTTCTCCAGTGCGATGAGGTGGGGATCACGAACCTGCAATGTACGCATACAGTCGCAAAGCTTAAAGAGGTACTCAAAGTTCGGGCCACTAAAGCCACGTCGAGTGGCAATCTCCTTGGCCATCTCGTCTACGGGTGATGGGCCTAGAAAGTCCGAGTTTGTAGGCGTGGCAATGTATACCAGCGCCTTGCGCAGCACACCATCAACGCAGTGTACATCCACTAGTTGGCGGTCATAGCCGGCCTGTTCACGGTTGTCAAGCTTAGTAAGCGTATCCTGAACATCCTCGTCTGGTACTTTATATAAACGACCCCATGTGATGTGGTCACCCGCCAAGTGTGCAAACTCGTCGTCAAATTTCTTCATCTCCTCGCGGCTAATGAGTGTGACAACGCGACCTTTTGCCTCGGGCGAGCCACGATGGTCTGGACTACCCTGCCAGAAGCGACGATGCCAGCCTTCAACGTAACCAAACACCGTGTCCTCTGCAGGAAATTCAGTCTTCCAGACGATGGAACCGTAGCCAAATACCCACATGTTTTTGAAGTAAAATGAGGGAAAGGGGGGGAGAAGAAGAAGCTTTTACCGCAATGAGGTGAATTCGAGAATGATTATAATCTAGAGGGCTGGTCACCCACAGCTGGAGGTGTTACCCTAATCCCTATCCTTTCGATTACTCCCTCCACTATACGAGATGAAGGTTGTACGATTGTTGACAAAATTGGTAGATATTCCTATGCGTAAATGTGACGTTGTACGACGTCGTATATGACAATAAAGCAAAGGTCCTCCTCTCCTGTAGAAAGATTGATGTTGTCTATTGTGCAGTGGTATTCGGGAGTGCGTGTCGTAGTAGCAACAACACCGCGTGTTTATCCTTATCGATTAGCATAAATCGTGTAGCCGTTTTACCTGTACGGTATCCAACAATTTTCAAGCCAAGTTCCAGCTGTGCTGCGTCATTTTATTTGCCGTCACCTTTGCCAGGCTTCAAGCAAGGCCACTCAATCCACGCAGAAACACGTCAGGAACAGCTTTCCGTATCATTTGGGCTGTAGGACAGCCGCGCAGATCTGCTCCTGGCAAAGACATGAAGCTCAAGCGCCGACTGGACTCGAGTCTAGAGCTGATTGGGTAGACAATGCCACGTGCACCGAGAGCGTCCTCACAGTACATGACGACGTGGGACGACAGGTTGTTCGCCTGTTCTTTGTCTCACCGTCCATTCTGACGGATTTGTCCCGGTTATGGTTGCTTTATGTCGGTGACCAATGACAGAAGCGATTTCTTATGACACAGTTGACTAGAGCCATCGTGGTTGTAACCCTAAGTCCGAGTCATATCTTTTCGATTGGCTAAGAAAAGGGCGTCCATCCCCACAGTATCGTAGTCACCTTATGTACGTACTGTATACTTACATAACGGATTCAATACACTTCAGTAGATATTAATTCGTAGTGGTCGAGTTTCAATCGCTAATCATCTCATCTGCTTCGTCTACTTTTCGTCGCAGTGTCTAAGGATTTTGTTTGCTACCCACGTACATGTACACGCTTTGTTCCAACCATCAGAGTTCAAGCGTACATGTATCGTCGACATTGGCTTTCTCCTACCCATCTTTATAATTGTTAGACAAACAAAGCATCAGTTGTGGAGTCGCATTACTTACGTCGAGCTTATACCATTGATCGTTGTGTGTTGGCACATGTAAGGTTGGCAATTATTCGCTTTCCGCCCCCCCCCCCTCTGAATGCCACAATTGCGTTTTCATGGCAACGAGTATGGGGTGCTTCGTAATCTTTTGCGACCAATTCCCACTCGATCCATTCTTATTGGATCATCGAGCATTGAGACGGGACTTCAAGCTCTAAACCTTAGCGGTCGTCACTTATTCGATTTTTTTTCCCGGTCCAAGCAGACCTTCTATTTTTTGGTCCACCAGCGGCAAATTACACGTTTGCAGCGAAACCATGGGGTCCACTTTTCAGGAAGGCATCGTTTCGTGCGAGTTGCACAGCTAAATAATGAACTGTGTAATGTATATCGGTGAAGGAGGGTGAAGAAGACGACTGTGACAATCATATTACAGTATCTACTGCTGGAAATGTCAGTACCGCCGAGGAGCGCTTGCGTTGATGTTCGTAGATAATGAGATGGAGATCGAAAGTAGTAATTAACATAAGCTACATGTATGCGATACTGGATCAGTACTGGAGTACTTTTGCTTTATCAGTGAGCCTATTAGCGCAAAGTAAATTGCAGCACCTACATCATGTGCTCTAATATGATAAACGCATTGGGCTTGCATTCCATTGAAGCGTTTGCAATCTCACTGACACGGATTCTGAGCAACCTTTTTTTGCTCTTTCTCACACCTCAAGCGTAAAACAACAAAGCGGGTAACAGCTTTTAAACTTTTCATTAGTACTTTGATAAAGAAAGAGAATTGATTGTTGGCGTCCTAGTGATGTGCTTAAGACGGCATCATTGCCGGACGCATCATGGCCATTCACTTACTTGTATCGCAAACTTGCGAGCAACGCATTTCACCCACTTTCTTCTTCCAATAACAATTACAATCCGGTGTCAAACTGAGGTACTATTGAAGGAGTTTCAGGATCTAAGATATCAACGCGCAAGCTGCAAAGCTTCATCTTCGCTTTCTTCAACAGGCCTAGATAGATGTCTAGCCATATCCCACGCTTATACGGTGTCCGCAATCTGGTCTGCCTCGTCCGATAAGAAGCCCAGTTCATCTTCCTCGCGAATGGTAGAACAGTCGCGTAAAATCGCGTGCGAAATTGCAAGTGCGCCACTGTCCATACGTACAAGATTAACACCACATTCATAAATATGTTACTTCCTCATCCCAAACTCTATCAGACAACTTACCTAGCTGAACAGATCGTAAAGAGTATGGATCCTCCAAAAACAACAATCACCGCAGCACTCACTGCAAAACACCACAAGCCAAAAACATACTTGTGAGCATTTACATTCAGTATCAACCCCCTCCTTCAAATTGTAGCATCACTTACCACCGAGCATACCGAGTTGCCGCTGTTCAGGCGTCACAGTGCGCCCCATAATTTTAGTCGGATTTTCAGGTGACTCGTCCGCCGTTGCGCTCGACATGTAGAGCCAGAAACCGCCCAGGCAAATGAGCACAAAAAGGAAGAACGGGTTCAACAGGCTACATCAAAGATAACAACAGCCAGTACCATATGTTAAGCACGCAGCCTTCCTACCATACACATCGACAGTAACAAATATGAAGATGTAAAGAGCTTATCAACGTACATTGTGACGACGCCAACCAGCGCAGCAGAGATGGCGTAGTTAGCACTGAAATACAGCGCGTTCTTTCGACACCGCGAAGCGAGCACTTGACGTTCCGGCACATTAAACGGCTTTTCCTCACCTGATATAGACACCCCATCGTGACCCAATAATGACAGTGAGTGACGCAATTAAGGACTGAGAAACGAAAGACTTGAGAAAACGGACCGAAACCGAAGAATTGAGATACCCCACGAGCGTTCTGAATGTTAACAGACTTTACAATTTTATTGCGTATCTTCTGCAGCGCATATTGCGGCACTTCAATGGTAATGGTGCCCAGGGGCTCAACGGAAGCGACCTTCGTCTCGCTCATTGTCTTATCGTGGGAAGAAAAGTGGCTTCCTTTTTGTAAACGAAATGCGGTTTGCTAAAAATAGATTCAATCAACGAATCAAAACGAGTCAGCGTGATCCTTATTGACCAATCCACGACCATCGAACATGATCCACAACCAGGAGTGATGATCACTTCAACTTCAACTCCGCTCCGACATGCAGACGCGCAACGAGGGACGTATAGCTCCAATGAAGAAGACTTGTCAGTTAAACGATACGTTTGAAGAAGACAGTACGTACAAGGTGTTGTTTTGCATGATTCTAGTTAGTCATGTGCTTTGATTGAAGACGTTTTCTGATGAAATTTCTCTTAACAGCGAGTTCTTATGACGGAGATAAGGTCAGAGTGGCGTGTTTATCTACTACATGTCAGTACTTACGGTACTGTTTATTGTAGGAGAATGAGGTGAACGCATTGAAGACAAGGAGGAAGCGTAAAGACGGTGCTAGAGCCTCTCGTGAAGGGAAGAAGAAGGGACTGTCAAAAAGACAGAAGGTTGGCAATTCAGCAGGTAACGCTCTAGGCCAAGAATCGCCACCAATTTTTACGTTTAGAACGAAAAAAACATCTTTTCGCAAGCGAAAAACGCTGAAACTGGAGCGACAAGTCGAAGAAGAAGAGAAGAATAAAAAGCGCATCGAGGACTTGGTCGCCTATTTCAAAAAGTTGGACGCACAGAAGCTGGAAACGGCGTAAATCTGCCGCCGGTCCAGGTGGGTGTCAGTCCTTGTTTCGACAAAATGGGTTCTTGTAAGAGCTAATCTAGCTTATGCCGACTCCGCAGAAGCTAAGACGACAAGCTGGTCGCAGTAGTGAGGACTTCGGTGACGACTACGGTTCTCTTCTGCTTTTTTCGCCAACTGAGGTGCATCAATGGCTACTGTTTCCCTCAGAACGTTGTAGACAGCTTCCTGTGCTCAAGTCAATCAGAACAGCAGAAGAGTTTAATTGATTCTGTTAAGCAGAAACAAGAGCAAAAGCTGACTCTGCATATCGGTTGCTTACCTGGATGTCGGGTTCTGGATCGTCGAGGTGGACAAAAAGGCAGTCCAAAGTGTAGTTGACAATTGGTCCTTGGAAGTGCTCCTTCGGTGCTGCTCTCAGGAAGGTCGAAAACGTCTGGCAGGCAGCTTTACGCACAGTGTCATTGCTGTCATCTAGACGCTTCAAGATCTCCGAGTACAGTTGATGAACAGGTTCCTCTGTCAAGTCGTGTAAACACCGATCCTCTGTTAGCGCAACGATGGGTCATCATTTACAGTAGAGGTATTGCTTACCTCCTAGACAGCTAGGCAGTGCCACGAACAAATACTGCAACGCAAGACAAACCAGTTGGCGAGTTTTGGCGTCGCTATCATCTATTGAAGCTTTCAGTACGGGCAGCATCTACATGTCCAGTCAAAGCATGACCCCATTTATTAGCACGACAATTTGGTGACTCAGATGTAGCAACAAAAACGACATACCTGGGGTGCCGTCTCAAACAGACACGGCTGGTCGGCAATGCCTTGACTAAGACAGGTATACGCACAGGCGACAGCCGCCTTTCTGATGGAATAAAAGGCAAAGCAGTGCAAACGTTTGTGATTGAAAAGAACAGTCCTACCATGAGACCATAGCCTTACCTAATAGTTGCAGCCATACGACCCTCGTGCCAAACCATGTTGGGAATAATTGCTTTCTGGAGCAACGCCACACTAAACATTTTCAGGGCCTGCTCACACCATAATTCTGTCACGTTCTGCAACAAAGGTACTGCAATTGCTGACCACGACATACCTGAGTAATCGCGTCCATTCCTAGCATTGTCTCCAGCAATGCAAGGAAAGCAAGTCGAATATCCGCGTCCTGGGATGGTTCTAAATGCACCAAAAAGACGGGTATAATTTTATCCAGGTTCTTGGCACATGCCTGAGCAAGAAGGGCCAAGTCGGTCGATGGTTAAACAAAGCAAGCACTAACATGCAAATGAATTCGTACCACGCCTCCACGCCGGCAAAGTGAGTCAAATAGTACTCGAGTAGGGTTGCTTTTCTGCCAGCTCACAGCTGCATCAAACGGGAGCGTCATCTTATCTAGAAGCTTGCCCATGTAGCGGATGTAGAGCTCCTGCAACAAAAGCAAGTGCTGCAATTACTAAAACGACGTAAGATAAAGATGTGTAAGCCATAACAAACCTCAACCGACTGCCTCATCTGCGTCGCTAACCTCTCCATGCCTTCGCTTGCCTGGCATCATTCAAGAGCAGCATTACTAACACAAGTCCAGGTACGGAGAATGGCCTCGTAAAATAGCATACCGTTTCGTAAGCAACTGATGTTTCAGAAGACGAGGCTAGAAGGTGGCTCAATACCCAAAAGAGTCGAAAGCAGCTATCGTCTTTTTGCGCAAGCATTGAACCAGCAGTCTTGACAATACTAGCTACGACGCCTGCCAACTGATCTTGCAAGTCCGTAACTTCAGATTCGCGCAGGCCAGGATCACACAGTGCTTCAGTAATCAACTACACAATATGCACAACGACGAAACATACGATCAGTTCTCTCATTCTTCTAGCTTGGATAGCCCTGATCATAGTAATTCATACCTCCAAGTGAGCTCCCATCATTTTTGCCGTCATGCCTTCGATGCTCATACGTAACAGTATCAAGCCATTCGTGCGGTATTGTGCTGTGTCCTGTCCTGCTAACCTGCCTGCAACCATGGGCAACAGGGAGGCCAAAATCATTTGGAAGTCTGCATAAAAACCGACGACCCCCGAGCACGCTTTTAGGCTGTTCAAAACAACTTCTTCGTCGTCACGGCAGCTCTTGCTTAAGGCTGCAAATATCTTGTCGAGAAATGGGTTCATATTCTGCTCCAGCAAGATCAGAAACGCACTAAGCACTTTTGTGTAACGTTCGCGCACTTGCACATTCCAGTCTCCCGTTTTCTCAAGCAGAGGTGGCAACACGTCAGCTTGAATACTCGCTGCAAATTTACGGGCACCAAGTTGTGGGCGAGATTCGAAGAAAAGTGGAGGTGTGCTTTTGGTAGAGTCCAAAACCACCTCCGGTAGCTCGACATCACGGTGCTCCCATGTAACTGAAAGGTCATTGAGCTTAGCAAGAGCTAGAGCTCTCACTTCGGGTGCTTCGTCAACAACGCCTGCCAAGAAAATTGGAAAAATGGACGCCTCAAACTGCTGAATCTGAGCAAGCCATGCCGCCAGCGTTATTGTTAGCTGCTTCCTCACGGATGGTGCATGGTCAAGCACCACTTTACTGACCGCCGGCAATAGCACCTCTTGCATGAGTTGTGGAAGAGACTCTGACCCGCAGGGCACCGCCACTTCTAACGCCTGTAATGCACACACCCGCACACGACTGTGCTGGTGACCGAGATTGATCACGACAGGCCGCACAATAGCGCCAATTTGCATTCCCACATCCTTCTTCCAATTCTTAGAAATCAAGATGACGCATTCTGCCGACATCTTTTTGGCATCTGGGAACGGATCGATCGCCGTCTTGCCCAATGCATTAATCAGCTCTGTCATAACGTCCTGCAATGACGTCAGTCTGTCTTTTACCGCTGCAAACTGCTTCAAAAATACATGCAATAGCTGCAGAATAAGCAGTCGCATCTCTTCTGTAGGCTCCGGGTACGGCAGTTTGCCCAGTCGAGCGTTAGCCAGCGCTACGATCTCCTTCAGCGTCATGTCCGACGACCCCAGCGCTCCACGTTCGCACAAAAACAGCAACAACGTGAGCGCTCGCTCACGACATCTCTCTACCACGTCGTTCTCGGCGCATTGCAACAGTGGACGCAATAGATTGGAGACACACAGTACGCGCAACACTGCGTTCGATACGTGCGACGCCTCGCTCTGCAACGTACGATGCAGTTTCTCCACTGCTCGACGGCGCACGTTGCGATCTGGATCCATCAAGCAATTAATGTCGCGTTGCATCTTCATAGACAGCAAATTATACGTGGCTTCATCTTCTGGAGACAGCATCATATCAGCGCCGCCACTCGACTCAAATGTGAATATTGTGCAACATAATGTTGTTCTTCACGCAACATAACTTGAACACGCACGAATTTGATTCTATGTGATTTTTTTTGTGACGGGTTTACTATTGCCTCTATATGAATAGCTCCGAATAGCTACGTCGGTCGGTACATTGCTCACCGTGCCATCCAATTTATTTCTTCTTTCCCTGCGTTCGCTTGCGGCCATTGGCCGTCAGTTCGCGCTTTCGCATGCGAATCTTGGTTGGCGACACATCGATCATTTCGTCCTCGCCAATATACGTGACTACATCCTCGAGGGACATCTGACGGATGGGAGACAATTTGACGTTCTCGTCTGTGCCGGACGCACGCATATTAGTAAGCTTCTTCTCTTTCGTGGGGTTTATCTCGATATCCGTGGGGCGACTGTGCTCGCCCACAATCATGCCCTCGTACACCTCATCACCAGGCTTGACGAACATTTCGCCGCGATCTTCCAGCGTGTTAAGCGCGTAGGCCTGTCGTGAGATTAAAAGCAAAATGCACCCGTGAGAAAGTGTAGACAAGAGATAGAAGATGCCCGACAAGTCAAACTCAATAGTACCGTGCATGTGCCTCGAGATGAAGCGATAAGCTTGCCCTTAGACGGAGGAGTTGCCGAGCCATGGAAGGGAGAGTAGCCGTGGAAGATCGAGTTCAAAACACCACTTCCACGGGTGTCAGTCTTAATCTACAATACCACAAAGCAACGGTACCAGTCAATGCTACGTTTCACGTGTGCAGTATCGACAACAATGCTTCAGCACATAGTACATACCTCACTGCGGTAACCCATGAGGCAACGACTGGGAATCTTGAACAGAAGACGCACTTTGTCGTGCATCTCCTTAAACTCCACGATCTCACCACCACGGTTGGCTAATTTGTCGATTACCGTACCAGAAAACTCAGAATCGACATCGATTGTCACTTCTTCGATCGGCTCCAGCTTCTGCTTTGTCTCTGGGTCAGTTTGGAATAACACCTGTGGGGCTGAGACGGACATCTCAAAACCTTCACGACGCATTTCTTCTATCAGGATGGCAAGCTGAAGCTCACCACGACCATGGACATCAAAAGCTTCCGACGAAGTACTGGGAGAAACGGAAATGGCAACATTGTTCTACAGACACCAATCATAGGTGCATTATTAACAATTGCTCAGCGCAGACTAGTGAAAGTCGCGCAAGCACTTACCTCGCATTCGCGCTCAAGGCGTTGCTTAATGTGAGAAGACGTGAGAAACTTGCCATCCTTGCCTGCGGTAGGCGCGTCGTTCACACCAAACGTCATCGAAATCGTAGGAGGGTCCAATTGAGGAGACGGAATGGGCTCCATCACGGACACATCCGCAATTGTGTCAGACACGTATGCGTTCACGCCAGCAATGGTAATGATATCGCCTGTTGCATAATTCGACATTGCACAGATGAGTACAGAGCCATGTCCAAAATAAAGAAGCCCAGGCCAGGAACATACCAGCAGTTGCCGACGTGATTTCGGATTTTGAAACGCCACGGGTAACGAACATTTTCGTGACACGACCCATTTCGAGCTTTTTGCTGTCGAGGTTCATCACTTGTATCGAGTCTCCAATCTATCCACGTCATGCAACAGTGAAAGTGAGAACAAAGCGATGACAAAAATATGAGCATCATCGATAATGAATGGTGCGCACCTTGACAGTTCCAGCGTGAACGAGGCCAGTTGCCAAACGGCCAACGTACGGGTCATGGCCAATCATAGTGACAGCCATGGCAAACGGCTTATCGGCATTGGCCTTCGGTGCAGGCACGTAGCGGGTAATCTCATCAAGCAGCGGCAGCATACTGTCACGCGTCTCACTCTCATTGTCCAAGTCATGCACAGCCCATCCCTGCTTCGCAGACGCGAACAGTACAGGGAAATCCAGTTGGTCATCAGTGGCATCAAGAGCCACAAACATGTCGAAAAGCTCGTTCTCGACTGAGCCATCCAGACGACTGGTGTCACGGTCCACCTTGTTAATGACTACGAGTGGCTTCAGTCCGCGGTTCAACGCTTTCGTCAGCACAAACTTGGTCTGCGACATGGGTCCTTCTGTGGCGTCCACAACCAGTACCACACCGTCTACCATACTCAAGATGCGCTCGACTTCGCCGCCAAAGTCAGCGTGCCCCGGGGTATCCACGATGTTGAGTACGTGGCCATTGTACTCGACGCGTGTGCACTTGGACATGATAGTAATACCACGTTCACGCTCTAGGTCGATGGAATCCATAACGCGCTCCTCCGATAGTGTATTACCGCCGTGTTTGAGTAATTGATCGACCAGAGTTGTCTTGCCGTGGTCGACGTGTGCCACAATAGCCACATTGCGAATGTTCTCTGCGGTAACGGCAGAATAGTCAGTGGTAAAAGCACGTGCTAGAATGGGCACATTGCGCTGGAAGAAAGAGTGCTGATTGAAGCGCAAGCGCGTCAGGACGGGTAGACAGGATCGGCGAAGCATGGTGTCGAGCAAGTCCAAGCAATTGATGCACTATGTGTGGATGGGAGATGTCCGACCACTACATTGGTGTATACACTCTCTGTATACAAAGTCAATACTGACACATACCGGTCTCGAAGTATAATTACTGTACAACTAAGAGTCTGAATACGGTATAGTACCGGTATTTGAACATCTATGTACTGTAATCAGGTTTGATTTCATAACAGTATCAGCTACTCGATTTGTGTGTTACTTACTGTACGTAACACTTGTCAAAACGTTCGTGTGCAACAAGACATCTCAGTGATGTTTTTTTTTCATTCTATGCAGGCCTATTCTATAGACAAGGTATTGATCAGGCGTGTCGTTTAGGCACGGTTTGAGGAGACAATAGTGATCCGCAGTTATAGTAGTGAAGCTCTTCACCACCTCAAGCAGTATGACACATCTTGGGGCCCCAATGTGAGACGCAATTGCCCGATTCTTAGCTGCTCCCCAGCAGCAAACACCATCAATGGAGACAGTGACTGGCGAAAGCATTACAACCACGCTTTATGAGATTACAGAGCCGAGATGCAACAGCGCTCGCGAGCCAATCACGCTGGTCACGTAAAAAAAACTAGGGAGCATACAGTGCATTTGTAGGCATGAAATGTTTGTTGCTTCCACCACACGCCACTTCCGCTTGTATAAGTTTTAAGTCGTTAGGAGGACCATTTTCAGCAGTAGCCAGCAAAAGCTGATCCTGAGCGTGACATTTGCACTGACGTCGGAAGCTGACTGCTCGCATGGCATAGCTGCAGACAGGACAAAGAAGAGAAAGTATCTGTTGGTGTAGGAGGAGGGAGGGACCGCGTGCGCTTGTAATTGCTTATTTTTGGTCAGCTGGTGGTTGTTCGAAAATTGTCCAGCAGGCCGGCTGAAACTTGACTTTTGTATGGTTCATGTAACTAACCCGACCCATACCCGGATCCACTATGAAAAATCAGACGACGGATGCGGTAGATCCAAGATCAACCAACCAATTCATTCCGCATTTTGCAGGCCACCTCAAGAGTAAACGAGTCCGAAGAAGCTAAAAGTGCTGTGTGGCGTCCACGATGGCACACGCTCGAAGGACCTGTGTAATGTCGATACTGCTGCTGTTGCTCATGGCACTATCGAGCTGCAAAGCTTTCAAGCCCATCTCAGACGCCCTGGAGCGTGCGCGGCAAAACCTTACGGCTTTTCAAAAGAAATGGATTGACCCAGACACGGAGGCGAAATTTTACACTGCGTCAGTGCCCACTGGAACGTACAACTTTGGTGGCGATCCTGCGCTAAATAATAATTACACGCTCATCTTCTCGGACGAATTTAACAATTCCAAACGCACGTTTGAAGCGGGTTTTGACTCGAAATGGACAGCTGTGAACGTCCGTGATACGAGTAACATGGGGCAGCACTATTTCTTGCCCCAAGCCGTGCAAATTGATAAGGGCAATCTCATTATTACCACTTCCAAGCCCAAACATCGCTACCGTGGCACCAAGTACGTCAGTGGCAGTGCACAGACGTGGAACAAGTTTTGTTACACTGGTGGTTATATTGAAGTACGAGCCATCTTACCTGGCAAATGGGGCGTCCCTGGGACTTGGCCAGCTATCTGGATCATGGGGAACATTGGCCGTGCTGCTTTCCTGGGCTCACAAGATGATACGTGGCCCTGGAGCTTTGACGTTTGTGCTCCGTACATTGAAAAGATTGAAAAGGTCAAGCAAAAGATCAATGCATGCGGTAACCTCACAAACAAGCACGATAAGAACTCGTACCCAGAGAGGTACGGGTTGAATCCCTTTCAAGGTCGTGGTGCCACGGAAATTGATGTGATTGAAGCCCAAATTCGTGCTAAGGATGAGCCGGCATTCATCTCGACGTCCTTGCAGATCCGTCCGAGCCTGCTAGATGATATGCGTCCCGGATCTATGAACCTACCGGGCCCTAATCAATGGTACCAAGGCCTCAAGTTCGGCGAGTTCACTCGCATTAACAGCGACTACTACGGTGAGATGGGTCTTGACTCCATTTCTGCTCTGACGCAACTTGAATCCAATGCATTCAACTCGTATCACATGTACCGCCTCGATTGGTCACCTGGTCCAGATGGATACATTCGTTGGTGGATGGACAACTCTTTCTTGTTTGAGATTCCTGGCTCCGCACTGAACAAGTGGGTGGAAGATGTCCCTCCCCGCCAGATCCCGGTGGAGCCCAGTTATATCATTCTGAGTACGGCCGTTTCTGAGAAGTTCTCTCCACCGTGCTCTGGTCAGATTTGCGACTCACTGTGGCCCTCAAACTTTACGATCGACTATGTGCGTGTCTACCAGGGCAACCCAAACCGGTACACGTCGGTAGGATGCAATCCGCAGGCATATCCGACGACGGAATGGATCTATAATAACCCAGTGAATTACGGTCTCCCGTGGTATGTTTCGCTGCGCGTGGACATCGGCCTTCTGCAACTGTTCGCGGTAATTAATGCGTTTCTGGGTCTCTTCATGGCATTCCGCGGCTCGTCTCATCCGAAAATGATGTCGGCTTACGCTAGCTCATTGTGGCTCACTGCCTCGTTTTATGGAGCTCTTAGTACCAGCACCCCCAATGATATTTTGTGGGTCCAAACCGCGGTTGCCTGTCTGTGCGGATTAGTGCTTGGTAGTCTATGCTGTTTGGTATACCCAATTTCCCTGGGCGCGATGCTTGGTCTGTATGGAGGTGTCATGATTAGCCAATTCGTGCCGTTACTGTCTTCGCGTGTGATAACTGCAGTGCTGGTTTGTATCGGGATTGCGCTAGGCATCTCGCCGCGGATTGATACCAAGCACATTGTGGTCTTGTCGACTTCATGGCTTGGCAGTTTGGCATTTGTATTGTCGGTGTCACTGTGGGTGAGCGAAGGTGATATTGCTGAGAATGCGTGGGGACTCGCTGGCTTTGTCTTTAACGGAGAAAAACGCGACCACGTCGGCTTCTGCACCGAGCATTGTCTCACGATGTATGGCTTGCTTCTCATCCTTAGTGCAGTTGCCACAGCCTATGCATACTATTGTATGCGTGGTGTGCTGCTGCGCAACAACACGATCAAAGCGCGCAAGGCTAAATTTCCACCAGTGTCTGCGAGCTCAGATGCTCGATCTTGGAGGCCTAATGGTGACGATGTGTCCGGGGTGGAGAAGAACGTGGTGAACTTCTTTTCTCCGTCGAAATTACCGCGCAACATGCAGCAGTTCAGTACCATCTTCCGCATAGCTGTGAACGTGCAACGCTCATTTGGTTTCCAGTTGGATAACTTCCGTAACCAGACGGAGCACATCGTGGTACTTCTTACGAATAATACCCGTAATAGTGGAAACCCATATCGGAAGCTGCATGGTTTTGTATTTTCCAACTACGATAAGTGGTGCTCAAAACTTATGATTCAGCCTCTTCACTGGAATGAGCAACGGTCCCCTCAAGGTGGTCTCACAAGTGTGGACGAGATTTCGGTGGACTTGTGCTTGTTTTTCTTTATTTGGGGTGAGGCGAGCAATTTGCGTCACTCGCCAGAGTATTTGTGCTTCCTGTTTCACAAAATGAAGGAGGAGTTCCCGTCGGTCCGTCACTCTGAGCGTGAAGCCGGACACTTTTTGGACACGGTGGTGACGCCTGTGTATGGTTTGCTGAAGTCCGAAATGACGTCCAACTACGACCACGAGGATCGACACAACTACGATGACTTCAACGAATTATTTTGGTCGAAGGAGTGCCTGAAGTATGACTACAAGCACGAGGAGGTTATCGACATGACATCGCCAAGCCCCGCCAGGATTTTCCAGCAGCAGAAACAGAAACGCGAGGGTCTGAGTGGTTTCAGCGGCCAGCAGGGGCTCAATAATCGTGCAAAGAGCACGACCTATCTTAACAAGCGCAAAAGCATCGCTGAGGGATTTACGGAGTCTGCAAAGACATTTGTGGAGAAGCGAACGTGGCTGATTCCATTGCGCGCGTTCAACCGTATCTTCAACTTCCACGTGATATCGTTCCACTTCTTGGTAGTGCTTGCGTTTGCAAATGAGCAAGAAATGAGCTTCACGGACGCTTGCAAGATTGTCTCGAGTACTTTGATTACACCCTTTATGCTGGACCTTCTTCGTGATGGCCTCGATATTTTTGCGGTGTATCATGTGCACCAAAATACATTTTCGTCAGCGCTTAGTGTCGTGAAGTTGCTTCTGCATCTGGCGCTTGTGGTGGTGTCTTCGATGCTGTACTGGTACGCTTGGGTTTACGGCGGTCCATGGTGGCAGTCATACTATGTGGTTGTGGTGCTTTTGCATGCTCCAGGTTTGCTCAACTGTATCATGCAGGTCATGCCAGGTCTTACGAATTGGACGCGGCACACAAAGTTCGTCCCCGTCGCATTCATTCGTGACATTGTAAGCCCCATGGACCGCTTGTACGTTGGTGATAACGTTTTGGACCCGGCATCTATGAGTGTGGGATACCAGCTTTTCTGGGTATCACTGCTGTCTTGGAAGTTGTACTTCAGCTACAAGTTTGAGATTTATCCGCTAGTGGTGCCAAGTTTCTTGCTCTACGCCGATCACATGGAGAACAAAGTGAGCATGATCACAACAATGGTACTCATCTTCATAAACTGGATACCGTTCTTCTTGGTCTTCTGCGTGGATATCACGATTTGGAATTCGATCTGGATGGCCTTCGCGGGCACCTTTGTGGGTTTCTCGTCACATATAGGAGAGATCCGCAACTTCAGCCGCGTCCGTTCAGCGTTCAGCCGTGCGGTGGATGCGTTCAACGCCAAGGTAATTTCCTGCAACTCGCAGACTGGGCTTCAAATTTCTGAAAGCACCGCAATGTCGTATGGTTCTACAGCCGTCGGTCATGAGGTGCTCGATCGCGTTGCGGGAGGCGCGGATCCGACATCCCAAATTTTGTCTCAGCGACGCACTTCTCCGCATGATGACGAGACCCCTCTGCTATCTTTTTCGCGCCGCAAACAGACGACTCTGGAGCGGCAAGCGGCGCGTCGGCGCAAGTGGTTCTCGTTTTCTGTCGTGTGGGACACGATCATTGATAGTATGCGTGCAGACGATTTAATTTCAAACAAGGAGAAGGCGCTGCTTCACTTCCACCGTCTTGATGGGTATCAGCGAGAGATCTACCTGCCGCAGTTCCAGTTGGCTGGTTGTTTCGAAACCTTCACGTCTACTATTCTTGACGTGTACTCGTCTAATGACAGTAATGTATCGGAGCGTGTGCTGCAAGACAAGTTGCTGGAAATTCTCAGCGAATGCCCGATGGTGGAAGAGTCGTTAGAAGAAATCTGGGAACTGACTAACTGGGTACTTATCAATTTACTTGGCCCATGTCACGCCAATGATGTGAAGTATATCACGAGTGTGCTCAATTCCTGGGCAACACGTGGTGTATTCCGTGCACTGAATCTGCAAAAAGTGGCTTCATGTGGTCGCGCTTTAGCAGGCTTAGTGTCTCTACTGAAGTCAAATGCCCGTACGTGGAAGAACAACGCTAATGTTATTCCAGTGCGGAAAGACCCTTCCGATTACTTGTCATACGAGTTTCCGCAGCAGTCGAGTTCGTACCGCCCAGCATCATCCGGGCTTACAAAATCTGCAAGCACTACAGGCCTGTCGTCCCTGGGCCTCGAACCTCCTCGTCGTAGTCGTGGTTCTGGCGTTGCTCGCATTGCACGCATGCAACAGCAGACACACAAGCCAGCTGTCACCAACGGCAAGCCTGCGCACTCTATTCCGAGTGCTCACATTATGCAAATTCGTGAGCGTGTACGTACATTCCTGAACCTAGGGAAGGAGATTCTGGCTCATGTCAACGAACAAGACCCGGTGTATGCTGATAGCAAGGGCATTTCAGACCGTCTTACATGGATTCTGACGCAAGAACGTGGTTTCATGTGGGACGACAATTACACGGGCGAGCAAATTACACTTACTGTATTTGAAACTCACGCAGATGTGGTGCTGTCGCACCTGCACGGACTCCTCACCTTGCAAAAGATCGACGCTGAACCCCAGTCATTTGATGCGCGTCGCCGTTTGCTGTTCTTTGTGAATTCGCTGTTTATGGATATGCCACTGGCCCCATTGCTCGAAGAGATGAAGTCATGGAGTGTCATGACCCCGTTCTATGCTGAAGATGTTTTGTATTCCAGAAAGGATCTTGAAAGCAAACAAGATGGTCTCGATGTACACACGCTGCTATTTCTTCAGACACTTTACAAGCGCGACTGGGCAAACTTTGTGGAGCGCGTGAAGCCCAAGAAGAATATTTGGAAGAATCCGGACACAGCCATTGAATTGCGTATGTGGGCATCACTCCGTGGTCAGACACTCTCGCGTACGGTACAAGGTATGATGTATGGCGAAGCAGCCATACGTTTGCTTGCAGAGATTGAGCAAGTTCCGCAACAGAAGCTTGAAGACTTGATTAACACCAAGTTCACGTACGTCGTTGCATGCCAAATTTATGGCCGCCAAAAGAAGAACAATGATCCTAAGGCGAGTGACATCGAGTTTTTGCTGCATCGCTTCCCAAATCTCCGTGTGGCGTACATTGATGAGGTCCGCGTGAATTATCAAAAGGAGCAGTCATACTTTTCGGTGCTCATCAGGGGTGGTGACGCTCTTGGTTCGGTGCATGAAATCTACCGGGTACGGCTACCAGGCAACCCAATCTTGGGCGAGGGTAAGCCTGAGAACCAAAACGCAGCCATCGTGTTTACGCGCGGTGAGAACCTGCAGACGATCGATATGAATCAGGATGGGTATCTTGAGGAAGGACTGAAGATGCGAAACTTGCTTGAAGAGTTTGATAAAGGTACGGATGACCGGCCTTATACAATCGTGGGAATTCCAGAGCATATTTTTACAGGCAGCGTGAGCTCGCTGGCCAACTACATGGCGCTGCAGGAGACATCATTTGTGACGTTGAGCCAGCGTACATTGGCGCGCCCGTTGCGTATGCGTTTGCACTACGGTCACCCTGACGTGTTCAACAAACTTTTCTTCATGACGCGTGGTGGCATTAGCAAGGCCAACAAAGGCATCAATCTCAGTGAAGATATATTCGCCGGCTACAACAACTGCATGCGTGGCGGATGTGTGACCTTCCCGGAGTACACGAAGTGCGGCAAGGGACGTGATGTTGGTATGCAGCAGATTTATAAGTTCGAGGCCAAGTTGGCTCAAGGGGCTGCCGAGCAGTCGTTGTCGCGTGATGTTTATCGAATTAGCCAACGCCTTGACTTCTTCAAACTGCTATCATTCTATTACAATCACGTGGGCTTCTACTTGTCGACGTCGGTCGTCATCTGGACGGTTTATTTCTTGGTCTACTGCAATCTACTACGCTCGTTGCTTTCGTTGGAAGGTGTTGGAGGCCGCGAACCGGTGCTGCTGAGCACTTTGCAGGTGATGCTGGGCTCAGTTGCTTTCTTCACAACGGCACCGCTGCTGGCGACGATTTCAGTTGAACGCGGTTTCAAGGCCGCATTAAACGAGATTATCGTCCTGTTCGTGACTGGTGGGCCGATCTACTTTTTGTTCCACATAGGCACGAAATGGTTCTACTTTGGTCAGACGATTCTTGCTGGTGGTGCGAAATACCGCGCGACGGGCCGTGGTTTTGTGACAAAGCACTCGTCTTTCGATGAGCTTTATCGGTTCTACGCGAGCAGCCACCTCTACGCTGCAGTTGAAATTGCCGTCGGCCTTACTGTTTACTTCATTTTCACGATTGGCCACCAATACTTTGCAATGACGTGGTCGCTGTGGCTTGTGTTTGTGTCATGGTACTGGTCACCTTTCTGGTTCAACCCTCTGTCGTTCGAGTGGTCCGATGTAATGGAAGACTTCCGCTTGTGGTTCAAGTGGATGCGTGGCGATGGCGGCAACCCGAATCAATCATGGGAGGCATGGTTCAAAGAGGAGAATGCTTACTTCTTAACCCTGCGCCCATGGGCCAAGGCGTGCGTTACGATGAAAGGCGGATTGTTCGCGTTCATCGCGCTCTCCATATCCTCAACGAGCGATGAGTACCACTCGATCCTGACGCAAGCAACATGGCTTCCGTTAGCTATTTGCTGTTTGATGGCTGCTGTATACCTAAGTGCTGAAGCAATCTTCGTGACCTCGTCTCGCTCCAACGGCGAGAGTGGTCTTGTTCGCTTCCTGAAGCTCGTTTTGATGCTTGTGCTGGTCTCAAGTCTCATTGTCGCGTTTGTCTATGTGGATGGCATGTGGCAGTGCTTGCTGAGCATGGGATATCTTGCGGCGGCTGTGGGCTGCTGGGCGCTTCTTTTCGTTGGCACCAACTCGCGCTTTGTTGGTAGTCTTTACTTCGTGCACGATGCCGTGTTGGGTCTGGTGTCGTTGACTCTGGTCATGTTACTAGCAGCGTTTTATGTTCCTGGAAAGATTCAGACGTGGCTGCTTTACAACAACGCTTTGAGTCGTGGTGTAGTGATTGAGGATATCCTTCGATCTAGCTCGAGCAATGACGACCGCGATGATGATTTGTCGGTGCAGCAGATGCGCTCCATCATCATTGAACAGCAACGGTTCATTAACGTGTTGACTACCAGTGGCAGTGATCCGGACATTCGTGGTGCTGGTCCTGGAAAGAAGGGAGACCTCACGCACACAATGAGCGATAACACGCTCAACGCGGTGCTGAGGAACATGTCGGAATCGGAGTTGAGTGCACTGCAGGATTCTTCGAGCCGTCTGCAGGCTATTATGTCCGCGGAAGAACGCAAGGCCGCGGCACGCAAACAACAGGAGGAAGAGCAAAGACGCGCACATGGAGGGATGAATCCATCACTATCGCTCACGCGCCGAGCGTATTCCACGAACGATTTTTCTGCTATTCCGGGGAATGCATCTCCCTTCAATCTTGTGACGCAGGACAACTCAACTGCGCCTAATGGTGGCCCCCCGATCGATAACGGGCACGTGAAGACGCGTAAGTAGATACATGCAATAGGTAGCCCAGTTTGCATGTGCAGAAAGAATTGCTTTAGATCATAATGTGTTGCATTGAACTTTAACGCCTTAAACAAAGAAAATGATACGATTGAAATACGCTTCGTAACACATACGTACTTCACTGAAGTAATACTGCACAAGTGTCCCGCTACTGCGAAGAAAAGACTGACGTGTCGACCAGGTCTTGGAATCAAGTCTCAAGACAGACCGATCGATTTGTTTACTGATCGGACTGTTTCCTTGTCCTGGGTTTCTTGCCAAAGCCACTGAGGAACTTCATGTTGGCACTAAGTTTCTTTGTCAGCGAGCTTTTCTGAGGGTCGGAACTGGTCAGGACGGCCGTCTTGAAACTCTCCAGTACCTCGGGTTGACACTCACATTCCTCTAACTTCTTCTCAATATCTTCGAGGTTCTTTTCCGAGATAGACCTGATGACCTCTAAATCCTCGACCAACTGCGATGATGATACGTGGGAATAGATCTTGCGGCTGTCAGAAGCAAAGCATTCGTCAATATCTTGACTTGGAGACATGGCCAAGTTAGCAAAGAGCTGTTGTATTGCTGGAGAATTCTTTTCAATAAATGGATTAAGAACCCTAGACGAAAGCAAGACAAACAGCAGCATTGTTAGTAAGCAGTACCGCCAACATAGCTCTTCTCAATGCATCACATACTTGAATTGGGGCTCTCGGTCTCCAAATTTCACACCAGTAGCTGTCTTAAACAACAGCTTCGTGACCAGCACGAGTACACGGCGCGTCTCAGGTGGAGGAAGCTGTTTTGTAAGTCCATACAGATGCGGGGTGGTAATGGCCGGGCAAACGAAGCGAAGAAAAAGAAAACCTCCAATCACCGACTGTCCAAGCGAAGTCAACACGAATTAGATTCGGTGCTATTTCAATCATCTTCTGTAGATCAGGCACGTACCCGAGTCAATGTAGATGCGTCCTTTGCCTCAACACCCTCCTTTGAGCCATCAAAACGACTGATAACCTTCGAGTTCAAATGGGAGCAAATGTGAAAGTACGACGACGGAATCTACAAGCATCAAGGAGGACGTCAGTTTCGTTACGCTGTCATAATATCACAGTGTAAGAGTCAGACACTTACATAGTTGGCGTTCGTCATGATCGAATCAATAATGTTTTGGCATGTCCGCATCAAGTTAGCGGCGTTCGAATCGGCTTGTGCCTCATCCTTTAGCGACTCTTCCTTGTGCGGGTTCAGCTCCATGTCGGCAATCTTCAACTTACATATTTGACGGATGGGCTCCGAAAGAGCTACACGGATGAATTTTGATCCAATTGCTTTGCTGTATGTCGAAACTAACCGGCTCGCATAATCGTCCGAGCGGAAAAGCGTTGCCACGTTGATGACAGAAGCAACTTCAATCTCGATTGCCCAGCGGATAAGGTGGCTGAGGTGGTTGCGACTTCCAAAAACGCGGAGGAATGGAGACAGCAAAAGCATTTTATCTTCTCGCCCCGCGCTCTGCAGAATGGAAGCCACAACCGACATTGTGTCCTCGACGACCAGTGATGGAAGATCCTTCGGTGATTGCGACAAAGCATCGATGTCTCCATTAAAGATGTCCTGTGCCGATCTAGTATGAGAAAAGATAGCAGGCATCCTTGGACTTGTTACATTTGATGACTCAGCAGCAGGCGAATCCGTTCGAAATGGACGCTGTCTGTAAGCTTCCTTAAAACTATCGACAACCTTTGATGAACTCGCATCAGTTTCTTGTCGAGTTTCAGCAGTACTTTCGTCGTCAATGACTAACAGATCCGGTTGACGAGACGGATCTGGCTGGGTCGATACAATAAAGTCCTTCATGACCTGATGGATAGAGTCAAGGAACCCACTCGCTTCCAAAAACTGATTGTCCGACTGTCGGGTTGAAGCATTCAATTAGTAATAGCATGAGCAAAACAAAACCAATTCTTCGGATGACATACCGCATCAAACTCGGACAGACGCTCGATCTCGCCATTTTCGTCCTCATCAAAGTACAGATCGTCCTGCGTGATGGAGAAAATGCTGCCATTGCTGCCGTTCGAGTTGATTTGATTCAGGCCAAAGTCTGTCACGTCTGCATATTCAACAAAAGCATAATACCATGTTAATCAAACTAATTCAACGACTTGATATGTGCATTCATAGACGCTCGTACCAGAAAAAGAAGATTGAGATCCGACAAGCGATGACGAGCTTAAGGTTGGTTTCAAAGGAACCTGATTCAATTGACATTCGTAATACAAGTCATTAGTGCAAAATGCCACCTGTGTAACTGAAGTACATATGTTACCTTCGATGGCATGGGATCAGCCCGGAACGAAGACTGCAAATTGCGGGCAATCTCGGCAAGCTCCATAGCTTGCAGCTGCAAAAAGTCATTTCCAGCACCAGCACTCGAATCAAAAATACCTGCACCACTCTGCAATCCTTTACGACTGGGGGTCAGCGAGCCGTCCTCACTACTTCCATGTGCCGAAGATGAGTCGGTAGCGTCATCTTTGTTCAAATTGCGCGCCATTTCGACCAACTCCGCTACTTGCTGCTGGATTGATTTATTTTCCGCTGCATTATGGCAATCTATCAATGCGGCACTCAATGAGGACGCATTCGAGTTTAAGCGTTCAGGCTTCTGTCTCGAAGCTACCATTATGGAGGTAGTCTCTTGCTCGGGAGATTTTAGGGCTAACATAGCCGTCTTCTTACGAGGCGAAAGCGACTGAGTTTCACACATTCCTTCTTCATCTGGGTTGATTTCACCAGCCTGACCGTCTTCATGACTTACACAAGCTTCCGTCAACTCATTTACTAAGCTCAAGCTCAGAATGTTGTTCCTTCCATCGCCTTGCCCAGTATCCTGTACGTCCTCGTTGTCATCCTCCTCTTCCACGTTATCTTCGTCTTCAGTTAGTAATGTATCGTCATCTTCTGAAAGGACATCAGAAATCGCGGAAGCTCGAGAATCCTTGCATATTTCGATGGAAGTACCATCCAGTATCGCAAAAATATCAATTTCTTCATCAACGTTGCTCATTTCACTTCGATCCTCTCCGCCCTCTTCCTTCATGACACCTCGCTCCATGTCACCATTACCTCTCATTTCTCGAATCTCTGTTCCCTCTTCACTTCCTGTGTGCTCTTGAATTTCTTGCGTTCCTTCTTCCATCTGCATCCCATTTTCTCTACACTTGTGTAAAAGCTTCTGCAGCTCCTCAATCTCGTGTCTCTGTTTCTCCACCGTCCGCAGAGCATCTCGCAGCATTTCTGTTTGTTCCAACTGTCTTGGCGACTGCAATGAAGTCGACACCGACGATGCCGAGCTCGTCGTCCTTGACAATCTTCTCGCCAAAGCGAGCGCTGCCTTCCCATCCATACTGCTCCTCCTGAACCCCCCAGCATGTATCGAAGCTTGACGCACCTGTTCAATCCACTCTACGCGCGCATCATGTGACGATGCACGGAATAGCAGCACTCGACCACTGGAAGACGTGAGTTTCCAGCACGGACCGCAATCGTCACCTCCAGTAGCAATATCTCCATGTCGATAGATACGATCTACTGTTTTCACAGTAGCATCAAAGAGAGGGACGACACCACAAGGCCAGTCACCAAGATTCGTAAAATAAAAGAGCGAATGGGCATAAATTCCAACGAAAAAGGGCTCCCATGGCGACTCAAAACGTCTCCCTTTCATATGTAATAGACTCAATGGCGTGCGTTTTTCAAGCTCCACTCCCGTAAACAAAAGCTCTGGACATTGAATCAATTCAGGTCGTACGACTACTAGTTCTTCTTCTGTCTTTGTTTCCATCTGATCGGTTCAAGAGAAAGAAGAAGAAGAAGAGCTGGATCGTCAGTCAGTCAGTCAAGTCGAGAAACGTACTCTAGACTCTAAAATACAGTTGTTACTTTAATTTAAAGAAAAACTAATGAATGGAATCAATGGGAGTGTGTTGGTCTTCGACAAATAGTAAAGTGAGGAGGGATTGGGGTGGAGGTAGCGAAGAGGTGCGACGGGTCCAGCTGTTTTTTGTTTTTGTTTTTCAGTACAGTACGTTGAGCTATTTGAAATAACCTATTAGAATTGATATAGATAGATCAAGTAAGATAGTACATAAAGCCTTTTATCTCTTATTTACCTGCGAAAACATTGAGTTTTAGAATAGTGTCTTTTGTGCCGATTCATACTGTAGGAGTCGCCTGGCTTTACGCTCTTGTCGTCGGTTCGTAACAGAGCGTAGCAGGGCAACATAGCGAAAGAGACGACATACGGAATGCAATTGAATGAAGCATTTCCTTGACTAGAGATAAAATATTGGTAAAGTGTTTTGTGTGGGATAGACACAAAGCTGCTGGTGGCATTTGCTGCATGGAAGCAGTTGCTTGGTAGCGGCTGCAGGGTCAATGACTCATCACGACCTTTAGTAGTTAATGAGGATGGGGGCCTGTGGCCATAGAAACCCTCGCGTCCTCGTCAAAAGTTACACCGACAGTGAATCCCACAATCGCCTCGGAGCCTCTTGCGATGGATGTATCAGAACTTTTGTGTCGGGGTGTGTGTACAGTATTCAAGCAAGTATACTACAGTTGAATGCGAGAGAGATGTGAACTATCAGCATGCAAGGTTTCGGTGCCTAATCATCTATATGTGTTGCTGCTCTCTTTTTGCCTCTGGACTTTGCCGAGACAATTCTGTCGAAAGAGTTGTTCGCTTTTACTGAACCTCTGGGCGAAGAGCTCCGATCCACTGCTGACTATTTCGACATTTTTTCGAGGCGGCAACGAGTGGAAACATAAATGTCCTGATGCCACGACTCGTTGGAAAGGCTCACAAAAATACATGGTATGGAAAAGAATTCTTAGCGTACCAGAGCGCAGACGAATGCTGAACACGTTTGACTCGCACTGCGACACTGCAAAGAGGTGACCGGAAAATCAGGGTCTTGATTTATTGAAAATTTGAGCGCTTCAAGGTGGACTTGGTAAGATATAGTAGACCTTTGGTAAGATATATAGAGCCGAAAAATAAAGCGATAGATTTCTTTTCACAGCAAGTATCGCATTTGTATACTTAGCCACAAAACACCCCGCTTGCAAAACGTAACCCTCTTTCGTAACCCCTTATTTCAACCGCGGTCCGGTTCTCACAACACACGAACCGGTCCTGAACCAAAGTGGTGATGTAGCTGAGGCGGCTTTTTCTGTGGCCACCAATGAGCTGCTCCATCATTCGGCCTTTGAGCAGCCCAGATCAGTAGCATCTTACTCTCGTCTCGTCCGGTAGCCATGGTACGTTTCTTATTAACTTTTGACACCGGATACAATAGCTTCAGATTGTACACTACGATCTAAAGAGAAGAGGGGGGGGGGGGAATGTCACAGGAATACAGGGGAAAAAAAGTGGACAATTTTACCGGTCAAAGCCGTGATTTGGTCGCATGTGAACACTTGCAAGACAAACTTTCTCCCTCTTCCCTTGGGCATCACGTGTCCTTGAGCACGTGTAATTGTTGTAGAGCACAGACAATTGACCAATTAATTACGTGCCCAATGCGTGAACAGGCCAGCAAATACCAGAACATTTTCGCCGCCCTCGACTCGGATGAAGAGGACGCGCCTCGCGTGAACAAGAAGGCAACGCTGCCCACCTCGACCCCTGTGACACTGAACAAGCCTGCTGCTGGCAACAAGAAGTCTGGCAACAAAATGAGCTTTACTGGTGACAAGAAGGACCAGCGTGGCCCGCGTGAGGGCGGTCGTGGCCCGCGTGAGGGCGGTCGTGGCCCACGTGAGGGCGGTCGCGGTCCTCGTGAACGTGGTGATCGTAGTGGACGTGACGGCCAGGGTCGTGGCAGCCGTGGTTTTCGTCGTGACCGTGACCAAGAGCGTCACAGCGGCACGGGCCGTGGCAAGGAGGCAATCAAGCAGGGCGGTGGTGCCCACAACTGGGGCAACAAGGCTGACCCGAACGAGCAGATGGCCGAGGCCGCCGTTCAGGAGGGCGCCAAGCCCGTGTCGGATGAGGAGGCTGGTGCCGAGGATGCTGTCCCTGAGGAGGAAGAGGAGAAGAAGAAGAGGAGGTGCAGCTCACTCTTGATGAATACCTTGCCAAGCAGAAAGAGTCACGATCGGGCGATCTGTTTGCTGAGGTCGAGGTTCGTCAGGTGACCAACCAATTCTCCAGCGCGGTGCAGATCACCAAGGAGGGAAAGACCCCTGACTTTATCGACTCGCAGTACGAGAAGGTGTACAGCAAGAAGACATCTGGCCGCAAGAAACAGCTCATCACCGATGTGGGCTTCCGCTTGGAAAAGCCGGAACGTTTTACGCGTGACATGGAGTCGTCGCGTGGCGGACGCGGTGGCCGTGGTGGCCGTAGCACTCGTGGCAATGGTCGCACTGGTGGCCGTAGCGGCCGTGGTGCCAACGCTCCGAACGTGACGGACATGAGCGCTTTCCCCAGCCTCGGCTAAGGATTTGCCTCCGACCAACCGGAATCGCGCGCCCTTGAGCGCCAGCGACATGATGAGTGAGATCTTGCACAAGAGGGCTTCTCGAGGACTGGTTTGGCTATCTCTTTTTCTCCTTTTCCTCCCACCGAAGATCCACCTGATAGGGCCTCTGCGCGACTGGTGTCTGTCTGCTGTGTGTACGCCTTCTGCAGGTAGCCAGCCGTTGTGTGGAAAGTTAGAAGAATTTTCGTTAGCGTGAACTCGGTCTTCTCCTTGATATGTCTATTATTCAATGCAGCAGGCAGGCTTTGCGAAAACGAAAACACCGTTGTTGGTATTGGTTTGTTCGTTAAGTAGCTTCACAACAGCTAGTTGCATTATCTTCACTTGTTCCTACGATGGAGCTGTGAGTCGCCCGATGAAAATATGTTTACCACTGGTGGTAAGTCTTCCATGTATGAACTCTCCTACCTCAAACACAGATCTCGTTTCAGCGAAATGTCCGCCTCCTTCGTCCTCTGCTCTTTCGTCTTCATCATGCTCATGGCAGAAAATGCCACGGCCAGACGGAAAACCATGATTCCACGTTCCAATGAACTTCCTTCCGTCAGGTGACGACCACGATCCGTAACCGTGGATCTCATCCTTGTGCCATTCACCTTCATAGACTTCTCCTGAGGCGAATGTCAGTGTACCAACACCACTTCGCTCACCAGCTTTATACTCCCCAGTATAAACACTGCCACACTGGAAGTAGTGGACGCCTTGGCCACTAAGTTCGTCGTGAAGCCACGAACCGTGCAGAGATCCACCTGCCGACACGTACACACCTTTGCCATGCATCCTGCCCTGATGCCATGTACCTTCGTGCGAGTCTCCACCCACCCATTCGTACTTACCAAACCCCTCACGTTCACCTTTGACAAAAAAGCCTTCGTACTTGTCTCCGTAGCTAAACACCTTGATTCCCCACCCGCTCACTTGATTTTGCTTCCATGCCCCATCGATCATTTCCCCGGACGAAAATATCTTCTTTCCTTTGCCATGCATCATTCCCTTTTTCCATTCACCTAGACGTGCAGCATCGTAAACACCTTTCATTTTTACCCAAAAGACTGTGTAGTATTTGCTTCTTACCATCATAAAAGTCGCCATTTTTCCAAAAGAACGTGCCAATTCCGTGCATCTGCAAGCAGTTCAGAGTCCGCCTCTCCTTAATATGTATGTCAACACTGACAGCAACCATCAATTGCATATAATACCTTTCCAGCTCGCCAATTACCCACGTATTTGTCCCCATTTGCCCACAAGTACGTCCCTGTGCCATGGCGGTAGTTTCTACGGTACATGCCTTCGTGGCAGTCCCCTGTCCTTGCAAACGTCTGCATGCCAAACCTACCGGACAAGGTCCAGAACCCATTTATTTACTCATCACAAAGTCAAAATTCCACAACGTTCGCACCCTTCAAAGTATCCGTGCACCCAGTCACCTTCAGAAACATGCCCTGATCTCAGTATATGGACACCGGTTCCATGTCGTCTCTCCTCGTCATCTACACCGCCTTCATAGCGACTACCATCTGCGTACTGAATCACAACAGCTCCTCGCGGCTTTTTCCAACGGATTGAGAGAACTTCCGGCTGGCTGCAAGCCTGCAGGCTAGGGGAATCATCCGATTCCAACTGGGACATCGATTTTTGTTTCTTCATGCGTTCAGCTGCTGTTAGATCAGTCCGATTTACAGCATGAGTTTTACCCCGACGTCGCCCGCGGTTCCCCATGGCAATTGAGAGTCAAAAGCAGCAGTACCAATGAACCAAACGGACGATTGAACAGCTAACACCCTATCCAGTATTGGTCGAAAATCTCTAATGAGACCCACAATCATGACTCTACATGAACGTACTTACCTCGAGAGCCATGAGCGATGCGTCCATTATGTCATCATCCTCGGATGCGCAGATGATCAAGTGAGCAACGAGATGTTGCAATCGGTCTTAAACCAACTAACATTGCTATAGTAATAATGCTGATGTCTGAGGATAGGAGATACCCAGTCGCTGCTGAATCTGAAATAAAAGTTGCGGAAGAAGGGCAGCAGGTGTGCCTTGCTACGGTTGCAAGCCGTGATCCAACCTAACCTGAAAAAGGACAGTTTCCGCTCGACGGTCGATATAGCACTCGAGCGCTTTTACAAGAAGTACGACATGGATGAATGCAGTAACTTGGTTCTTGAAGCGGTCGATTAACGCATTGGAATGGGATGTGGACAGCACAGCAACGGAACAGACATCGGTTATGTTGGAATCTCGCCTCGACACCTATGCGTTACGTCACGGGAGCGCGCTATCGTTCGACAAATGTCATTTCAACTTGCAGGCACGAATGTCGTGCTGCTTTTTGAGCAGTCGGTCGATCGTGCGGCTTACCCATCCGTGTTTTTTTGCATCACGGTTTGTCTTCGCACATGTAGTCGTATCGACAGTTGGCTTGCATTACGACGGTTTTCTTGATGACTGCTGTGGAATGGAACACTTGAAAAGTATAGCTCAGCCACGTTTCTTACGATAAGGCTTTGTACGAATAGAGCTCCGTCACGCGCGACCTCTCGCTGCGGACTCGCATCATGGCTCGCAGAGCTGCAGTGCCAGCCATTCGACTGCTACTTAAACAGTATTTGTTCCTGCTTCTTCTGCGTGATTGTTCTAACGCTTTCGTCCATCCACCATCCAGATAAGATAAACATTAACACCTCAGGAAACACGCGATCATTCTTTTCTTTCAGTTTGGTATTGAGTCGTCTCGTTGCTGCCTTCACTCTTTCTCTCTCTCTCGCAAAGATATGTGAGCTGCTCATCGCTCACATGCGGCATACACTTGCTCTTCGTATCCATGTCATTGGTCTACTACATATCCACGTCTTCGCACCCAATGACTACAACTCGTCAGCTATTCAAGACTCCATAGTGGTGTCAGCGACTGGTGCGGCTTCCGTCTTGGTAGCAACATCGTTGTCTTGCGTCGGCTTGGTGGCCCAGTACTCCTCCATCTGACGGTCCAACTGGGCAGCCTTGGGGTCAGGACCCTTACCAGCTTCGTGCCAGTACTTGTCCATATCCATGTCAAGATCTTCTCCGGTCGGAGGTTTGGCCCTGACAGCTCCACGTCCACTAAGACCTCCACGACCACCACGACCTCCACGACCACCTCGACCTCCACGACCATCTCGACCTCCACGAGCACCTCGACCTCCACGACCCGCGCCTCTTTCTCCATTCTGCTGAGCAACTGCATTCTTCTTCTTAGGCTGGTTTTCCTTAGCCTTAAACTCCTGGACTGAGAGTCCTTTTCTGTGCTTGCTGACAACCTGCTGACGCTTGCTGCGGTTGTTCTGAGCGACCTGTTGCAGCTTCTTCTTCTTCTGCTGCTGCTGGCTCTGAGTCAAAGTTGACGCCGTTGCCTTCATTTTCTTCTTTCCACCTCCAATATGAAGCACCGGCTGTACTTTGTTCTTCTTTTGCGACGTCTTAACAATCGTCACTTGGTGCTGCTGCTGCTTCTTTGCCACACGCGGCGCTGTTTCATCCGCCAAATGCGTAAAGCGACTGGACAATGGGACGGTCGACACACCAATGACGTTATGCAAATTCTTTTTGCTCTGTTGCTGTCCAATCTTGCGCTGGCCGCGGACGGACACGCGAGGAGCTCCGGATCGCCGATACATGGTACTTCCTCTTGCTGCTACTTTTGTTACTGGCCATTTATTTATGTTGCTCCGATAAGAAGTTGCAATTGGTGAGATGTTGCACTTCCCGTTAACGCAACATATCGACTACCGCGTATTATTATTATTATAAAAACCGAGCATCTGATGTCGTCGACCCTGGAAGTTGTACTAACGAGCCAAGTGCAGCGCTTTCTGGAGGTTTATATGTATGAGAATGCAACGTTTCTAGCAGAGCGATTAATTGCACATGTATGTGTCCTTTTTGTAGTGAATTCTGGCTGCTGTAGAAGCGGTAGTACAATTGTTTTTATGCTTTATTACTAATGCCTGTATGATACTTTTTTCTACTGCTTGGAACAGCACACGACAGAGAAAAATATACTGCTGCTGGCCACGTGTTACTATCGAAATGGACAAATAGCTCGAGCTGCAGCGGTCTTAAATGGTGCAACGAGGCCGGAGAATCGCTACTTGCTGGCTTGCTGCTGTCTCCAGCAGGGCCAGTTGATCGAGGCTGAGAACGCGCTGCGAGGGGAAGAAAACTATGGTACTGATGGCCTAGATTCAATCGAAAATGTACCATGTGGAGCTGCTGGATTGTATCTATTGGGGAAGGTCTGTAGACGTGGAAACAGAGCGAAGCAGGCGATAGCGTGTTTCGTCAAGAGGTGCTGCATTTTCGGAAGCTTTTTTATATGGAGGTTTGAGTTGATCTTATTGATGTATTGTTTACGATGCATCTAGCTTAGAGATGGATCCATTCTTGTGGTCGGCATACGAGCAGCTTTGTGACCTTGGAGCAAACCTTGAGGCTTCGAGATTTTTTGGTGCCGCCAATTCCTTCAACAGCATCGGAACGGCAGATGAACGCGAGAACGAATCGGAGCATCGACCCGAACTCCACCATGGAGATGGTGGTAAAGGACAAGCATTTGGTGATGAAGAGGAGTTTTGTCGCGAGGGGAACATCGCTGAAGGTTGGTCTACGGATGCATGTCTCACAAAACCAGAATCGCCTCGGCATTTTCGCCTCGATACGCCTAAGTGTGCAGCGGCTGTGACATTTCGCTCATCTACATCGTTGGATTACAAAACGCCAAGTGCGAACAATAAATGTGACGAAAATGTGCACACAGCGACGATCACAAAGAAACAACGAATAGGAGAAGACATTAGAGCTCCGGCACGACAGAGGAAAAGTTATCGGCGACCACTTGCAGATAGCGACGAAAAGTTTCGGGCTAACGCGAGACTGTCGTTCTCTGCTGCCGGATTCGATGACACCCCACTGGTAACTTACTGTCTTTGTTATCAGACCACGAATACACTTCGCTCATGACAGTCCAATGCGCTAATTTTTGTTGTTGTAGAACTCCTCGAAACTGTCATTAGGCTCTGCAATGTCTACCCGGTGTTTTCACCAGGACAAGACACCGGTAGCCAAAAACCAAGCCCCTTCGCATCAAGTGGATGGCCGACTTAAGCTACTGCGTCTACTCAGCTCGTTTGGCTCTATTTATCAGAAAATAAGTATGTATATGTGTCGAGAAGCTTTGGAAATGCTGGAGCGGCTTCCTACCTCCCAGTATGCGTCTGGCTGGGCGCAGCAGCAAATTGGACGAGCTCATTTCGAAATGGCCGACTATGTGCAAGCACAAGATGTATTTTGTGCTTTGCACAGAGCGGAACCGCATCGAATGGAAGGCCTTGACATATACTCGACAACGTTATGGCATCTTAAAAAAGATGTGGAGCTTTCGTACCTGGCACAGCAAGCAACAGATTTCGATAAACTATCGTGCGAGGCATGGTGTGCTGCCGGTAATTGTTTCAGCCTGCAAAAAGAACACGACACAGCTTTGACTTTCTTCCAGCGGGTAAGTTAATCTACAGCTGTTTCGAGTGCTGTTGATTGTACTGACAATTTTTCGCTTGTAATCTACGCCATGCCAGGCAATTCAGCTGGACCCGTCATACACGTATGCGTACACGCTCTCAGGTCACGAATACGTAGCAAATGAGGATTTTGAGAAGGCGGTGAACTGCTACCGACACGCGATTCGTACCGATTCACGACACTATAACGCCTGGTATGGTCTGGGCACGATCTACTATCGGCAAGAGAAGTTCGAGTTTGCTGAGTACCATTTCAGGCGTGCTTTGGAGATTAATCCTCGTAGCTCGTTGCTGCATTGTTTTCTAGGCATGGTGCTGCATGCTACGCACCGATATGAAGAAGCGTTGGCTACACTTGCCATTGCCACCGAGCTTCAGCCATTAAATCCTCAAGCTCGGTTTCAACGTGCTAACGTGCTGATGACCTTGCAGCGATACGAGGAAGCTCTGGACGAGCTCCACGTTGTGAAAAACTTTGCGCCGCGTGAGTCTTCCGTGCACTTCATGATGGGCAAAGTAGCGAAAAGGCTTGGTCATATCGAACACGCGATGAAATACTTCACGTTGGCGCTGCACTTTCATCCGAAAGATAACCACCAAATCAAGGTAGCCATTGACAAAATCAACGAGCCGGATCATGACGACGATGAACGCATGTAGCACAAGCACTTTCATCAACTGATCCACCGGTGTAGGACTTCGTAACATCCGATATAGATAGCAGTTCGAAAGAGCAAATACAATCAGCTCAAGACCATGCCGAATATTGACATTTTGTTGGGCATTTTCAAGCATTCGCAAAATGACGCTATCGACTGTGAAAACCGAAGCAAGAGTGCTGTTGCACCAACTTACGCAATTCCAATACGCAAGCAAGGCACTGATCCGTCTATTCGAGAATGATACCATTCGTTGCGCTGTGCTGCTGCAGCTTTTGCATTGGCAAAACACACCGGCATCCACCAGTCTCGAGAATGTACTGGCAGAATTGGAATCTAGTGGTCACGATCGTCCGACGGTGGTGCGTGGTGACATGGAGTTGACAGTGCTGGGCAAACCCGCACTACTCTTTGCCACCTCGATCTATGACGAGGAGTTGGCTATGTTAATCTGGTCGGGCTTCATCCACTTCCATGCGCTTTATCCGGAATTTGATCTGACTCGACAGGTGCTGAACAATTCGGCTGACTCGCTCGGGTACTCAGCTTTGCACTATGCTGTCGAAGCGCAGATGAAAACATTCCTGCAGGCTGTATGCAAGGACTTGAAACAGGACAAGATCGCACCGATTGTTGGCCGTGTCGTGACACAAGATGTGACTTTACCGGTGAACACTGCTCAGAACATGGGCAAGAATATCGAAAGTGGAGGCTGTTCACTGCTTCATATCGCAGCCAAGAAGGGTGAACTGGAGATGGTAAAATGGTTTATTAATCCACCGATGCTTATGACTTCAAAGACTCTGTACGATTGGGACGGGAACTCCCCAGCACGTGTAGCGGCAATCCATGGACATGATGAGGTCGCTGCATTTCTCGTGGTATGCAGTGTGATAAATCTAGTCGTACAGTTGGCGGTGGTAATCATCTAATGGTGTTTGATTTGTTCTACTGAAGGGTGTGACTGGTGAAGCGCCATTAAGCGCAATCGACACCAATGAGTTGCGCTCCAAGCGTGAGAGACTGGCTAGAGAGCGCTACTTAGCCCACTTGAAGCCTCATGAATCCATGGTAGAACCATCAGTATTTTCAACGATCTGGACGCTTGAGGAAACCGATCTCATTCGAAGTCAAGTAGATCGGGTGGTTGCAGAGCAAGGCTGGTGCACCGAACGACACGCATCTTACCAAACGACAGATATGCCGTGCCATCAAGTTGCCAGTTTGAATTCCTGGGTGCGTTCAACGCTAGCGTCGAGACTGTTTCCTCAAATTGCAAAGCGCTACAAGTTGCTCAAGTTACAGCGACTCCTTTTCCGTGATCTCTTCTTTGTCAAATACGAGGCACGCATGGGTGAACGCTCTGATCTTGCACTTCATCGCGACGGATCCGTTTTATCTTTCAATGTATTGCTAAATTCGGCTCATGAGTTCACGGGAGGTGGTACTTATTTTGACGCTACAAAACGTACCATTCACATCTCCCAAGGCGATGTCGTCGTACATAGTGGAAAAGTCCTCCATGCTGGTGCCCCCGTGCTGTCGGGTGTCCGGTATATACTTGTTGGGTTTCTAGACGTCGTAAACAGTCCGTTTTAAGACTAATTCTCTATGTTTTATGCAATAAAATTATAGTTGGTATGGTATGGCTACATATGCTCGTAAATTCTCTTGTCAGGAGGATAAATTACGACCCCATTTTACTTACAGCGTATACAATACAATAGTGTATACAGTCTTGTATACAAGAGAATGGCTACGGTCTCCTCCGACGTCAAGAAGATGCCTCAAACCTCTGAAATGGACGGTGAGTTTTTCTCTTTTCCTTATCATCCGTACTCGATTCAATTGGATTTAATGCGTCAGATATGGAATACACTTGAGCAACGTCATTGTGGTATTTTTGAAAGTCCTACTGGAACTGGCAAGTCCATTAGTCTCATCTGTGGAGTTCTGACGTGGCTTACAAAACACACGGATGAATATGGATTGCTTCAAAAAACTACTGTAGAAATGGATACAATTGCAGCAAAAGTAGATCTCTCCAAGAATTGGCTCGATGATTTTGAGCAAAAGACGGTCGAGCGAGAGCTGAAATTTCGTCAACAAGTGGTTAAAGAAGCATTGAATGGGATTGAAAAGCTTCGATTCGAACCGGACGCTACAACGAAGAAACGAAAAATGAGAATTGCTTATAACCACAATGAACGGAAACGGGTGCACCAGTACAGTAGCAAGAGACAGAGCGAGCAGAATGAAGAGGACGGTGATGAACATGTGGTGGATCCGTACGACAGTGATCGAGTGGATCGGCACAAGAGTGATAGTGATGATGAGAATACAATGAGGTCTGATGTGTTGAATGGACGGTTTCGTGACGAGAAACCAGAGTTTGGGATCGTGAAGATCATCTATTGCAGTCGGACACACTCGCAGATCTCGCAATTCGTTCATGAGATACGGAAAACAGTTTTTGCGGACCATGTACGAGTCGTGTCGTTGGGTTCTCGTAAGAACTTGTGTACGAACCCAAAGGTTACGAAGTTGGACTCGGACTTGAGAATGACCGACAGGTGTTTGGATATGATGCAAAGCAACAAGAACAAGAACAGCAACAAGGTCGGAAAGTGTCCGTACTACGAGAAAGAGCTGCTTCGTCACTACAAAGATTATGCTCTGGTACGCTTCCATAATCTCGGGATACATGTTGGTGATGTCTAATGTCGCTATGCGTGGGGGCACAAATGTAGGCTCACGTACAAGACATTGAGGATTTACACACATTGGGTGATGACATGTCAATTTGCCCGTACTACGGCACGCGCGAAAGCATTCCGCTTGCTCAAATCGTTACGGTGCCATATTCAATGCTGCTTAGCAAAGATACTCGAGAGACCTTGGGTATTGCGCTGGAAGACAACATAATTATCTTTGACGAAGCGCACAATATTATCGACGCAATCAACAACACATATAGGGTTGAAATCACCAGTAAACAGCTGGTGGTAGCACGAAGAACGCTATGGTCGTATTTCACAAAGTATGAGAAACGGTTCAAGGGCAAGAACGCGTTTTACATTAAGCAACTATTGTCAATCATGGAATCGTTAACAAAATTTCTTCGCCAGCTGAGCAAATCTGCTGGGAAAGCTGCATCAGCTAACGACGTTGATGATGGAGCTACTGGGGCACAAATGATGACTATCAACGATTTCTTGTTCAGTGCGAAGATCGATCACTTCAACATGTTCAAGATCTTGGAGTATCTGGGTGAGAGTGGCTTGGCAAAGAAGTTGATGGGATTTGTTGACTTCACAAACAAGGGATCCTCTGTTGCTATCGCTCCCCTTGCACCTACTGATGATCCTGACGTAGGTTTTGAGAGTCGTCACATATCACCACTGCGAACGGTCGAGGCTCTGTTAAAGGCCTTGACCAGTGCAGGAGAAGATGGCCGTGTCCTTGCGCAGCCGAATAATGTACGCAACAACAATGCAATCGATTTGGTTGGACACGATTGTTAACAGTTGCTGTATGTACTCAGGTGCACAAGGGGGTGGAAGGCTTGATCAAGTTCATTCTGCTTAATCCTGTCATTCATTTCCAAGAAATAGTGAAAAAGTCACGGAGCGTCATACTCGCTGGAGGGACAATGCAGCCGGCAAGTAAATGACTCAAATCTTGGTGCCAACACGTTTGTCAAATTAACCTTTTGGGACGTGTTACAGGTTTCGCAAGTGATCGATCAGCTTTTTTCGGCAGTGCCAAGAGACGATATCGATTTGTTTTCATGCGGACACGTCATTCCTCCTGAAAATTTAGTGGCCTTTAGTCTCGCATCGGGTCCTTCCCAAAAGCACCTCGAATTTACGTATTCTCGACGGAATGATATGGAAGCATTGGACGAGCTTGGGTGTATTCTACTTAACCTTGCACGCATTGTGCCAGGTGGAGTTGTGGTATTTTTTCCTTCGTATCGCTTTGAAGAGAATGCAGTTCGTCGATGGCAGGCTACAAAACAGTACGAGCAAATTCAAGCAAAGAAAAGCGTTTTTAGCGAGCCGAAGAAAGCTGATGAACTTGCAGAGGTACTAATGCAATATTCAGCAGCCTGCTCGCGGGATAACCAGAACGGAAAGGGTGCTATGCTTCTGAGTGTGGTTGGAGGTAAAATGTCCGAAGGAATCAATTTCAGTGATGAATTGGCACGATGCGTTGTAATGGTAGGCATGCCGTATCCAAACGCTCGAGATGCAGAGATAGTTGAGAAAATGAATTTCCTAGACAAGACAAGTCCCGGATCTGGACGGCAATTTTACGAGAGTCTTTGTATGAAGGCGGTCAACCAGTCGATTGGTAAGGTTTATAGTGTGTACTCCTCTGTGCACTGTTGCTGCTAACACATGTCACATTGAAACATACAGGAAGGTCAATTCGCCATCAAAATGATTATTCTGCCATTTTGCTGGTTGACCATCGATACTCAAGTCTGGCGGTTCGCAATCGTTTACCTGAGTGGATTCAGAAGCGCATTCAACCGCCGATGTCGTTTGGGCAGGCATACTCGCAGCTCGTGCAATTCTTTCGAGCAAAAGACAAACATGACGCGCTAAACCAGTAGACAGTATTCAAAGTCGGAGCAAACTACTTTGCGAGTTGTTTTTTGTATTCCGCGTAAACGACTTGCTTTGCAATGCCCAGCACCCGCCCAGCCAAAGCTTCGTCGTCGTAAGACCATTCCATATGGACTTCCCACTCAGCAGATACTGCCACTCCTACTGTCCGAAGCTTCAGCCAACGATCAATTTTTTCGATAGGCAGATGGCCAAGCCACTTGGTTAGGCTGACCTTCAATGAATTCAGAAGTAGATCCACGTTTGCTTGCACTTGCTGCTCGCTTTCTTCCTCTTCATCAGCCGACTCCACGGCTGCTGACAGCAGAAAAGATAATGCCGATGCAGGGCGGGAGCTTTTCTTCTTTACACGAGGAAAGGGTTCAAACGGCTTTTTCCAAGAGTAGGAAAAGAAAAGCGAATGTTTCTTCTTCTTTAAACGCCGTGCACCGTTGCCGCATGAAAGTAGCATCAGCTTGCGCTTGGGTTCGGCAATCAGCATTCCCTGCACATCTGAAGGGTTGCTGAACATAGACTTGTGGATACGCAAAGGAATGTCTCGAGCAGGTTCGATAGGTGTTCGCCCTGTGGGGTTGATTCCTTTCACCACTACGCTAGTGTCAACAGCAGGGTCCATCTTCAGCTGATTATGGACGTGTGTCTTAACAAATTCCAGGTCGTCTGCAACAGTATAGTCAAGAATGACTTGGCGGGGCGCCACATGTGACACGAGCTGGACAATGCTCCTGGTATCCACTTCATCTCCGCAAGGCTGGTAGTGTACTCCGCATTCCACATTCACTCCAAGTCTCTTGCTGACACGCTTTCGTTCAGTATCAGCATAGAGCAAATAGTTTACTGTGCCTGGCGTGCAATATTCTGAGAGTACAATGAGGTTTATTGGATCGTTCGCGACGGCCTTAATCGCACGCAATGAATCACCCTGGGAAATGTTAGCTGGTCCCGTAAACAGTACAAATGGTCCTGGTTGCTGAAGCCGATTCCAATCAAACACTTGCAAATCAGACGCATTCGAAGACTTCTTACGCAGCAAATTCTGAATAGCAGGTGTGCATGTACGAGACAGCAGGGGCAAGTATCTACTCGGATACTCCATCGCTTCGTTTGATAAATAGATAGGACACTGCGCTACCTTGCCACTAGCATCCTTCATTTGCTGCCAATGCTCTAGCAAAATAGTAATCAATTCGTGAAAGTATCCCAAGCGGTAAACTGGAATCACCACTTTGCCATTTGAGCTAATACACTCCAAAATGACCTTCACAAGTTCCCTCTCCATGGCACTTTGCGTCTCCGACACGGTCACAGCAAACGAGCTGCGTGTGATCAGCACACTGGGCTCCAATCTTGGAATCTGCGCCGATAGCAACACTCGTCCACCTGTAAGATTAAAGTCATTGGCAAATAACACCGTCGTGGCTCCAATCTCCAAGTAAAAAGCACAGCCACCAGCTACATGACCTGAATGGAAAGTTGTGACCTTCAGATGTTCGTTCACAGTCACACGAGCCTTTAGTGCAACTGGTTTGGCTTTCTTAAAGGCTGGAGCAATGTTCTGGACGTCGTACAGAGCTGGCAAACCGCTGCCTCCGTCCTTTACTTTCCCGTGACATCCAGTCCTAACCACATCAACACACACACATCTTGTCACATCTTATAAATTATATATCTATCATCTACTATCTCTGACCAATATTCCTTCAAAAGATGTGGCGCAATAGCTCGTGTCCCATGTGTCATAATGATCATTGGAGGCTGTTTCTGACTCAAGTCTAATGTCGTTGACATCATCCATGATACGCCACACTTCTCAGTAATATATGGCAGCATATAACTCGCTCCAGGACGATAATCTGGCACTAAAATGGCGTCAACAGTGCCTCCATCACGTCGCAAGAGACCTTTTAATTCACGTCGGTACTGCATCGTCACGGCTTCAAAATCCTCAGTATTTGCATCATCGGTTGAGAAAAAGGACGTATCTTTAGCTTCACCACATCCTAATAGCACTGTAGTTCCTGTGAGCTCGTCCCGTAGACAGAACGAAGCGCCATTCCCGAGCCGCTCGACTGATACGCTCATTTGGTAGTATTAAAAAATTGTGACGTCACAAACTTTTGTGTCGGATCAGGACTATAAAAACAGGACGATTTTTTTCGGACAGAATATGTCTTCCTTCTATCATTGATGTAATATTTGTATCCTTACTACTACTTCAGCCATTACCCAAGGGATCAATCCTATAATGTACCTGCTTGGACACGTCTGGCAAAAAAAGCAGGAAGTTCATTTGGTGGTACAAACGTCTTTTCCATTGTAGCTCGCGTCTGAACTTCCACGAGACCTTCTTTCATGAAGCGTTTACCAACAATGACACGATATGGGTATCCAATAAGCTCTGATTCAGCTAATTTTGAGCCTGGGCTTTCTCGCCAGCGGTCATCAAGCAGCACATCGTCTCGCATTAGACCAACCACCTTGCCGGAAGCAAGTTCACTTCCAATTTTCCATGTCGCCTGAGATACGGAATCATCCAATGTCTTGCTGCCAATGGACATGACGAGAACCTTGTACGGAGCAATTTCCGTTGGCCAAACGATGCCGTGGTCGTCGTGCGAGGCTTCGACTACTGCAGCTACTAGTCGGCTAACACCAAGGCCATAGCAACCCATTTCTAACGGGTGCTTGTTGTTCTTCGTGTCCGTATACGTCGCGCCAAAAGGCTTGGAGTATTTTTGCCCAAGATAGAAAACATGACCAACTTCGATTCCACGCTTGGCCTCGAGCACCGCAGCATCACTATGACAGCGCGGACAACAATCACCAGCTTGTGCCAAACGAAAGTGGCCCCATGCAAGAAAAATGTGTTCCTGTTGCTTGGACAGGGTCGTTGCAACGGCGCATAGCGTTTTGACAGCCGGAGTGATACGTTCGCCCTGCTTCAGCGAATTATCCAGAAGCAAATGCAATGCCCTTGTTTGCTGAAGCTCTGTAAGCAAATCAGCAATCTTTGTCTTGTTTTCGATCGCAACACCTTTGTTGCCGCCAATAAACGGCTTCGCTGCGAGCTCGTTCACCTCACGATCATGTCGTGCAATGCACAAAGCCATTCGACGCAGTGGAGTGCCATCATCATCGTCATTGTTTTTAGCAGCAACATGATCATTGTTCTCCTCCTGCTCTAACACTAATTTAAACGAAAACCCTTGCGCACCTGCAGCATCATGAAGCTCAATCAGCGACTTCCACACTTGTGCATGCCCAGAACGAGCCTGTTCCTCAAGTTTCGCAATGGTGGCGCTAAGATCTACAGATGCCTCATTACTTTGGTCCGTCTCATTTTCACCATATGACGGTAAGATTCCCTCTGCTTTCTCTACATTAGCCGCATAGTCACAAGCAGGTGACGAGCAGGATAAAATTGCGTCTTCGCCGACATCTGCTAGCACGTGGAACTCATGCGATAGATTGCCACCAATACTTCCAGAATCAGCTTCCACACGTTTCACCGGCAGCTTTAGTCTGGATATCAAGATTTCATTATACGCACACGTAACATCTTGGTATGTCTGCCACGCACCGTTGTACGTCGTATCAAAGGAGTACATGTCCTTCATTACAAACTCTCTTGCTCTTAAAAGGCCAAATCTCGGCCGGATTTCGTCACGAAACTTGCGGCCAATCTGGTACAGTCTCAAAGACGAATCCATTGTTCCTGCAGTTTTGTAGTACATTGCTACGAGGTTTGTAATGCTCTCTTCATGCGTAGGACTCAACACCAAGAGATCTTCATGTCGGTCCTCAAATGTCATAAGCTCTGGTCCACGATTCTGCCAGCGACCCGATTGCTTCCATAGGTAATTGGGCGTCAGTACCGTCAGATCCATACGGTTAGCACCAATCTTGGACATTACATCGTCAATCAATGCTTCAAGTTTGGCCACAACACGGCGTCCGAGAGGCAGCAACGCAAAAAGTCCGTGGCCGCTTTTACGTACGAAACCGGCACGCACTAACAGCTGATGACTTGGGACCGCTGCATCTGAAGGTGCTTGTTTCTCTGTAGGTGCCCATAACACGGACCTCAAGGCGCAGGGAGCAGAGCGAATCGACTGCGACGTCGAGAGACATCGTAGAGTAGACACCAAAGGACTGCGATGACCATGGATGGCCCACATTTTGACGCAAAAAGGTGCCAATTGTCTAGAGCCTAAAAATTAAGTAAGTACACCAAATGCTGCAATTTTTACGACTCAAAGGAACCTGTAACCGCTTATATTTTTTTAGAGAGAGTAATATGGATCGTACAAGGCTTTATTTAGAGCGATACATTATGGATTCAAGTATAAAAACTGAGATTCATGGCAGATGGGGCAAACACAGACATGGAGCACAAGTACGACAACGTTAGCCTTGGTAGACTCATCTATACCGTTTGAGTCTCAATACCAGCTGTTTGGCCTGTATAAGTTTCTAAAATGTCGCTATTTTGTACATTTTAACGTTATTCTACAGTACAAAACCTCATTGTGTAATATACAAAAAAGTTGATCGTTTTCAATAAAAATACACTCTGATTCTGTCGGACATATATTGCAAAAACACGCTGGACAAAAAAGTTTGCGCTGGACAAAAAAGTTCGTGTTCCAAAATATACAGTGCGATGTGTCTATGTGAAACCGTTGCTCTATCCCTATATAATGTATGCATCTCGAACTAATTACAAAAAACACACCCACACACACACATTATATTGATTGACCTTGTATCGCCCTTTTGTCGGCCATGGCTTCAGGCTGGCGCCAAAGGAGACGTAAGAATTCTCTTTATCCATGGGATCCAACATCACCTCCACCATTATTAGAGGAAGCGACATTGGAGTCGAAACGATGGTCACACTTTCCACGTCGTAGCATACGTACTGAGAATCAGGCACCACAAGAAGCACAAGTTAATATGGAACTGGAAGAGACAGAGCAGTACGAGCACGAGAAAGACCGTAATAATCGATTAATATCAATGTTTGGAGGTCGTATCACGTCACGGACAATGCGTTCAACGTCGGATACGAGTGCTGCGCCATCCTCGACACTTGTTCAGCGAGAAAAAGCGTTCCGATTAGTCCGTCATGGCTCGGATCCGTTGCTTAATGGTGCTTTTTACGCGACACAGGTACAAGTGGGCAATTTTGTTAGAATGGGGTGGCTTACGAAGCAGGGTCACATGTGGAAGAGCTGGAAGACAAGGTTTTTTGTGCTCTTTGCAGACGGAACGTTTGCGTATTACAAGAACAAGGGACGGAAAAAGATTAAAGGATGTATGCAACTTAATGATGGAGTTGTATCAGTACAGCACGTGGACATTCGAGTGGCAGAAAAGGCCTATGTTTTTCAGATTGAAAAAGGGTTTTACAAACTGTTGTGTTACTGCTGTAGTCAATTTGAAGCTGAACTTTGGGTTGCTGCGTTACGATCGGTTCGACGTGTTGCACCGCCTTGTTATGAGATGGATTTGACTGCCACGGAGGAAAAAGCAGGATCCAATGCCGTTGCGAAACACTTGAACAAGATATTCGTTACGGATAAACAGGTTGCCAAGGGTCTAGTGGAGTTTAAAGAGAACGAGCAAGATCACTCGTATGCGGCAATATACAATTTTATTGTTGAACTAGACGATGCAATCATTGACCGCCATCATTTGGAGCTTTATCAGGATCCAGAGATTGAGCTTTTGCCAGGTAATGAACTGGTGCGGCTTATTCGTCGACATGTGGAGGATCGCGTGTTTATTGGTTTGTATGCAGAGGCATACGCGAGCTTAGAGACCGCTCGTGTGAAATTAAAACGCAAAAATTTGGAGCAGAATCTTAAGGTCTTGAGGCAGAAAACGCAGGCAGATTTTGGGATTACGAAGGATCTTTCAGTTTGCAATTGGAAGCAAGCTATCAGTGTGATCAATTTGCTCGATTGTGTGTCGCTCCCAACACACAAGTTTGAGGTCATACTATCTGCTGGAGAGACCATTATGAATTCGATAGCTAAATACAACGGTGAGCTCTTTGAAGTATCAGATGATGCGCTTACGGCTATTTTTCGGTACGTTGTTACAATGTCATCGCTAAATGATCTACCGATTCTTCGGGCGCTGCTGAAGTGCGGGTATCAACATCACCCAGCATGTCAGAACAAGGCCAATGTCGTCACGGCTTTCCTCGATGCGATCAAATGGGTGGAGTGTTTTGAAACTGGCGATGAAAACTACCAGTTTGACCCTTTAGGGCTGGCTGGATCTCGTGTTTCGGTATCCATTTCGACCAATGATGTTGGCATTCAGTTCACGACGGATGGCAATGGCCGAGGAGCCATTGTATACAGTGTTCGAAAGCTGTCCCAAGCAGCACTGAGCTCTGCCATTGTGCCTGGGCTATCGTTAATTGCAATCAATCGCGAACCAGTGATTGGGATGCCTTTTGAGAAGATTATTCAACGCGTGCGAACTGCAGCTCTTCCGAAGCAGCTAACCTTCATGACAGAGTTCTACTACTACCAACTACTTTCGCTGGATTCCGAAATGTTTCGGTATTTGATGTGTATAGCTGGCCGTCGGGGAGATATAGACTCGGCGGCATGGCTGGGATCGTCTACCGTCGACCTCAACACGCTTTGCTCATGGGAAAAGTCCAGAGGAAAACAGATTTTTGGATTTATTCCTATATCCGGAAAGGGGTCTCCACTTCATGCAGCTGTGCGCAATGGGCAGTTTCAAATGGTCAACTATCTGGTTTCAAGGGGGGCCGACGTCAATTTGTGCAATTATAAAGGAAGGAGACCACTGCATGCTGTGAAGCAGTCGGCCAGCATGGCACAGATTATTGAGAGCCTAATTGGTGCTGGGGCTGATATCGACGCGATGGAGAAGCACGGATTGACTCCATTAATGTTCATGTGCTCTGCAGCATCACTTGAAGGGTGTGCAACGCTGCTAGCGCTTGGAGCTGACGTGCACTGTGTGGCGTGGTCGAATGGGTTTTCGGCACTGGAATTTGCGGTGAACAGTGGGCGAATCGAATTGGTGGAGTTGTGCCTTTCTAAGGGAGCGAATCCAAACTCTCCTACGTTGGACGGGAATACCAGCTTGCATCTAGCTGCCGCTCTCTCTCACGCTGATATCATTCTTCGGTTGTTGCAGAGTGGTGCAAATCCGAATGCTCAGAATCGGTATGGTCAGACTCCTGTAGCAGTGCTGCTGGCATCCGCATCTGATGAAGGTGGCGACGCTCGAAACATGTGCATTGAAATTTTAGTATGCGCTGGGCACCACCTCAACAGACGCGATCTAAAAGGTCACCAGGTGTCTCACCTAACGAACATCTCGCAAAATTCACACGTGATAGGTCCATCGCGCAAGGTGAGCTCGTTGAATCGGTCTGGTGATGATATCAATGTTGATATCGTTGGTTGCTCTTTTGTCGACTACATCCATGCGAATAAGGCGGCAGGATATCTGGGACCACCGATGGCCAACGACCTCTGGAAAGTTGCGGGGAAGAACGGTTTCGTGTCTCGATCTGTACCCTCAACCTCCATTGGAGATATGGTCCGTAATCTTGTGTCTGGAACAGAAGTGGACTTGGTGGACTTTGTGGCATTCGTGCTATTCCTTGACAGCTTTTCAAGCCTGAACGAAGTGGTGGATCGGCTGAGCGAGCATGTCCACAATGGGATCAAACGTAAGCTTTTGTTGTTGTGTCGAGTATCTGCTGATACAGGACACTAACTCTCTAAACTGTCCATTTAGGTCACGGACTTATCCGTCTATTCGTCATGGTGTTGCTGTTCAGACATTCAGAAGTTAAGGACGCTGAAGATCTTCGGGATCGTTTTTACAGCCTTATAGGTTATAATGTTGACGTTTCGAAAGAGAAATTGGTACTTTTGGTGGAAGAATATGCCGTGCTTTATAGAGACTATTTCTTGCTTCGAGGGGCTGGAAACTACGCTGGGAGCTACAACAAAATCCCCGAAACGATGACCGAAATCTACGGGTTAGGCACCGCACCTGTATCCATCGAGTCTTTTCCAATAAATATGCACCGGTAAGCTAGGTAGTGAAGAGGTTTGATTTTAATGTGTTCGAGCTTGCTAAAATGTCTCTGTACTTATGCAGGTATATTGACGCTGAACGCTGGTCCAAGCAATGCACGCTTTTGACACATGCGTTGTTTTGCAAAATCCCAAGTATGATATACATGCGCTTTTCTATTTCGCTTACCGTCTAACTCTTTTATACTGTCAATTGATGCAGTCCAAGATTTTGTTTCACCAGGCTCGAAGATTGAACATTCAACTGAGTTCACAACAATCAAGCAATGGTTTCAGCACGTACGTGCCGCATATACTAAAACCTTGTGCTGATAATTGTTGCTAACTTAGATGTAATGCTGTGTTGTAACACGTCATAGCTATCTGCATTTGTGATCAACGCTGTCTTGGTTCAAACCACTCCTGAAGAACGCGCTGAAGCGATTTTGTTTTACCTGAAGGTAAAGAGAGGTATTTCATTAGTTGTGTGGATTGTATGCTAATTGTTTGAGCAACGATGCATAATGATCAGGCCGCCGATTGTTGTATGTCATTACACAACTACGATACGCTGGCTTCGATTTTATACGCATTGCAGTCTACAGCAGTGCAGCGCCTTCGAAAGACGATCGGCTGTGTACGTGCATGACGTAGATAATGCTGGTACGGTGCTGTAAAGCTTTCTAACTTCTTTACGTCATGCTTGTTCATGTGTGTACACTACAGCTAAGAGTCGATGGAAAGAAGATGATGAACGAAATGCAACTGCTCTCGGACAAAGGTTGCCGTGAGATGAACCGGCTCATGCGAAGATGTGATAATCCATGTATGCCTTATATTGGGCTGTATCTCCAGGTAAGCGTTTAGCTTCGAGTATGTCGTTTTAGAAAAGCCTGTTGACGCTAATGGTTTTGGTCAGGGCTTCGTGGGGCTGAACGAGATGCCTGCTTTTAGTAAAGAGGGTTTGGTGAATGGGAATCGATTGCGACGAATGGGCGAACTGGCAATGGAAATTTTGCACCGCCAATCTGTTGCTTACACGCTTCCGAACGACAAGAAGATTGATGTATGTAGTTTTTCAGCGTACTGCTACACTTTGTTTTACTTACACTACGTATTGTTTACATTGCAGGAACTACTGCACGTTAAAATGCCGTATTCATCAGAAGAGAGTCGGCATGCTAGATCCTTGAAACTAGAGCCACGCGAAGCCAACGCGATACCATTAAGTGATCGTGGCTCGTGTGTTATTATTGATGATGACCTGGACCTTGAAAGCGAAGTCCGTGAATCAATTGGTAGTGACGGGACATTTGGGTTTCGTCAGTGGATTCGGAAGCAGCAAGTGGTTCATCGGAATCGATCACGCTCATCAGTGATTGCTCTGTATGAGTGGGTCTAGCTTTGTTGTGTCACCTGTCGATGTATTATTGGAGCCTCAGTGGTCGACACTTTTATCTATTGGTTTGTGGGTGTTTTCATCTAGAATTGACATGACATAATTGCGTTTTTAGTTTGCAGCGATTTGATGGCCTCAAGATCAAGTAGTGCTAAGAAGTGTTGCTTCGAAGTACTTTGAAGGATCATCATCACATGTGATCAATTGAAGACTATTGTGTCCAACTTGGCTTCTGGATACCATGAAAACTGTTTTCATAAGGTCTAATACAGCATATAGAGAGGTGATGTCAAGGCTAGCGCTCTGTATAATCTCCTTTTGGCATCGGTAATGCAATACCAAGTACGTTATCTCTTCATGGTTCCAGCAATCAACATGTACTGGGACTCCTGCAACTCATGAAGAGATCATTACATTGCTATCCGCCCATCCTGAAACGCTTACTGTATCCGACGGGCTTTAACTCCAAGCTATAAGCGGTTGATACAGTAGGACCATCTAAATAGCTATGAGATTGATACAGTAGGACCATCTAAATAGCTATGAGATTGATACATTACAGACTACGCACATCTAACACGCCCCGTTTGAACCGTCCCTTAGTAGCCTGCAAGCCATAGTCAGTCTTCTTGCGCTTCTGCTGGTCTCTCAACTTGCTACTTGATTTCCGCTTTCCCGTCACCACATCCGACTCCTTCATCTGCACGTCACAACCAGAACAAAACAACAACAAAACACGTCAGAAATGGACATTTTCAAAGGCACATCTATACAGGATCACTCGACATACCAACTCTTCACGTCGTTGTTTCCGAGCCACACCCTTCGTCCTCATTCCAATAAGCACTTTATACGGTACTTTACGATTCATGGCAATTTTTCCACCAAGTGCTTCAATCTTCTTGGCTTCAATTGCCTTCTTTTCTTTCCCCTTCAAATTCAAAGTACCTGGTGGATACACCATCAAAATGCAACGTAAAGAACAATATTAAAATCTCGTAAATGGGTCACAACACTTGCACTAAAAACTGCTTTATAACTCGATAACAATCACTTACTGAACTCCACTACCGAACCAAACGTATCGTCGAATTCTTTCCGTATCTCTTGCTTTAACGTCAGCTCGGGTTCATTGTCTTTAACTTTGTACTAGTCACATACATAAAAACAAGAATATCTATCTGTTAATTGCTAAAACGGCAGCGAAATACAACAGCGTTTGTACATACGTTTGTAATACGAGGTCTACGCTCTTTCCACGTCTCTTGAGGACACTCAAATACTTGTACTTTCTTCTGTTTGCCACTCGCCACGGGGAATTGGAACGACATCTGGAGACTTTATAAGGTGCTTGCCAACCAGTAAAGAAAATGGTGGTGTGGACCACTTTCGTCAGCGTTTTAACGTTTTTACTTAGCTTTTATTTTGTTAAACGCGCACAAATATTGCTCATTTTCTTTACGTAGCTTTAATTTGGTGCACATTGTGTTCCTTCGGAAGTAGTCTCTACTGGCATTAAGTTGTCGAGCTAATCCTCTGTGCCACTTGCATCGTATTCGTCATCGTCATTGTACAAGCTGTTCTCAAGGTCCAGTCCAATATCGCTGCCACTGATAGATCCACTTGAAAAAAAGTCGGCCTTGTTACTACTCTTGAACTCCTGCTCAAAGTCGTAGAAACCTCGGCTTTTGATAACACGACTGCTTCGTAGAGAATGTGGACGGTGGTTGTCAATGTCTCCTGAAGCTGGAGACGAAGCAGTCCCCGGTGCCGGTTCGCTAGTACATTGGTTCTGTGACTTAGGGCTTAACGGAACGAAGACACTTTCGCCAATTAGGGACTGATTCAGCACGCTATCGTCGTGGGCTGGATTGGCCGAGGTCGGACGGTATTGTGACAATCGCTGGAAGCCTGGCAGATCCACAATGTTTGTGGTGGTACGCTTGTTAGGTGTTGGCGCTGAAAAGTCGGCCATTGACATTGGGCTTGGTGGTTTCCTTCGTCTCCTTAGTGATACTGGCTGAAGCTGCCCATCGTGAATATGTGAATCGGCTAGAGTCTGCTGAATCTGACCCAGTCGCGAATATGCCTTCATTTCAGGATCATCGCCCTGCTGCCTCGGACGCTCGATACCTCTACGCATATTATCCAATGTGAAGTCCACAGACTGAACAGGCGACTGTCGGTGCTGATACGCCATTGCCTGTTTTTGCTGTTGTTGGGCCAGGTGCTGAGCTTGCTTTATCTGCTCAGTCGCAAGGTCCAACTGGTGTTGCTCATTTAGTGCCCGCTGTGCATCCACCAAATTTGCCATTTTTTCGTTCTCAAGTTGCAACAGCACTTGCTGCACACGTAACTCTTCCTTTTCGCGCCGTATCTCATCTCGTTCTCGTCGAAGTTCTTGACGTTCATGACGAATTTCTGCTAGCAGCGAGCGGTACTCCTCAATCATTCGACTTTGCTGCTTCATCTGCTGGTGTGTAGCCTCCACATCGTTTCCCTGAGAATGTACGTGTCTCGTCGCAATTCCACTGTCTTTGCTACGATCGCATGTATCGTAGCCACCATCATTCAAATGATTCCGTTCATTCTGTTGTGGCACTTGATTTCGTGAGGGAGGAGGCGGACACGAAAGCGATTCTGCAACACCTCGACTTCCATCCTGCCGATCACTGTGATAATACGTCGACGTGTCTTTACCCTCCAAGTTGTTTGTAGTCGATTGTAAATCATTCCGCTGTTTTCTTGCAATCAACTCCGGCGGTGACGGTAATACGTGACACGGAGATTTCGACTCCGTTCTCTTCTCAATTGCCTCGGCATTACTTGCTGACAAAACGTATCCCAGTCGTCGCTGTGCTCGTTGCTGTTGCTCTTGAAGGTAGCGCACCTCTTCCCTCGCCGCACTTTCCTCGCTGCGTCTCCTCTCCATCTCTTCTTGATGTTTTAATCTCGACTTTTCCTCCACCTGTTCATCCAAAATTCTCTTCCAGTGCATCTTTTGCGCGCGTTCCCGCAGTCTCTGGCTGGTCTCGCTAGCATCGGTGATTCGAAAGCGCGGATGGGACGATGACATACTGCTCGCTTCGGATGTAGCGGCACCTCGGTCCTGTCTTTGTTCTTCATTCTGTCGTATTTTCCATGGCCATTGGGAAGTTGTTGGTACGTCCAAATGGCCTCCTTCGACCAGCCACTTGGATGGCGAGCGCTCGCTTGGTGCAAGCTTGCGCTCTAGCTCTTCGCGCTCCATCTGCTCCTTGTGTTGATGCATCCGACGTATCGCAATCTGTTCGTCCAACTCTTGCGCGTATGCCTTTCGCCGGCGCTGGATCTCTCGCATATCGTCGTCATTGAGCCCAGTTTCAAAAGCCCACATATCCCAAGTTATGTTTGGGTTTTATTTGAAGAAGCTTATAATTTCAACCCACCAGCTTTTGGGTAAAATGGGTGAAAGAGATTATGAACTAGCTTTTTTGGAAAAAAGATTGCTAATTTCATAAAAATAGAACCAAAGTATATATCCTCTATACACTAGAAGTTTAACGAGTTGCCAAAAAGACATGAATCAGCGTATTCTCGCCGTAAATCGGCCACCAACTTGTCCACTTTCAGGTCGGACCCTCGACATTCGGACTCTAGCAATTGAAAACGTAACGACACCTCGCTCTGGAATTGTCGCAGTCGTTTTCGCTCTTTTCGGGCTCCATCATGTTGTGAGCGATGATGACGACGACTACTGCTGCATCGATGATGACCTTTCAATCTGCCATAGTCACAGTAGTCACTGTTGCTGTCACTATCACTGCTCCTCATACGGTCAGTGCGTCCGCTCACCGCTCGAGGTCCTTGTACCATCTTTTCGATACGAAGCCGCTCTTTCCGGCGTCGCTTACATTGCTCTAAATTATGCAATAGCATCGCATGCTCGCGCTGTAAACTACTCAGACGTTGTTGGCCACATTGGAACGCCTTCTCCTCGCTGTTTAGCCACATCTTTTTGCGTTCCACCTCTGCGTACAGCTCTGCTAGTGTCTCATGAATATCAGTATCGTCTATGCCACTCGTTTTCTTACGCTGCGTTGAGCGTAGTGTCTGTGTGGAGCTTCTATCGCTCGCTCGTTTCCCTCCACCACTTGACTGTTTTTTTTCTTGTGTGCGCACTCGGAAGACGACGGACTTTTCAGTGGTGCATAGAACACTACGGTGGGGACCTGGATAGACGGATTGCGCAGAGGACCATCGAATACACTCATCGCGATCCTGCAAGTTGGTGCTGGACGCCGAAGACGCGGCATCCTCGTTCATCATTACCGGTATTCACACGATGCTTTTTACAACGAACACTTCTCAGAAGTATCAAATTTTATTACCTTCAATCAATGATATGGATGACTTATATCGAGTTGAAGCACTAGTGCATTGGTTGTGAAAGGGTCGACTTGAATTGCAAAATGAAACACTGGTCTCTATCATTTTATAATTCGTCGTGCGGCACATGGTTGTTGGTAGGGATTGGCGAGATCATGGGCGAGAAGATAGGGCGTGAAACATGCATGATAGCTACCGAGTGTGCACCACCCGCAGAGACCTGGCGAACTGGGATATGACCGAGATCCAGATGTGTGGGAATTGCCAACGGCTTCATGTCTGCTAATCCGAGTCGGCCGTGGCTGCAGAAGAAAACAATTAGGCAGACAAAGGGTGTTAGTATGCTTTTTCATAAAGCAATAACAATCAAAGCTGGTACGCACTCAGCTCGTCCAGAAACATAGGCGATACCGTCGCTCGTAACGAACAAGGTGTGAGAGCCACCGCATGCCGCTTGAATCACTCTTTTTCCCTGTAAAGCTTTCACCTGGAAAAGATGGACACGCGAATTAGAAATCATTGCAGCACTTAACATTCGGGTCATCACTTTGTACCAAATGAGGACGCGTTCGACTTTTCGCGTCACCGAGGCCAAGTCGGCCGTATTCACCCCGTCCAAAAGCGTAACACTCTCCTGACTTCGCCACCACCACGGTGTGCCAGCCACCGCAAGAGACTCGACTGCACGAACCCATTGGACCACGGCACGTCAGTAATAAATGCCCAGACGTAGCAACAATCATAACAAACAACGTACAGTGCTGGAATGTTGTCAAAGAACTCGATGCGCTTTGGGGTCTGCTGGTCAGATGTCTGTCCAACGCCAAGCATGCCGTAGTCCTCTTTTCCCCAGATATAAATGTGTCCTTGCTCGGTAACAGCAGCCGTGTGAAACGCACCACACGCAACCTGCACGATCTTCTCGCCGTTGAATCCTTCCAATAAATGCGGGCGGCTAACTCGCATAAGACACTCATCTTCCGTATCATTTAACCATGCCGAGCCGATACCGAGCTGGCCGCTATCACCTCGACCCCATACGAAAACACGTCCCAGGTTGGTCAGTGCAGCTGTGTGCGTCCCACCGCAACTGATTTTCACAACATGTTCCTCATCCTTACAACCTTCCGGTAGTATCGAGCACTTGACTGGCAGGGACTCGTGCGACGCTTCAAATTCCTTTGATAGACCCAGCTGACCCCAGTGCGTCTCGCCCCACATGTACAATGCTCCGTCATTGGTCACCGCAGCGGAGTGACATCCCCCACATGAAATATAGTCGATCACTAGCTCATTCTCTTCAAAAAAATAGATTTTCTGGGGCTCGTTGATGCTCTTAAGATCTCCGTGGCCCAATTGTCCCATCTGCCCCAAAAAACGCATTAAAATAAGTAAAAGATGCTGCCATTGCGCGTAGAGCTATAGTTAAAACATACCGATCCCCATCCCCATGAGTACACAGCGCCGTTTGCAGTAAGCGCCATTGTATGTCGAGAGCCACAGGAGACAGCGACGATTTCTTCGTCCTGCAGGCCGTCGAGCAGCTTGGGGAAGTTAGAAGCCGACACGTCATCGATGGCTAGCGGCTTTCGACGCTTAGATCCCGTGCCTAGCTGCCCGTCATCGTTGCATCCAAAAGCCACCACAGCACGTTCCGTTGCGCTCGTCACGAGATTCATTGCCGTCCTGGATTCTTGTTGAATAATGATACATGCAAATCTGACGGACAACACTTTTTTATCTTTTAAAAGTACTGATTTTAGCTCGGTACTTTTGAGTAAAACCATAAGGCTGGTAAAAAACAAATTAAAGACGTATGGATACACTTCCAGAATTTTACAAAGATGGCTTAAATTTACCGAAATTTCGGAATATTGAGTGCGCATAGTTATCAAAAAGAACAACGTCATTATTCTATTACGTAGGCTTACTTGTTATTAAATCGCTGATTCCGTGATGCAACACATACATTTATGTTCCGAAACACCACACTGCGATTTGAGTGGCTGGTTGGTAGCAAGCCACTGCTCAAGCGATCAACATTGCCTACAGTTGTACTCGACTCCCGGAGATATGGCGGTACAAGCGAAGACAGTGAAGGCCAAGAGCACTAAGAGCTATAGTAAAGGCGAGTACAACACCAAGAAGCGCTCAGCTAGCAATATGGAGGACGGCAAAAAGTCGTTTGTGGACCAGAAGCTGGCCAAGAAACAACGCAAGATGCAGCGCCCGCACTACGAGATGGTGACGCGTGCCAAGCAGATCTGGAACGTCATCCGCGAGCGTGATGTGGACAAGAACAAGCGTGCCATACTTGTGGATGAGCTGTACATGCTGGTCAAGGGCAAGATTTATGATGTAGCTGCCAAACACGACGCGTCGCGTGTCATTCAGTCGCTTATGCAGCACGGCAAGCCCGAGCACCGCTCGCAGATCGTGCTGGAAATGAAAGATCATCTTATCGATCTAGCCAAGATGCAATATGGCTGCTTTCTCGTGCAGAAGATGATCCGCTACGGCAGCCGGGCGGACCGTGCGGCCATTGTCAAGTGTCTAACAGGTCACGTGGTGCAGGTCGGCACGCACAACATTGCCGCCAATGTGCTTGAATATGCGCAGGAATATCTCCAGTCATCTCAGCTTACATCACTCAAACTGGAGTTTTATGGTCGTGAGTTTGCTTATTTTCGCGCGGAGAGCAAGCGTAACCTGGCGGACATTATCGCCGCGCATCCGGAAAAGAAGGCCGATGTGCTGAAGCATCTCAGCAGCATTTTGAACCGCATGGTTGACAAGCAACTCCTTGGACTGGCCTTTGTGCAGTCTCTACTGTGGGAGTACATGAGCAATGCTGAGCATGACGACGTCATGCAGATGGTTGCCAATGTTCGTGATGCTTCGCTGGCGCTACTTGCCACGCGCAACGGTGCTCGTGTGGTCAACAAGTGTGTTTCGCTCGGTGCGGCCAAGGATCGCAAGCGTATCATCAAGACTCTTAAGGACAAGGTGCTCGAGGCATGCAACCACCCTAGTGGCTATCTCGTGATCATGCGGATCTTGGACGTGGTGGACGACTCTGTTCTTGTGCAGAAGTCCATTCTGGCGGAATTGAACAACGAACTCTTTTCGATTGCTATGCACCCCAGTGGACGAAAGGTTCTTTTGCAGCTTTTGAGTCCCTTAAACAAGAAGTACCTGTCTGCAGATGACCTTGTTCTGCTCGAGCCACCTACGCTACCATTGGCTGAAGATCCGACCATCACGATAGTGAATTACAAGAAGGACCCGGACGCTCGTCGTGAGGAGATACTGAAGGGTTTGCTGCCAAAGCTGGAGGAGATGAGCATTGCGAATACTGCTGCCCTAATGCGCTCGAAAGAGGGTCGTGACGTGATTGTCGAGGTCGCTAAGCGTAGTGAGAGCACGGAGCTGACAAATAGCGTGACGGCCGCTGTTCTTGCGCAATCCAGCGTGGAGACGGAGCCTCTTTACACCGACGCCAACGGCCACTTCGCTTTGCGTCGCCTAATAAAGGAAACATCGATGGCAGGACCTCTACTTACGGCCGTCGAAAAACAGCTACCGCACTGGGCAACGAGCAATCGTGGATCTTTCGTGGTTCTCGCGTTCTTGGAGGCTGAACATGCCCCCAAGAACGCTCTCAAGGTGGTGCAGAATGCACTCAAGTCCACGATGGGAGATCTGAAGAAGCTCGTGGACACGCAGCAGGGCACTAAATTACTTCTTGAGAAACTCCAACAGGGAGGCGATTGCTCAACTTTATAGATCAGAATGCTTGTCATTGTTATCATCAGTACTTCAGACGCTCATTCCGGTGGAGTGTCTGATGTTAAACGCTATCCAAGACGGTCATGGCCATGTCAGAAATAGAGTCAACATCAATCGGAATCGACGAGATTTCAACCAAGTTCAGGCCTATAATTTCCAGGAGGGCTGTAGTACCCTGTAAAGAGGTTCATAACGACCGTCAGAAATAGATTCAAGGGCTCGAAACGTCGACGTTCCACAATAGTAACGACGTCAAGCGCCTTTTCTGATTGCTGCTTGCCGGTATTTAAACCAGCGATACAAAATAAGACACAGTGCCTGACGCCGAGTAGAAGCCGTCGAATACTTACAGAAGCATGTACCAAGCATGCAGCGCACACGAATCTTCATGATACTGACTGCTTCGTTTCAAAAATTTATTGATGATCTGTAGACCTAGTTTTGATCTAGCAGCGAATCAACCAAGGTACTTCCTGGCGAAATTTTCTTGATTTGCAAAAGGTAGTAAATCAAATTTCCACAGACTGATTATGCAAGAGCACTCTAGTTATGTGATGGCACAATCTGCTTTCTACCGCAAGCAAATCGTTCGTATGCGCCCATGCATTTATAAAACAAAATACTTCACGAGCTCCAGCAGGAATTCCAATACCAAAAGGTGCTTATGCGAACAGGAAATGAATCCACAAGATCCCGCGCTTATCATACCCTAGTCCTGCCAAGATTCGTATCAAATATCGTGTATTCAATCTCTAACAGTAGTAATTCAACCGAATCTAGATTCACAAAAAGAAAACTATAGCGATTTACTATGGTTCCTGCGAGCACGCGCTGGGTTAGAGTGCCAGCTCATTTTCGATTTTGATCTGTCGCGCACAAGTGCAAATTTCCCTCAAACAGCAATGAACGTTCATGATCTTCTCACTGACGAGGCGAATACTATGTGTCCACTGTCACCTGCGACGTCGGTTTACAGCAGCTCCAGTAGCAGCGACTCGAGCTCAAGTTTGAGCGGAGAAAAGCGCGGCTGGGTGGCCCCGTTCCTACTGCATCTGCACCAGTTGCTACGGCGTGAGGACTCCAAGATCATTCGGTGGGCTGAAGACGGAATGGCTTTTCAGATCTTGGACAAGGAGGCTATGACGTCTCAGATTTTGCCTAAATACTTCAAGAATAAGAATTTCTCGAGCTTCCAGCGCCAGCTCAACTACTTTGGCTTCCGCAAGTGGAGCAAAGCCCGTGCTCAGTTTCCTACCTACAGCCGCGAACACTTCAAGCGCGACAACTTTAGCGAGATGTCGCTAGTCAAACGCCAGAGCAAAAAGTCTCGCAAACGCAAAATCGCCTCCGATGAAGAGATGCCGGCGAAGCGTGCCGCTGTGCAGCCAATTGACTGGGCCGTTAACGATAAGTTTACGCCCATTCTCCCGCGCCCGATTTCTAATCCAAAGGCAGCTATGGCCGCTTACACTCAGAAAAAACCTCGCATCATTTCACCACTGATGCAGCCGGTGCCCCTGTGTAGCCTTCCCATGCTGTCCCCCAGTCGCAAGATGAACAGTGGCTACAAACTGCCTTCCATCCGCGAGCTGTCGCTATCCAGCGCCATGTTATACGCCGACGTCGGCCCCATTCGCCCCCGCCTCATGGCGTAAGTGTCTGTCGCCGTCTAGTATTTTATGATAATCGACTCAAACATTATTTAAGTTTGCCGGTATAGTGGCTATCCATATATGTTCTCTCCTCCATCCACTTGTCAATCACTAGAAGCATTAAGTTGCGAGCGACCGCCACGTCGATCCCGCAAAGGTCTTGTAATGCACGTAAAATTATTCTTGAGCTAGGTAGGATGTACTGGGCGAAGCCACCCTTTTAACTTGTACCATACTTTCGTCGCACAGGGTCCGACGTGTAGCTGCTCGAGTGATCTTGTTTCTGGAATTTCCCCTACTCAAGCATAACCAGCGACGGCCGCAATACAAATGCCCACGTTGGATACGACAAACGCCAGCCTCGGCAGTATGGAGGCGATTCCAGCCATCGATTACTCGTGTATGATTTACTAGCAGGAAAGAGTCGTAGCATCACCTTATTTGCGGCAAGATTAATTGCATCAGTTACACATCGGAAAACCCATGCACTTCAAGTAATTCCTGCTTGGAATGCATACACGATGAAATGATGTCGAATCCTGGACACAGTAATGCCAAGGCGACAGATCTGACGCCGATAAGTAATTTTTAAACTCATTTACTCTAATAAATGTATAAACTTTACAGTAATGAAATGTTTGATACAGGTCCCCGTATAAGTTATAGGTACAGACTCAACGGAGATGATATTACTATCGGTATCTTGTATTCCATAGAAGTCCATAGCAATCAAACCTTCTCCATTTACCAATATAGAAACGCCAAGGTTGCTAATCGTCACACTGCTGACAACGTACTTAAGTCGTAGTCTCCAGACTAAGTTTGACATGTTCCCAAAGGTCCCCAAGTTTTATCCCTGTGACATGTAGACCCCCATCCATGTCTATGTCGGGTAAATATTCAACTAATCCAGATCCATGTAATTGGATTTAATATCAAAAGCTATTCCAAACCCATTGATCAATAGATAGTCCATGAATCAAATAATAATATAGCATATCGATACGAAATTGTTTTGCCATCTGCTCTATTGCGCATCTCTTTTCACACTCACGAAGCCATTGAGCTTTTTTTCGGTAATGAAACAATGTAATTTCAAGTCCAGGTGGAAAACAAAGATCTAGACGACCCTAATTTTGGCGAATTCTCAATAGCCGACTCACAGCCGTTGGACCAAAAGAACAGGCTTTTTCGTGATGGGGTAAGCTTGTTACATAATATTGACACTAACAATAAGTGTCAATAAGAATATTATTATAACTAATAATATTTGACAATATTCTCTTATTGTCCTCGTATCTCCTTAAAGTTGCTAATTGGTTAATGTAGGCCATTTTATCAACCCAAGGCGCTGACCAATGACCGATGGACGCGCGCAATGAATGAAGGGCACGAAGGTAGCATACATATTTGTACTGTAATATGGTTGATACAAGGTTATTAATGATTGAGTTTTATTAGATAGTTAACTATATTAAATTCACTTCTCTTTTCTCTTACAACTGAGTGAGTCACTTAGTCGTATAGCTTCCTCTGTCTCCATCCGTGTACGTGAGGTTTTGAGACACCTGCTTCACTGATGACAGCGAAGGTTGATTATACAAAAGTATAATCAAGAGAGTACCCCATTACATTTTTCGTCTGCATCAGAGCCAGAGGACGGTAAGAGCAGTTGTAGACGGGCGCTTATAGTAAGTCGCCACGTTCTACAAGCACGCACACCTTCTGCACATATGAGGAAGCGGTTAGAGCGTCTTAGCCCCGCGTGCTGTGGTAGAGGTTGAGCTGTGGTGAAAGTTGACTGGCGCCAAAGAACCGCACACAACTGTCACCGGTCGCCGAAGCGAACCGCGCAACGAACAAAAGAACAAGCACCTAACTGCGTCGCGGAAGCTGTTACTAGTCTTCCCGCGCGCAGAAATGTGATGTAATAAATTCAGGATTGATTCATAATCAGTAGAATAACTCGTGTTGTGTTCTAACGAAATGACCGACGAATACGAAGCAGAGTTCCTGCGTTGTGTTAAGCAACATGCAAATGTAGCGAAACAACGGTCGCAGCGAATCAATTACACTATGGCGCATGTGTGAGATGTTTTGGGTCCTTATTTCTTCTCCTTACGCTGCCCCTGATAGTCTATCAGGACCTAGCATAGTGGCTGCAGCTGGTGACTCTGGTCGTAAGCATACACCAGCCCAAGCACCCGGCGCGCAACGTGTCAACAGTTTCTTAAGAGTCGAAACTCGTCGGGAATTATTTTCGCTGGACAGGGATCTTACTGCTTCCGCTTCACATAGCGGTGGACCTATATCCTTTTAACAGGGTAGCTTTTGTTCCCACCCGCATCCACCAGTACAGATGTTACCGATAGGAGCGGTGATTACGACAACCTAGTCGCGATTTCTTATCCTGCCGTCGTGTAGAAGTAGGCACAGAGTGCTATTGTTAACCGACGGGTTCGGGCGTCGACTTCACTGTCATTATCCTCATATTTGATTTCTGGAGAAGACTCTTGTTCATTTTGCAACTTTTCAAGTCTTACAATTCTCTACTATTAAAGTCCTACAAGTCTTTACTATAAAATTGAGACTTAGTATCTTAAAGTTGAATCCTTATGGTCTCTCCTTTTTAATACTGCTGCAAGTTCAGCGTGGCGCGATCCGACTGACATTCACGCTCGAACGCTCATGATGACACGACTTCAAAGTCATTCAACAGTGCTCAAAGCTGTTCTACAGATGGATGTTTTGAGCTTGAAGCATACTGCATTTTGGACGTCACTTGCGTACTTTTCTAAACGAAGCTGCAGATGTCGACAGTGGCCCACCCGGGAACGAATGGGCGAATCGAGCGTGTAGTCCTAGATGATGTTCTCGAAAGTCATGCTGATTCCTTCACGAGTTGGAGTGCGTTCTTACCACTTGCTGAGTTCGCACTCAACACTGAAGAGTTGTATTAGATGGTCAAGGTGCTAGACACAACTGGAGAGTGTGCTAGCACTTTACGACAAAATTGAGCCCGAACCACGTTACAGATTTGGGGGTGAGACTGTAGCGATTGTGAGGCATTTATTATATGTCGCCGCGTTGGATCCGTATCCGAATCGACATACAATTACTTGCGGGATAGCCTCATTGCGACACTGCTAGAGAGTGTGGTAGACGGGAGATATGCTCGCGACACGAATTCGTTTACTTAACTGGCTCCCATCGACCAGATTTATGCTTCTACTACGGCACTAGCAATGTGTGCCTATTTTCGGGAAAGAAAAAGCATATGGACCGTTAGAAGTGCCGATCAAAAAATTGTACGAGAAACTGGTATGGATCAATGAAAATGCACCGTACATTTTGGCTACGATGCTGTGGGACTAAAAAAGTGCTTAATAGTTACTCGGATGACGGAACGTGACGTGAAAGTGGAAAACATCAAAACGTACAATTTGGGTGACTTCAGTAGCCGGCTTTCATTTTTTCTCGCAATCCTCAATCTTTCGACTCTTTTTGGACGAGTTGTATATCATATTCAGCCGCAAATAAACGCGGGCACGGCACTATTACACAAAGGCAATAATGTGCAGATATTGTTTGCTCATAATTGTGTGATGAAGACGTATCCCTTGAATATGCCAAGAGACAGAATAATCCAGAACTTAAAGGAATTGCATCGTCGAATGAAGGGACTTTTGGTCCCGAACGTTGTGCGGCTACAATGCTGTACACGCATCAACAAGGTTGACGCCATTTTTTGTAAATTCGGTTCGACATCCTCAGGTTCCTAGTCTTCTTGTCGTGAGTCGCCCCACAACACCTCGTAGCTCCACCCTGGGGAAGATGAAGGTGATATACAATCAGCGGGTGCAGCTCACGGTATTTTGAGCGAAAATGTAGTCACTTGAAGGCGAAGGCTGCTTCTTTTACGCCACGTGGCGTGGCGTCCCCGTTAGCTCGATGGACTGATTGACCGCCTTCGAAACGCGTTCTTCTACTGCCAGCTGGGACGTCTTGACCACGTGGCGTCTTTCTTTAAAAGTAACAACAAAGTCTGTATAGATCCGGCGCGATTCTTTGTATACATATGCAAATAATAAGCCAAGCTGAGTCACTGGCGCAACTCCGTAGGATTCTTGGCCGTGGGCCAAAAAAAAATTGACGACACCTTCTTTACATCAGCTCGAACTCCCGATTTTTTTTACTCACATAGCAACCCAGCACCGGAAGTTCCGGTGCACAAAAGACACACTTCTTGAGTTTCGCATACACGTTGTTGTCTCGCATGACTTGAAACACCTGTTTCAAATGTTGAAGGTATGCTTGGACATCGCTGAGGTTGCCCTCAGCGCGACTGTGGACGAAGATGTTGTCAAAATAACTTGGAGCAAAGTTCCGAAGTGGTCTCAACACTTAAGACACAATGCGATTGAAAGTGGCCGGAGCGTTCTTCAATCCTTATGGCATAACTAGCCACTCCTATAACATGCCACTCGGGGTGTCCACCGCTGTGAGTGGGATATCACTCGGTCGCATCAAAATCTGGTAAAAGCCATCGCTCAAGTCGATGGCACTGAAGATGACACTTCCTGACACGAAATTCAACACCATGTCTTTCCTGGTATAGCCGTTTGTGCAGGAATAGCGACATCATTAGCTTATTAAACGCATGCACTATCCGCCAGCCTCCCGTAGCCTTTTTCACGCAGAAGGTTGGACTCGAATATGGTGCGACACTCTCACGCAGATGACCCGCCTTGCGGCGGTCTTCGAATAACGCATCAATAAACTCGACTTGATCTCGAGGCAACGGCCACTATTGTGCCACACAATACTTTGACCCTGCACGAGGTCCATCTCGTGCCGAACACCACGACGTTCAGCCGGAATCTTGTCCAAAACACGTCTGCATACTCACGAGCAACTTCGTAGACAGGGTTATCAAACTATCGCGGAGCCTCCCATGATTGCGACGCAAATCATTTTCCACGCGCTGACTTAGGCTCAGTGCT